CATGCCGTGCCGTGCCATGCTGCATCCATCTACAGCACAATCCACACGAGAGTACATACATACGTACATACTGTGGTAGACCGCGTACTCTGAGATTTCCTCCTCCCATCCTTTCCCACCCTGGCCGAGTCTAGCTGCAACCACTATTCCCAGTCAAGACGCCTCATCTCGTTGTGCCTGACTGCTTGTCCGGCCGGAGGTCCATCCAACCATCCATCCACTCGCGCTCCCACACTCCCACACACCCACCCACACGCGTTTCGGCTGGCCTCATTCCCAACCGGGCCCGCCAAGAGGAACTCTCATTTTCACGGCCGTGGCCAGGGCTCGCGGGCTCCTTCATCGGTCGCCCGTTTTCTCACCCACATGCCTGCCCACCACTTCCTGTGCAACCTCTACTGCTACCGTAGCGTAGGATCCTCGGGCACCCAATCGACCATCGCCTCCCAAACGGTCAAAGCAGCCATCTCTTCCTCCCCGGCGATGGAACATTGGTTCTCAAAAGGGGTCATGTGCGTGCAACAACATGCAGTCACCTCATTCCCGTCCTGACCTGGCCTATAATCATCATGACCACTATATTAGTCCTACATCAGGCCGGCCACCTCATGCACATGCTACAACACAATGTACAGTGCAGTACAGTACGGTCCAGTCCATGAACCGACTGCACCATGTCAACCGAGACGCCCGCGGCTACGCGGCGCAACTTTAGGCTTTGCCAGTCAATTCCAGATCGATCGGTGTCGCCCTTCGACCACTCATGGCCAAGCATTGCCATTGCCCACTTTCACATCCCAGGGGTTTGGATCCGAAAACAAGTCCACCGGCGCAAAGAAACAATTCCTCACGTCACAGCTACCCAAGCCTCGCCGGGTACTCCTTGCAGCGAACCCGACCTGCCGCTGATGAGTCAAGCATGACTCTGGTCTCCAGCACTCGGCCAGGAACCAGTCTGCCATGCGCCAATTCTCCGCTCGAACCGGATGTCCTCCGGCTGCGTGTTCCCTGGGGTTCCTGGCCGTCTAGCGCCGGCATGGACGAGGTTCATGATTTCTTTTATCTCTGATTCACAGACCACCTTGGCTGCGAAGCTAAGCGTGACTCCGCTTCTGTGCTTATATAAGGTGTGGCTGGGGAGATTGGGCCAGCTTCGCGGCCAAGGCGGTCTGTGTCCAAACTTCTGCCCATATAAGGATTAAGGTATGCCCATTTTGCCGGCCAACTCCGAACTTAACTTACTTTCCTTTAAAATTTTTTTAGCTTAAGTAAGTACCCTTCCAGCACTTAGGAACCATTTTTAATAAATCTTTCATAGGTTGCACTCTTTTTACTAAGGAATCTGGAAAATGAAACATGGGTAATCGGAAGGGTACATTATGTACCTAAATATGTTTTGTTAATTGGGTATGTTACGTTTTACGAAATGGAGGAAATTTGAGAAAAGGAAAGCAGGAAAAGGAAGCTTGGTCAATTCTCTCATTTAGCATCTTGTTTGCATTAAAATTGCTAGTTGGGAAGAATGTGCAATTAAGGAGTGTTTAAAGGGTGTCCTCCTGGCTGCCATACAAAGTGGTTTCTAGATCAGGATTTTCTTGCGTTTTGGTTTCAGATGTCTATCTCGCGCGTTTAAACCTGCCCCTAATAAACCTGTTCTGCACTGCCACCCCAGCCACACAGATTACTAAGGAAGCTCGGGCCCTCAGAACTAACCCTTTTGAGCCTTTTGAACTGCGTGAGAATGGGCATCTGAACATTTGAGATAAGATTTCTTTCCTGGATGCCATCTGCAGGTCAACGTCGGTAGTGGATGCGACCCCATCCATCATTCGCCATGTTGCATGTTGCATGTCGCATGTCGCATGCCGGCTGATAGAACTCTGTGCCGAAAGCTGCTGTGCTCTGCAGGCCCAGCTGTGGTTGCCAAACTATGTTTTGACTTATGCAAGGACCAAAGCCCACACTTCTCTGAAGTCCTCTGCGGCCAGACACGCGGCCAGGACACCCATCCGGGGACACTGTGCACGTACAGTACTCGGTCCGGCTGGAAGGGTCTGGATTGCAGGCACACTAGGCCATTCGAAGCCTGCCAATCCTTCTCGAACTCAATGTCCCAACCCTGGTCTGGGCCTGCAACTCCTGCCACCAAGGGCTGGCATCTCTTGCCGAGCACTAAACTTCCTCTGACAGACTGTCTCGCCTCTTGACGCCAGCGCTAATACATAGTCGAAGGCCGTCCGTCGCCTGGTCGGGACTGAACTGTGACCATGTCTCCACACTTCGCTAATCTCCCAACGACCATCTCATATCGGCTAGGGCGATAGTCTATCCCCGGAGATTACTTGAACCAGAGATGTGGGCAGAGTTGATGGTCCCGGATCAGGCCAACATCGCGAAACTCAAAATTTTTGGCTGCAAGGCCCCCGTTCTTTAATAATAAAGCGACACAAAAACCTTCCTTCGGATGGGATGCTCAAACTCGGCCTCGACTGCAACATCACGACCGCTCGGTCAAAATAGGGATCGCCAAGGCGGTCCTCGGCATGAACAGTTGGCCAGCACGGAGCCGGCGTGTGCAGCACTCCGTGCAGGCCAATACCCTGTCGCCGAACAGTTGATCAAACCGCACGCGCGGGCCGTCCCCGTCCAGCTTTAATCGCTAGCCGATTTCTGGTCAGGAACAGCAAGATCCTTGGGGACCGGTCTCCACTAGGCCTTCACGCCCAGCGAAGTGTGACATCAGGAGGCGCGTGGTCTGGCTCATCGTTGCTACTATGAATTATGACCAACTGTCGCAACAGCCGTATAGCCAAGCGCGGCGTGGTCGGCCACCGTTCGGCACTTGTCAAGGCAAAGCAGCCGTGTGGCAGGAGGATTGAAAGTCGAACGTGGGCGTCAAAGGTGGGTGTGCGGGACGATGAGGTGCAGGTATGGCTTGCAGCACGCAAAGCATGGGTTGATGCATGCCATGGAGCACAGCACTACCTCCAGATTGGAGAAGAGCGAGATGACGGGACCCGTTCTCGTTGCTCAGAAGGTGAACCGTGTGCCCACGGAAAACTGGGCTATACTGGCCGTTTTAATATCAGCCTTCACCAAACATTAACGAGTTACACGGCCGTGCGAGCTCACGCACCAATCAAGGAGCGTGTGCGCCCGCCTTACCGAGATGCAGATGAGCAATTGATCAGGATACGCTCCGTGCCTTACTCAGATGTGCTCGTACCACCAGTTCATCTCTGGACTCGGGACCTGCCTGCGTGCATCCGGTCTGCCTCGGCCGCATCCAGCAGAAAACCCCAAGATACGATGACGGGAAGGGAATTAACCCCCTGGCTGGCTTTCCCATGCGAGTAAGGCGAAGTCGAGAACCTGATACTGATCGGCAACCCGCATGGTTCCCGGGCGGCTTCAAGCATCACGCCGATGCTTCTTCCAGTCGTACCGTCGGGGACTGGCGGCTGGGTTATAAGATCACCCACTAGAGAAATCCTCACAGTTATTGCGTGTGGTTGGGAGCACTGTACAATACGATACAATGTCACGCGAGCCCGAGTTGGGCGGGGCCAAGATTCACACAAGCGGAGGGATTTGGACCTTGTCAGACGGCTCCCTACCTCGAGCTACGTTCCTTTGCTCTGTGTTGCCTCCATCGACGACCCGAGGCTGAAACCGGGCGAAAGTCTACAGGTATGGAGACGCAACAAGCCATGCGCTGTCCAAGTCTTCAACGCGAAGTGTGCCTTCAGCATGGTCTCAGGTATCTCGACGCCTCGCATTACTTATCCTCTCAGCTTCTTGGTATCCACACGTTGCCAGAAATCGCTACGACATCACGACCACCAAGCACTGTGCCGCTAGCCATGGGCGATATTTCTGTCACGAATGTGGTGGAGGAATTAATACGTAACTTGACAGTCATCTCATCAAACTGAAATGGGCAGATATTTGATCGATTTCTATTTCGAGAGTGTCTCCGATGCGGTCGCACACTGCTTCACGGGAGGCCAACCACGGCCGGGGCGACTTCCATGGCTGCCCGAGCACGTAAGGCGCGAGGTCCGTCATGAGGTGATCTTCATTCTGCTTGGGTAACGGCAGCGGCTACGCTCACAAAGGGTGGGTTGACTAAGATGAGCTGCATGCTGCTTCTGCACTAGGGCGTTCGCCTTGATGCAAGGGATCCCAACGTTCACGTTCAGGGCACTAGCCGAAATCTGTGGGTGACACTCGAGGTACCAGGCCACACATTATCAGTGAGGTTGTCGTGAGCTCAGAGCTCTTGTTTAGGAAGTTCGATGGGCGTCAAATTATTCAACCCGATGAAGCAACAGCTCCTTGTTCCGCATTTTGTCCGCTGCAGCTAGAATATCCTCGGACGGCGGGCCCCCGTGAGGATACGGAAACAAGGCCCGCCTCCCGCGTTAATACAATCAGCCGCCGGCTACGGCAACGTGGCAGAAGCTTCAACTCCGCAATTCCGCCCCGCGTCTCCAGAGGTGAATGGGACCGCCGGGCGGCATATAAACTCCAGGTTTCGCATCGCAGGAAATCAGGTATTCTCATCCGCCAAGTGTTGGTCTGAACAACTACCAGGGGCACCGACGTCTCCAAAACGGATCTTGGCTTAGTTTCCCGCAAGCACCCTGAAGTTGCACTGTCGCCGGGATCATACGGCCAAGGTGTCACTCCATCGTTGAGGATCAGGTTCAGCTGTGCAAGTCGGGTGCTTAGCCGACTTGACCGATCTACGACAGAGCACAGAATCGGGGTACGAAGGGGCCGGGTTACAGCTCCAAGACCTCTCACCAGGCAATCGATCGATTGTGACACGGCATCAGACTGACATCTGCCGTGGACCCTCTCACGGCTTTTGAGTAGCTGCGGCGACACCGACGCGGCCACAGACACTGGGAACTGTCGTCTCGTGACAAGATTCGCCTGGACTTCAACGGTCAAGCGCCCCTGATCAGTGCAACGTTTCCAGTTTGTGAGACGAGATGGCAGGCGGAAACTTTCAAGAATGGACGGTTGAGGAACCGTATCTCAACATCCACTGCAAGCTCGGGGAGGGCCCGTACTATGAGAAGGCAACCAACACCTTGCGTTGGGTGGACATCATCAATCACCGAGTGCACACAGTGTCTCTTTCCGAGGGACCAGAGTCGGTCAAGACCATTCAACTGGACACGCCCGTGGGCGTCACGGCGGATGTTGAGGGCTCCGACCCCCAGGACCAGATACTTGTCGGCATCAAGTACGGCCTCGCCCTTCTGGACCGCAAGACTGGCAAATATGAGTACATTGCCAGATTCTCGTCGGCTGATGGGCAGGACAATGAGCGCCTGAGGAGCAACGACGGCGCAGTCGATCCCCATGGGCGCTTCTGGCTAGGCAACATGACTGATTTCGGGAAGGGCGAATTCCAGACTGAAGGCAAGTCATCATTATGCCGGCCAATCCCCTTGAACTTTGATTATGCGTTGGGCCCGAGAAACGCGTGCACAGACGGCCCGGCACCCACAACAAATGACGAAGCCGTGCACGCGGAGACGTGACAGTTGGAACCATTTCGCCACTGAGAACCCCTTGGGCTGACTCTCAACAGGCGGCCTTTACCTCTTTGATGGGAGGAAGAAGCCATCGCAAGCCAAGAAGATTGTGCCGGATCTCATGATCCCAAACAGCATCAGCTGGTCTCCCGACAATAAGACGCTGTACTACACGCACTCCAACGCCGGCAAAGTTCATGCTTACGACTATGACACGACCGATGGCAGCGTGTCAAACCACCGCGTCTTTTATTCACACGAGGGGTCGGGCGGGCCCGATGGCCACCGCGTGGACAAGGACGGCAACATCTGGCATACGGTGTACGGTGAGAGCCGTGTCGTAAAGATCTCGCCGGTGGGCAAGGTCATTGGCCAGATCAACCTGCCGACCAGGAACATCACGTGCTGCGAGTTCGTGGGTTCGGTGCTCTACATCACAACTGCGAATGACGACGAAGGCGAGGGCAGGAGCAAGGAGCTGGGAGGCGCGCTCTTCAGGGTTGATGTCGGGACGACGGGACTCGAGCCATTCAAGTTCAAGTTCAAGCTCGGTGCCTGATGTGCCTGATGTGCCCGATCTGAGGCAGCCTGGGATGGGAGAGCATGCCTGTGTGGCAGCAACAAGTGTCCATGCAGGCTAGACAGCGCATTTCGTGCGACGACTGGGTTGACGTTCACTAGCCAAGATTGATACTGGAATTTCAACCCTTTTTCATGCCGGCGAGACCATGGCTATATGTGTCTACCAAGCTGGATGATAATCAAGCATTCATGCAATTAGGCTCCTCCTCGGCACTTGTAGATCAGGTTCAAGATTACGAAAAGAAACCGAGGATTATCCATGGAAGGATCGCAATGCCTTTCCGGTCGGTGAACCTATGCGGGGGTGTCCTGTCAGGTAGAACGGGGAGTTAGGGTCAGGGTAGGAGGAGAAGTGACCACTGCGGGCATGAATCCGGATCTTGATCCGAATCCGTCCCCTTGAACCTCGGCCCCTTATCCGAAGGCTGAATTGAGATGATGACGACGACGACCCTCTTCTCGCACAAGTAACAGAACCAGCAGTGATACTCAGAACCCAAGCGTTAACTCACCAACAACGCTCTTTTCGCCACCACACACGCCGCGCTGAGCACGCTTCAGGGCATACTCCGGCAGGATGGCCATCACTTGCCTCTCCCCGTCGCGAACCGTGCAGCTGTCAGCGGGCCAGGATTGGCGATTACATCTCTACCAACACATGAACACCAATGGCCGTGGGGCACACTGCAAAACACCACCACTGTTGTCACGGCTGTCTAGAAGCTAGAGAGCGCGCTCACGGCCGCCTGAATGGGCCCGTGAGGTCGAAACCCCGGGGGCTTCTTGAGAGAGATAAAGGCGATCTTCTCAAGGCCACTGCGGCGAACCTGCCAGGCGCACTGACACAAGACGAGAGAAGTCTCTCGCATACCACGAAGCTCCCGATGAGGAAACAAGCGCCTCTTTTCACTCGACAGCCCGCTAGGCACGTCACCACCGCCGTCGGCACCCACCAATATCTGCGGTCTGCTCGTGCAGATGTGGCGGCGCGACTCAAGGTTGTGCGCAGTTCCTGCCCTGACAGGGGGGCCTCATCAGCGCCGGCGCAAGGAGTCCGAGCTTCAAGAAAATGCGTCTGCAAGAGGAAGGGGGTGGCTTGCACCCCGAGGCGAAAGGCAGGGAGGGTCAAGCGGCTCAACCTAGATGCACTGCAGGCAACAAAGTTGATCAAATCAACAAACACCGGTGCTATCAGGAAACCGCCACTGTGTGAATGCAAAGGGGCGCTCGTTCTAGTGACGAGACCACCAGCGGGCGGAGGTTGGTTCACGTGTGCAGGGAAGCAGGCCAGGAGAAAATTTACCAGGTTTCCGCCCACGGATTGTGGCAAATGAAGAAGATGATGGCTTCCAGCCTCGACACCCGCCCCGATGCGCTCTGTTCGCTATCCACTTATCTGGTGGACATTGTTCCAGAATGACGACGGAGGACCGTCCGGTCGAGGACACGGCGCAGAACCTCATCTTCCGCGGAGCGACCTGAGGGCGCCATCCTCGATGAGCCACGCGCCTTTCAAAGATTGTTGGTGCTCTGGGTGACTAGGCTTGTTTCGAGGCTATCCGACCTAGGGTGGTCAGAAGGGCGTGAACGGAAAAGCAGGTAACCTCCTCAGATTCGTCAAAAAGGCTCAATTTAGGGCATCGGGCAATTTCAAGGAGACCGCAAGTCTCAGCCCCCTCTTTTGATGATGACGGCATACGCTCATGAGACAATCAAAGCGAGCAGGAATCCGGATCTGAGTGAGAGGCTCCTCCTACAGCAAAGGACTTTTTGATGCCGGGGCATGATCGACACTACTGCAAGGACGATCGTTAGTGCACAAGAGAGTTCATCAGATCCGTACAACGATGTCGACTATGTGACCGGCTTTGGTTCCGGTGACGAGGGACATCCTAGCTGCAGAGCGTGCAAGGCCACGCAGCAGGAACCGTGGGACCAGAAGCACTAGCCGGCGACACAGTGCTTCTGGATATGCTAGAGCCCAGGCGCGATCAGCAGGGCGCCGTTGGAAGTGAGACTGAGGCCGCTGAGCCGCGAGATCTCGCAGAGAAGAAAAGAGGCGCGAGGTGATATTGACCAATTCTACACTGCAGCGAATAAACGCCGCACGTATCTCTATACGAGCCTGTATAAGCAGCACTTACTGGCCTTACCGAAAGCCACGGGGTTACCATTCAGTCGGACTCGCTTGAGACCTACCACCCAGATCGCATCACCACCTTCCTCTCAGGAGTGATCCCGACGAGCGTCACGCCGTGCCACATGCCGCTCCCGGGGCTCAGGCCATAAAATGTCCACCGAGTAATGCCTCTCTCGCATCGGCCCAGAGCATGCGGATGAGGCCGCGGTTGCCTCCTACGACACGACCAACGCCCGGTCCGGAAACATCCTAGCCTGCCCTACCCTCAGAGGTGCATTAAATGCGACAGGGGAAAAATAAGAAAAAGAAAAGAAAAGAAACAGCTTCCGTGAGGCTGCTGCACCAACCCCAGTCACCGGTGTCCTCGAGGCCCCCGGGGCAAAACGCAAAATCCCACCCCCTGGGCGGCCTCGACCACGACCGGCCCTTGCCTCCCGCCCCTCTCTCCCTCTCCTGTGATGGATGACAGCGGAGGCTTATGCGGCACTTGCTCGCTTCCTTCCCGCGAGTCACCACATGAAACGGACACTACTGCAATACCCCGGGCCGCGGGGGAGCTGTCAACTGCCCAGGCTTCCAGCCCTACGGCATCCACCGACCACCCTCCCCAGGACCGGCAGATGGCTCGTCTGATCTGGCGGCCGCGGCGCGGCGCGGCTCTAACTGCCTTCCTTCCCCCCCCCTGATGCCTGGTACGCTCCGGGGAAGCCGAAGCGAACATGTCTCTGCGCCCAGTCTTGGAGTACAGGGGCAGCGGGGCGGTCTGAAAGGGGCTCACCGAAGGTGAGGAACGAGGAGTGTACGGCGGCGGCGGGGAGCCCTCACTGGCAGGGGGGCTGTCGCTGAGCACCGGAGACGTTCGAGGCGGTGCCAGGAAAGAGCCTGGATGGGAGCTGCGTATCGTATGGTCAGGGCTACATTGTTGTAGAAAGCTTACCGCAAGGCGAGATCGCGATGCAGGGGGGCTGCGGCAATCAGCGCGGTGTTCAGCCCGCCACTTCCCCAGCAGATAGACTCACTCGTATCCCAGATAAACTCCCGACCGAATCGGGTTCTTTGCGCAGACGTGTACAGTCAGTCAGTCAGCCAGTCCTGCGCGTCTGTGTATGCACACGGGGTCAAAAGGAAGGCCGCCCGCACACACAGCAGCCTTTGCTCAGGTACCCTCCTGCCATCGAGGGCAACCCCAGCGTCGCCTCGCCCCCCCGGGCTGGCGCGTCTCACGTAGATCAGAGAGTTCCTCACCGGGGTTCCATGGGGTACACCTACCCCGGCCTATGAGCATGGCATCGCAAACTATCGAAACGCTCCCGCATCCTGTCGCACAATCTCGCCCTCCCGGCCTCCCGGCCCCCCTCCCTCCTCCCCCCCTACCGCGCGCCTATTAATAATCAACACAAGAAAAAACTTCCCCATCAGACCTGCCAATTTATCTGCTACTCTCAAGGGCCGCACCATGTGCCAGAGATGTCTGGGGCGGCGCGGGAAGGGAAATCATGCTTCTCGGTCCGAGCTTCCGATCTCCAGGGGCCCGATTCAGTCTGGGAAGTACCTATTTCGAGCGACAACTTGGTTGAGCCAATAGAGGCCCCGGTGCTGAGACCCCGTATAGTTCGTGCAAAGATGGGTTTGCTTTCCAATATTGCCCCAGAGTCGGCCCGAGAGATGTGTTGGTCCTGAGTATTGGAAACAAAGCGGGGATGAAATTCATGCTGCTGTGCTTCTGGCATGAGGTCGCACTTGCGCTCGACGGGATGGCAGGCACATTGGGTTGCACGCAACAGTGGTGGGTTAAATCCGAAGAGACGTAGCTACATGTGCGATTGACTGTCATTTATGCACTCGTTTGTGTGTTGTGTGCTGCTCGGGCAGTGGAATCATTTTCTCCACCGTCGTTGGGAAGGGTCTCGCTAAAGCAACGAAGAAATTGGATTAGAGTTCCGGGAGTACTCGGTACTTGCTTGAGTGGCCGAGGGTTTCTGCCGAATGTCACCTATAGTCCACCTGCTGGGGGATATTCACGAGGGGAAGGTACCTGGATGATACCTTGGGAGGCCGTTGACAGGGAATATAATGAAACTTCCAGCGTAGTTTCCGCAGTACCACGCACTTGGGTGACCACTCAGAAAGAGAAAGCTTGTCGGGGTCTTTGCTGGAATTTGACTCAAGGACCGAGCTGGGACGTGCTTGTCTGCTACCGCATCCATTGACAGGAAGGGCCCCGATATTGTGGACTGCTACATGATAATCGGATGCAATCCTGCGCAAGTAAATCCGTAGTCCTATTCTTGCGGCTTCAGAGCATAGATCCTCACCGGGAAGAGCTCCTTCGGAAATCCGCGTTGGGTTTCAGCCTTGACAAGCCTAAGGCCGGCATCCTTAAAGATGGCTTGAAACTTCTCATCGGTCCTGAGCGTGATAGGCATGTCAGAAAGCGCCTAGTGCCTGGGTGTGTTTGGACCGGATGCAACCGAGCAATGTCAAACTTACCTCGTCACGCTGCTGTCCTGGTCGTCGAACAGGTCGACACCATTGGTGCTGATGTTTTCCTTGACCACGATGAGCCCATCTCCAGGGGTCAGGACCGTCTTGCACCTTTCCAAGTACTGGACCAGCTGTTCATCTTTGAGATGACCCACACACCACTGGTTCCATACGAGGTCGTATTTGACGCCCACATCCGGTCGCCATTCCTCCAGGCCGACGTTGAAGACCCGACGGATGCCGCTCTTCTTCTCCAGAGCCTCAGTGAATTTCGCTATGGGCTCGACGACGTCGACTTCCTGTGACAAGCTGAGCAGGAGCCCCTCGGTGATCCTGCCTATGCTGAAAGCCGGGAGGTACAAACATCAGCATCCAGACGGAACGTGCTCGGGAGTGTGGGGAAGAACACATGCAGGGAGCCCGTGAGCAGCAGAGCTTCGACTCCAACATGGTGAGAGGGAGGGTCTCGGCGCATGAGCTCTCGGGGTGTGACGAGAGGGGGGGCGAAAGCCAATCACTCACCCAGCTCCGCCCTCAAGAGCCGCGGCGACAGTGCGCTGCCCGTCCTTGGTCCCGATGCCAAACTTGGCGAGAAAGTTTCGAGACCCCTGCAGGTCCACCCGCGACACATAGGGAAACCCTCCTAACATGCCATTGACATCGGCATCGACATCTGCATGCCCGCGAACGCCCGCCAGGGTCAGCTGATCTGTTTCGATGGCGTGCAGGTAATGTAGTGCACGTGTGATAGTGAGGAGAAGGGGGCCGGGGGGTGTGTGTGGCGGAGAACGGTGGTGCGCAGTAGGGGCAGGAAATAAGAGAGAAAGCATGGACGTAAATCCCGGATCAAACTTTACTTTGCCAGTACTTCCTCCCGTCCTCAGCGTTAATCTGGGAATCTGGCGCCTGTGAGGCGTTCCCTTGGCCGAGATCAGACATGTCGAGACTTGGGCAGCAAAGTTGGGCGTGGCGGATACGGGTGCGAGCTCCGAAGTGTCAGCTCTCGTGCCCTGGGTGGTTGCCCTGGGTGGTGTGGCGAGCCCGTCCGCAGAGGCGCCGGAAGGCGAGGGTGATCGATCTTTTGAAAGGTCGCGCACAGCCCCTACCCGTCAGGCACGGTTGAGTCTCAAAGTTGGAGACTCGGATCTTCGACGAGGCTCGGGCTTGGATTGGCCTGGGCGGGTTCCCCTGCGATGATTGCCAGAACCTTGCTCGCACACAGACGGTCCAGGTCAGAATTGTCGCAGCCCGGACAGAGCGAGTGCCACGCTGATGTAGTACGCGGAACTTGGGATGGGAATCGCTAATGCCGGTACGAACCTTGTCGAGATGCACTGCACTTTGCACAAGTATTGTGATGCAGGCCGTCCGTCCGTCTCTCTCGCCGATCTTTTTATGTGAAGGTTTCCGAGTTGCGCCTTTCACCCAGAGGAATGAACAATCTTGTTTGGTCACACACCTGCCTTCGTGGGCAGGCAGGCACGCAGGCTGGCAGGTACGGGACAACGTCTCCGCTTCGCGGCTGCCGCACAAGCAAGCACAAGCAGGCACGCTGTGTGACTGCCACACGCAGCCAGTAATCTCGACGAAGGCATCGTTGAAATACAACAAGAGTCATCCGAACGAGTTACTTGCTAAATGATCCACAGCATCAACTAATTCTCTAGATTTCATTACATTTCAAATTTCATCCAGATAACAGCATACAAAATATAGACTGTTGTCCTGAAATTCAAATAGACTACAATTGTTATAGAGTTTATTCCTTCCTTTTCAATTTTTATTTTTAATATTATCAAAATTAATATATGAAATCATCAAGTTCCTATCCTGCAGCCCTTGACACTTATCCTGTTCCCTCCAGAGGTCATTTTCCTATTCTACTTGGCTTGGTTTGCGTCCCGGAAGAGGGGCAAAACAAGGCTAACAAATCCACAGAAACAATGTGCAAGGAGGATCAGATTCCGTGCGGAGGCCTGCCTGGTGAGAACTCCCTGTAAGCCTGTGACACCCATAATTACAACCTGATCCGTCCGTCGTTGCCGCCCCCGAACCAGCGCCGTATATCCGTGTTGTTGCTGCCCGACCTAGACGCCTGCCCGCCCTCGTCGTCGTCCCCGCCCATCCACTTGGGCTTCTTGACGATCTCCTGGAACCAGTTTGGAGTATCGATCGTGTCGACCGTGTTCTTTATGCGCGTCCCGAGCTGCGAGAAGAAGTTGTCGTCCTCGTCCTCGTCGGCACCGAGCCTTGCGTGCTGTCGCTGCCCGATCCGCCTCGAGCTGGCGGCGGTGGCGGGCGAGTCCACCCTGCCGATGTTGGGCGACGTCCCCAGCGGTGTTGTTGGGCCACCGGGTCGGCTCGACGGGCCAGGTATGGAGCGCACAGGCGTGGCCCTCGTGGCTGCACCGCCGTTCGCAGCCCCTCCCGGCCCTGCAACGTCCCTTGACCTGCCGACTGAGGTTCCGTTGAGCTCTCGCTCGATGAGGTCACGGCCCTCTCGCCACGATCCAGTACCGTAGCCGATCTCATTTTCATCGTCGTCGTCTTCGATGATGTCGGCCAGACCGATTGTGCGCTTCACTTTACCGTAGAGACCAAACAAGGTGGCGCCTATCGGCAGAAGGATAAATAGGGGAAACAAGCGGTTGAACCAGCTACCCAGGGCTGTAAGATCGATGAGCCGCCCGAGGAAGTCATAGAATCGTGTCTTCTGGTAGACGTCCTTGGATAGGAACGTGATGAAGTTGTACGACAGCGGGACACTAAGACGGGCAACGTAGGACGAATACCAAAGGGCCGATTCGTGGGAGGTGTTTCGATAGACCAGCGCGCGGCCACGCCACACCTTGACTTCAGTGATGGAGATCAAGGCAGCAGCGCACATGTATGAAATCCAAAACGCTGCGATCATTTGGCCAGCAAATCCGACTTGACCCTTGTCACCAGTCCAGTGATGAACCACGGTCAGGCGGATGATTGACAGATTGGCGAGCGCGGCTGGCCCAAACTTGACGATTTCGGACCACACGATGAAAATGGATGCCACAGCCAGTATTCCGCCAAACACGAGCCTTAAATGCGGCATAATGTGGAAATGGAGCACGTGTCTCGTGTAGGGGTCGAGTACCGACATGCGTTCCCACCACGAAGCATGTGGAGCCGTACCTCCGAATTCGAGCTTCTTCGAGCCACCAGAGTCCAGAATGGCCCGGGTCTCCGCGGCTTTTCGTAGCAACCGGTTCCACTCGTTGGCATATCGAGAGCGGGTGTGCCTCGCGCGGGTGAGTTCTCGGGTAAGCTCCGCCATGTACTTCTCCGTGATGACCGTGGGGACGCGCCTCGCCTCGCCAGAGCCCACAGCGGATGTTGTTCTCGGCTGCTCCTCCGGGAGGTTGGTAGAATCCATGAGCTCCTCGATCCAGTCTTGGAAGTCGATGGCCGACCCGGTCTTGCGGCGGCACAATTCGGCCACCTGTATCTCGAGATCCTCGAGATTCATCTCCGCCTCCTCCAGTTGCTCATACAGCCTAGGCGCCGCAGATTGCAACTGGCGCAGCCGTCCGCTAATGCTGAAGCTGCGTATCAGGCGCCGGGGGATGCTGACGAGGCCGTGGCCCATCAGGTAGATTGCCAGGACCAAGCCCCAGCAGTATGCGAGAGCCATGACTGGGCTCTTAAGGGAGTCGAGGTGTATGCCGTACGAAGTAAAGACGTATATCAACGCTATTATGCCGAATCCAAAAACCATCGCATAGTATTGGGCATTCGACCGTAGGGAGTACATCAGCTTCCCCTTCGGATCTCGGTATCCAGCATCGGAATATTCGGCAAGGACGGGGAGAATGAACCTGAATCAGATTTTAGTACTGCGTCAATCAGAAAAACTAGGGAAGTCATCTCGTACCACGTGAGGGTAAAGGTGAGCCAGTAGGCGATGCGCCAGCAAGTCTGTATGACCCTTTGTGGGAGCCATATGCCCCTTGTGTTCTCATCGTCCGTCCTGGCGCTCGACGCCAGATCTATCGGCACGAGCAGGACGATGCATGCTGGTAGCCATAGTGCGAAGAATACGGTGACAAGGACGAATGCGGGCGTCGTTCGGAGGGGTAGGTAGTGTCGGAGGATGAGGAGGGTGATGGCGGAGAAGATGAGCAGTGCGATCAGAGAGAAGACCTCGGACCCGACTGGGGATGCTGAGCTGGCTATCATCATGAGGATGCAGGGCCGAGGGGTTTGGAAGGGTCCATGAGGTTGATGGTCAGGATGTTCAAACTCTTGGAATCGGGGGGCAGGGCGCTGTTGTGTAGGGCCAGCCGTCGCAAAATGAGGATGGAGATGTTAGATTTGCGATGACGTTGGCGGTGCCTGTCAACTGTTTCGAGCGAGATTATGTCACCCAGCGGGAGAGCGTTCTGGCTTGCGCTGGGGCGGGCCATTTTTAGAAAGATGACTGCCGCCCGGGGCCCAGAGGATTAGGACCCGGCCGCAAGCAGGTACCGAGGTACCCCAGCTCCCCAGTGGCCCCCCCACCCCGATCCCCATCAGCCGTGTGACAGCTGCGAGGCAGGTCAGAGGCTCAACACAGCTGCAGAGGTGGGCGGCGGAAAGGTGTTTTGTGCTGAGTCCGGGGCCGACGGAGGGCGGATTAGTCAAGCATACCGTCCAAGGTGTTTCTTTCGCATCAAAGGAAAGCTGTCGCATGTCATAAGTCATTTACACGGTGGGACCCCTGCGGCCAACATGACCTGCATGGCCAAGTTTTTTGCCTGTCATGGACATTGCCCACACCTGCCGAAGCCGCCCAGCGCCTGCTTAGGTCCGCGGCGATAACGATAAAGCTGCCCAGCAAGCAGATGCTTGACAGGTTTTCTCTTGCGGCGCATTCCGGTCGACCGTGGACTGTGGATGATTTCGGGAAACATCCGGATAACTGTCGCAGCTCGGACACGATCATCGCTGCTGCACGACCCTGCACGAGTCTGGACGACACGATTTCAGAGTCACGCCGAGAATTCCCATTATGTACAGGCTGGCTGTCAGTGGTGAACGAGAACTAATGGGGAATACTCTGCAACCCACACAGCAGGGCTAGCAGCCGGTGCTAGGGCATCTTGTTCCCCACACCCGAGCTGGACAGGGCGCGCCGGGGATGCCGCCTCCCCCAGATAGTCTATCTTGCGTCGAGTGAGGGGTCATCGAGGGCTTGTCTCGACGAGGGGGATATCGGCCATTGGCTCCTACATAAGGCAGGCACATCAAGGGCGTACAAGATGCCCTCGAGATCCCTCTTCTCGACTGCATTCCTCGCATCCTCTTCCTCCTCAACTCACCTCAGGTCTGCTGCTCCCATATTCAACAGCTCAAGTGCTATCAGAGCCCGGACGCCACAGATCAAGTTACGTTCCTTATCTTATCCTTTCTCTTCACCCTTCTCTGCCTCGCCCAGGGCAGCACCCTCCTCTTGCAACACAAACCCAATTTCAACCATGGAGGTCGAGCTCACTGCCCCCAACGGGAAGAAGTGGTCCCAGCCATTGGGCCTCCTCATCAACGGGGAGTTCGTCAAGTCCAGCAATGAGCAGAAGATCACCTCTATAAACCCTTCGTAAGAAGCCCCCGGCCCCAAGACAGGGATAGAATCCAATATATGCAGCTCGGAACTGACGCCTCTGCAGTACTGAGGAGGAGATCTGCTCCGTCTTCGCCGCCACTGCAGACGATGTTGACCTCGCCGTGGAAGCGGCGCGCAAGGCCTTCAAGGCCCCCTCATGGAAGGGCCTCAGCGGCACGGAGCGCGGGGAGCTCATGATCAAGCTGGCCGAACTGGTCAGCAAGAACGCAGAGACCCTTGCTGCGGTCGAGGCTCTTGACAATGGCAAGCCCTATGTCACCGCGCTCAACGAGGATATACCAGAGGTCGTCGCCGTCCTCAAGTACTACGCTGGCTACGCGGACAAGAACTTTGGCCAGGTCATCGACGTCGGCCCCTCCAAGTTTGCATACACCCTCAAGCAGCCCCTCGGCGTCTGCGGTCAGATCATCCCATGGAACTTCCCTCTGGCGATGGCTGGCTGGAAGCTGGGCCCGGCGCTTTGCTGTGGTAACACCGTGGTGCTCAAGCTGGCTGAGCAGACACCACTGTCCATGTTGGTCATGGGTAAACTTATCAAGGAGGCTGGTTTCCCTCCAGGAGTTGTCAACGTCATCAATGGCTATGGCAGGGTAAGATAACCCAGACTAACCATTTGGCGCGGACCTGACGCTGACTTGTTTGCAGGAAGCTGGAGCGGCACTTGTCAAGCATTTGGGTGTTGACAAGATCGCATTCACCGGCAGCACGGCCACGGGCAAGGTCATCATGAAGATGGCGAGCGAGACGCTCAAGAACATCACACTTGAGACAGGCGGCAAGTCACCGCTTATCGTCTTCGACGACGCCGACCTGGACCTCGCCGCCACCTGGTCTCATATTGGAATCATGTCCAACCAAGGACAGATCTGCACCGCAACGTCCCGTGTTCTCGTCCATGAGAAGATCTACAACGAGTTCATCGCAAAGTTCAAGTCCACAGTGCAGAAGGTCTCCGTCGTCGGTGACCCCTTCGCGGAGACCACGTTCCAAGGCCCACAGGTGACCAAGGCCCAGTACGAACAGGTCCTGAGCTACATCCAGGCCGCAAAAGACGAGGGCGCAACCATTGCTCTGGGCGGTGACCCGGCGCCGCAGAAGGGCAAGGGCTTCTTTATCAACCCGACCATGTTCACGAATGTCAAGCGGGACATGAGGATCTTCAAGGAGGAGATCTTCGGGCCCTGCGTGTCGGTCATCACATTCAAGGACGAGGCGGAGGCCATCGAGCTGGCTAATGACACGACCTATGGCCTTGGCGCAGCGCTGTTCACTCGCAACCTGACCAAGGCCCACCGCGTCGCCGCCGAAATTGAGGCCGGCATGGTGTGGATCAACAGCAGCAACGACTCGGATGTGAGGGTTCCGTTTGGTGGTGTGAAGCAATCAGGAATCGGCCGGGAACTGGGCGAGGCGGGCTTGTCCAGCTACTACAACATCAAGAGTGTACATCTTAACATGGACTCATAGGAGTAGGCTGGGAAAGACTGTAGCGGGGAGGTGTTATGAACCAAGAAGTGTAGCACTTGGGTCATGACCTTATGAACTGGCTGGAAAATAATGAATTACTAGCTGATGGCGGGCTGAACTTGTACACAATATCACATCTATACGCCATTCTGATACCAATGGTATTTTCTCTTATAGCCCATATGAGTGCATTGTACAGAATGTTATCCCACAGATAGCCGTCCCACCGGACTGTTCTAGTAATAGGCTTCCTGGAGTGTGCGTGTGCGGCACTGGAAACAAACCGCCATCGACGAGTCGTCTTGGCCTTGCCACACAAAAGACTTGCAGACACCGGTTTTTTTTTTTTTAAAAAAAAAATCACTTTCGCCATGCGTGTCAATTTCTGAGTGGACACTGCAAGGCACCTATCCCAAAAGTTCGACGAGATGACACAGTGAACGAAGCAGCAGAGTGACTCCAAATTACACCAGCCTACCGCGGTATCTGGTAGTAGTATTTTAGAGCGAGGCCGTTTCCGGCAAACTGGTACCTGAACCCTGCCGATCCCTGGGCGACAGCGCAGGGGTTCAGAACCTTGAAGGGCCCAGAACAATACGGCTCATTCCGCTAGGCAAGGTAGCAAGCAGTAGCCTCGCCCGAGGTTCACATCGTCATCTGTCCTTTCCGCATCCTTGATATGAGCCGCAACATTTAATCTCTCCCAACCTGACCTCCCCTGACAGCCGTCCCGTCCCTCCCCTGCATACAAGGCCACTCACTTTTTTCGACCGCCTTCCATCCTACGTTTACCTCTTGTCACGACTGTCGTTTCCTATTGCGAAAGTATCCGTTCGCCTCCGACCTTGCGACAGACCACGTCCAACGCAGACGACAGCCTCAGGCCTTCTTGACCTCCGCCGATATTCTGCGAATACTTCGAGCATACAAACTCCCATAGACGCAAGATACAGGCGCATCGACCTCGAGGAAAGAGTGCCATCATTCGTGCAGTGGACGCCAGCATGGCCCCGTTTCCCGAGTCCATAATAGACGTCGGTTATCCCCTCTACGGATGCGACTTCGACCCTCAAGATCCTAATCGCCTGTTTGTTGGTGGTGGTGGAGGAGCGACGAAAAGTGGTGTCGGAAACAAGATCACCCTGCTGGATGCATCGTCTCTCGACAAGCTTGAGCCCGCCGGGGAGGTCGAGCTGAGTGGCAACGAGGACAATGTCGCCAACCTCGTCGCCGGCCAGCGCAAGGGTAAGGCCACACTGCTCTACGCCGGCATCAACTCGAGTCCGGATGACCTGAAGAAAGGGAAGAACGAGCACTTCCGAGTGTTCAGCGTGGAGCCGCCCAAGGCCAAGGCCGTGCTCGGGGCCAGGATCTCCGAGCTCTCGAGGACACAGCTCTTCACGACCGCCGACTCCGACACATACCAGCGGCTCTTGAGGCTGTCACAGCCCTTCGCCGGCCACCCGCAGCTCGGCGCTGTGGCCACGGGATTCGCGAATTCTTCTCACCAAATCGCCCTCTACGATGTCGCGGCTGGTAACAATGTTGCGCCCAAGCCGAGGGGCGTCCTGGAGATCTCGAAAGAAGCCATCGATTTGGACGTGATACAGACGGCTGAAGACCAATTTCAAGTGCTGTACTGTGACGACTACGACATATACTCGGTCAACGTGCCAAAGACGGGCAAAGTCACGGCCGAGCCAACACGTGTCTACTCCATCCCCAATGACGACAGCTCCGGCCTGCGGCCCGCCCTCCGCTGCCTCCGGTACTTGACGCCCCACTTCGCCGTCGGTGTCGCAAACCTGCCCAAGGCCGGTGGTGTGGTGCTCTACGGGTTCCGGCTGCCCAAGGCCGGCAAGGAGGACACGCGCGCCCGTATCTCGGTCAACGCCAAGCTGCCTAAGCGGCAAGGGCTCAAGGCGACAGGGCTGGCGGTCGCGAACCTCAGCCCCGTCTCTGCCCCCGAGGCGAAGCAAGGCGACGCGCAGTTCGTGCTCGCCGTGACGGGCACCGACCTCGGCATCCACCTGTACACCCTCGACCACCAGATCCTCGGCGACATCGACATGCTTGCGAACCTGCTCCCGCTGACGACCCTGCGCGCCGTACACTCCGCCATGGTTACCAGCATGGCCTTCAGCCGCTTCGCGCCACCCAAGTCCGGGACGGGCCGCATCCAGCACCTCAGGCTGGCCAGCACGTCCGTGGGCAACGCCGCCGCCGTGCAGAGCATCCCGCTGCGCAAATTCATCGACCCGTCGGCCCCCGTGCGCCGCGGCGGGCCCCCGCGCCAGCCGCGCTACGTCGTCGCCATGCGCAGCCGCCGTCCCACCGTCTGGGGCCTGGTGGCCGGCATCACGTGCTTCGTCGTCGTGCTGGCCGTGATACTACAGGGCATCCTGGAAGTCAAGGGCCTCGCGCCGCCGGCCGTCGGCGGCCACAGGTGGCTCCCGTCCGCCATCCACGCCGCCCCGCCCAGGCCCGTGCCACAACACAGCGGCTTCGTCGCCAAGCTGCTCGCCGAGAAGTCGGGCGATAACAACGGCGGACAGGTCGTCGTGCTGGACGTCGACGGGAAGGAGGTCGAGGTCCTCACCACCACTGCCACAGAAGCAGCAGCCGCCAGCGGCGAACCCGCGGCCACCAGCTGGGAGGACCTCCCGCATGAGCAGAAGGAGGCTTGGAAGGACCGACTCAGGCGGAGCGGGCACTGGGCCGAGGAGTACGGCGAGACAATCTTCAAGGGCATCCTGTTTGGCGAGCTGGCGGGCGTCGTGGGCGGGATCGTGGCCGGCTAGCTGCCTCCCGCCGCGTGAGCGGGTCGAGTGAGGTGATCATTGTCTAACGCTGCGTTGGACGTCACGTTGAGTTTTATTTGGGTATGGAAGCGTATACTTTATTGGGGCAAGGGGGCCGGTAACGCGATGGACACGCGAGAATTAGCATGATAAACCGCAGCAAAAACACGGGATTGGAAGACGACGTGGGCATTTTCATTCTAGGTCGCTGTATGCCTAAGCACCAAAAGGCCCTTGTACAAAAAAGCTTGTTATGTACGCTACGCATATCCTGCTCGCCCTCGCTGGGGACGAGCACTGTAGAAATATCAGAGCTCACATGCCCAGCTCGCTAGATCCATCGTATACTCTTTTCACAGTATACTGGTTTGAGATGGACATGTTTGTAGTCATGAGTAAACCCAGAGGTGTTGTGCAGATAATCGGTCACTGTTACGTGCATGCACCTTAGACTGGCCCGGAAGGCGACCGTAGGGCATGGGAATTATGCATTCCAAAATACCGCAAATGTGACGAACGATGTGATGAACGAGTTCTCCCCCGTTCCAGATCTGTGCACATGACCGTGAGTGCAGCCAACCATGTGAGGACAAGCCAGATATCTCGAAAGAAATGACCATCTTCGATCCCCCCCCCCCTTTCCCCCGCCTATCGCATAGTAATCCAAATCGTAGTAGTCTATCTTGCGTTCGCACCCAAAAACCCGTGAATGCTCCCGTTACAATCCTGTGGTATCATGAATACAATCCCCGTGCAAGAATCAACACCAACACCACCGCCATCTCTCCCCAGCCGAACCAGCACTTGGCATTATGCATTAAACTCAGTTGACTCAACTCAGTGGCTCCGGTGGCCCTTATCCCTCCGTCGGTGGGGACTCTTCACCGGGTACGGCGGGCTGGTCCGCTGCCGCGTCCGAGGGGACGTCGTGGGTGAGCCCTTTGCGGTCTGGCGCTGCTTCCTTCTCGGAAGGGGGCTGCTCTGGCTTTTCGGCGGCGGCGGGGACTTCTGGTTTAGGAGCTTCTGGCTTGGGGACCGGCGGTATGGCCGGCTCGTTGGGATTGTTTTGGCCCGGTTGGTTCGGTTGGTTCGGTTGCGAGGCTTCATTTGCGCCGGGTGGTGGGGCGGCCACCTTCTTTGCCGCTTCCTCCTCCTGGTTCTTCTTGGCCTCTTCCTCCGTCTTTTTTGCTGCCTCCTCTTCCTGTTTCTTCTTGGCTTCTTCCTCCTTTTTCTTATTGGCTTCCTCCTCTTCCTTCTTCTTCTTTGCGTCTTCCGCCTCTTGCGCCTCTTGCTTTTTGCGTTCTTCCTGCAATTTCTTCAGAGCTGCTTCCTGTGCTTTCCTCCTCGCCTCTTGTTCGGCTTGCTGCTTGAGCCTCTCCTGCTCCTTTTCTTCTGGCGTGGGATGTATGACTGTAAATGTGTCAGTGGCAACTCCCACAGGGATATGGCCGTGTAGCCTCCATTGTGGAACTCACCTCCGTCCTTGGAATCTCCAGCACACCTCTCACGATCCAGCTTTGCCTTCAAGACGGTGTGCAGCTCAGGGCAGTACTCCAGCATCTTCTTCCTCCTCTCGTGATCCTCCCATACGTCAGGGTGTAAGTTATCTCCCATCTCTCGAACATGGAAGCCCATGGGTCTCTCCATATACACGTCCTCGACAGCCAGAGCGCCTTCCAGGCCCGATGCGACCTTTAGGCCGGGCATGATGTACAGGCGACTGCCGAACCACTCATCCTCCGGCACGGTGTCGTTGTACCGCGCCTGAAAGCCGAGAACCTGTCGAATGGCGGTCACTCGGCGCAGGGATAGCCCCCCATTGCCAGCGAAACGATCAGTCTCGCCTCTGTGGAGGGTTAGCAAAGCGAAGTGCAGCGGGAGGCCTTGCTCTCTTACCTTGGAGCACCGGTCCAGTGCCAGTCGAGCCACTCGTTCAGGCCGACCTCGGAATTGGCACACAGGATGCTGTCGTACTCAAACTTTAATATCCACTCCACGCCGGGGAGAAACTCGTCATAAAATCGCATATCCGTCAAAGTGCGGTATACCATCTCCTTGGAAGAAACGTCCCAAGGCTCGGGCAAAACCATCAGGTCCAGTTTGCCTACGACCTGCTGGTGCTTTACCGATGCACTCCTGCCCAAGAGGGTGACACTCTTGTCGGAACCGATAAAGAGGAAGCGCCAGTCTGGGGGGACGACGGCGATCATGTGCAGCAGCTGGGGCACGAGGTGGGGCATGACCCGGGGCTCGATGATCATGGCGACCTTGGAGGCATTGTAGGCTGCCCTCGGGTCGTCGGTAGGTGTCCAGTCGACCTTTATGGATGGTATCCTCTGCCTTGCCTCCTCGAGACGAGAATTTAATTGGGCCTTGATTATGGGCTCGTAACGTGGTAAGAGCGAGGCTATCCACCATCTGGTAGGCGAAGTCAGTACACCGTTGCCCGGGATCGCTCAATGCCGACATGCTTGACCCGGGGGTCTCTGGACTGTGCGTGGATAGGGCTCGCATTAATTGAACTCACGTCAAGGCCAAGGACAGGACCAAGAGCAGGCGTGGTTTGGTGATGGCGAACACCCCAGGCGAATGGGTGGAAGGAGTGGCAGCCATGGCGGGTCGACAGGAAGCAAGTAATGGGAGAGAGAAGAGAAGACGGTGCAAGATGACAGTCTGATGGTATCTAGGCGTCGGGAAAGCGCGTCACCATCACCGGCACATGGGCATCATAGAGGGTCGGGCGTGGGGTGCCACGCAGGCCAGACTGTTCACTCGAGTCGTCACGGTGCGGTGAGATGCGACGCAGTGCGATGCGATGCGGTGCGCAGGGAGGACTTAGACGGGGCTGGTCGAGCGGTCCATGACAGCAGACAGCAGACAGCAGGACCTTTGCGCTAAGTCTGGGCTGGTAAGGACAGGAAAATTTGACAAAGAATCAAAAGATGGCGCGAGAACAATACATAGATAGAGGAGGGAAGGGAGGACTTGGTAGGCGATCGACGGCTTTGTGTCCCGATAACCTCGCACACATTGAGATCAAGGGGGAGGGAGCATTACGCAAGGTGTGCTGTGTAGATGACGAGGGTGGTACATCGGGGTACATGGCGGCACACCCCGGCCGTGACAGCCCATCTGCTGTGTGCCTGAGTGGACGACCCTGGGAAACGTGGGCGAGAGATCTCTTGGCCCGGGGTCGCGATCCCTTTGGCCCACGCGCACACACCTGCGGTCGACGGTAGGCTAGCCTACACACGGACACGCATTCCCCGTGAGATGGGTGCAAGGGTGGCTGGAGAGTCCCTTGCATTCATCATGCTTGAACTCGAGGGAGGGTGGCTGTCTGTTTACTATGTACCTGTCTACTTTTACCAGCGTGCCTTGGTCCCTGAATAGGTTTGTCTGATGTATTCCTATGCTTCAAGATCCATCAACACTGCCATCTCGGCCCCTTTTCTTCTTGAGAACCGTGGGCGCGACAAGCTTTCCGGTCTAGCCGGTGTGTTTCGAACTAAGCATGTAGGCCTATGTGTGCTATGAATACATCTGCACATCCGTAATCGACCCTGCTGTCATCATTTCCACCTAGCAGTAGCTTCTCTGCCAGCTGCTGGCTGAGTGGCTGGCTGGACGGTGCCGCACACGAATAGGGCTAGAGATGTGGGCAGCCCGGCGAGTGAGAGGATTGTGTGGCGCAAAGGGAGGGCATCTCACATGCCACGCTCTCTGCGTCTTTTTCTCTCTCTCTCTTCGCGCTCACGCCCACGCTCATGCAAGCCGATGCACGAGTGAGACCTGACGTGCCAAGACTAGAGCCGTATACTGAAAGGTACTAGATAGGTGGTAGAATAGTCTAGACAGACGGGCAAAAGCTGAGCTCAGCCGCCCTCAGCTGCTGTGTGCTGTGCAAGCCGCCTCCTTTGCGTTCGCGTCGTGCCTCTCTGGGAGAGCCCCCAATTATTGTCTCCATCTTCACATGGAAGGGATTCCCATTCCATGCCCCTCGAGGTCCCAACAGTAGACTAGTCGAATTGATTCCGCGATGCCAAGACGGTTCATAGCCCTCGAGTACCGAACCGTGGTATCGAGCTGCACATCACATCCCACGCCTGCGTTCCCTCGGGGCCGCCCAGCCCGGCTGTGAGTGGTCAATTGCTCTGCCCAAGTCACCCCCATGTACCTGACCCGGCTCCTCCTGCCCTTGTCTCCCTCCTTCTGTCGTTGCTGCAGCTCCATAACCATAACCTTGCAGGCTGCCCCAGCCCCAGAGACCTCCCTCCCTGCTGCCGCCGCAGTCACGGCCAAGAATCAGAACTCGTCTCCCTAAACCTGCCATCTGAAATGATTCCAAGTCAAATTTAGCAGCACCTCAAAGCCCGTTGAAACCCCTCGCTGGGCACACAGCATTCGACCTCGACATTGATTGCCCTCCCGTGCTCTCTCGCTACTGCCGTGCCACCACGACAAGCTCGGAACTGTTTCTTTCGCATGCTGTGCTCTCTCCTGTCAGTCCTTTGTGAACCCAAAAGCTGCCCCTTACACTCGCACCACAAACACACTGCAACACGCATACGCACGCATAATCTGAGTACAACATTTTGCCGGTGGCCGTCGTCCCATCCATCACGGAGGAATCTCTCTATTACGAGGCCTTGCGTGTCGAGTCTGCCCACCCATCCAGGCCGGGCCCGCACAACCACCCTTCCAGACTTAGACGGCCCGGGCAGGGGTGACGAGACGACACAGCATTGCTTGCGCGTCCCCCTAACCACGACTGCACTGGCCTTGAAACGTGCGCCTCTTCGGTGTGCCGATTGGAAATTGCTCCACTGGACATCTCAGATACGCTGTCGGGTTTAGAACTCGCCCAGCGCCTGTCGTGCCTACCAAAAGACCCCCCACCGCCCGGCCTGGCGAGTCGTGTATCCGACCCCATCTACCGCCGAATGCAACTGACTAGGGGTGGAAACTCGCTCGCTCGTCATTGCGCCAGCCATCTAAGAGGCCGATCTGGCCCCCGTCGCTTCTCTCCCACAACATGTCGCACAAGCAGACCTATGATGTGGACGATGTCGACTTCGGCGAGCTCTGGGACAAGATGAAGAGAGTGGCATTCAAGTTCTGGTCGAGGACTACGAGGCGCGTCCGCTTCGTATTTGCCCTCTTTTCCTTCCTGTAAGTCTTTCTCGTCACCCCACCAGCCTACAGGCCGCCGAAGCTTGCGCGCACGCCTCTGCTGCTCTCCTAACTCTGATGTGCAGTGTCATCACCATTATAATCTCGAGAGATTTCATGCGGAATGCCGCTCTCGACGACTACATCACGGTGCCAAAGGTCTCGCTCCAGTACGCCTCAGAGCAGCGGACACCCTTCAACGAGTCCAAAGTCGCCCTTCTCATCGAGAATCGCGCCAACCCCATCCTGGCACCCCTCATGCTGCACTTCATATCCGTCGTGCCCCCTGACTGGCGCTTCCGCTTCATGGGCTCTATTGAGTCCGTCGAGCACCTGAACAAGTCCATCGCCGTGCGCGAGCAGGTCAACCTGGGCAAGCTCGATCTGACCTACATCCCCTCCAACATGTCCGTGTCGTCCCAGGAGGAGATCTCCCGCTTCCTCACCACCGAGTGGCTGTACGAGACGGTACTGGCCCCGGCCGAGTGGTTGCTCATCTTCCAGACCGACTCCATCCTGTGCGCCAACTCCCAGCTCAACCTGAACGATTTCCTCGACTACGACTGGATCGGCGCACCCTGGAACCCGGGCTCCAGGTTCGGCGGCAACGGCGGCCTTTCTATCCGTCGCGTGAGCGCCATCCTCGACGTGCTGAGGTCCCAGGCCCGCGCCGACTTCTCCGAGGCCGAGGACGTCTGGCTGACGGAGCGCCTGGGCCACCGCCCCAACGCCCGCATGGCCAACTCGACCATCTCGCTCACCTTCAGCGGCGAGATGCACACCGGCAAGCCGACCCACCTGTCCTCCGACAAGGAGACAGCCCAATACAACTCGACCCTCGACGCCGCCGAGGCCGGCGAGCTGGTCAAGGGCATCGACGACTGGCGCGAGGGCTTCTACGAGCCCATGGGCTACCACACGGGCGGCGGCGGCTCATACCTGCACAGCCAGATCTGGGGCAGCCCGCGGCTCCGCAAGCACATATGGGACTACTGCCCCGAGGTCAAGATGACCATCGCCATGGACGCCGCCAAGTACGTCCCCGGCAACTGCGGCGCCTACTGGAAGAGGGACGTCCTGGGCGACGGCTACAGCATGGACCCCGCGGGCTCCCTCAGCGCAGACCTGGGCTACGGCACCGAGATCATCGACGGCGAGGAGTACCCGCTCCTACCGGATAGCCTGGCGCCTTTCTGAGCGTCTCTTTTTCTCAGATATATATTTTTACACAACTTCCTGACCATGTGTGTTGGATCAAATGTTTTCACCTATTCATGACGGAATTTTGGTGTTCATGGCGCTGGCAGGCGGGAATTTTTCAAAGGGTGAATTTTCAGGGCATACAGATGACGAAGCGATATAGAACAGGGTGCCTGGATAAATTGGTTGGTTGGCTTGATATCCCCTGGGAGAGCATACGGAATGTTATGGGCGTTGTGTTTCGGGACTTTGACGGCATGTGGAGATTGGTCGATACAGTCAAAGTCATTTACACAAATTCCAATGTGGAAATTACACTGCAGCCCTTGTCTATCTCCCTTGTCCACACAAATACTATGTCTCTCGATCTCTCTGACTTTAGTCAAGGGCCTGTGCAGTCAGTCCTTTGGGGGAAGAGAGCGCCCATGGCCGTGTGGTGTATATGCTCAACGCACCCCGAGTCACCCTCGCCGACGAGGCTGTGGGCACTCAAGGAGCGCTTGTTACTTACTCATAGCCTCGGCGAGCGCATCATGCGCCGTTGCATGAAGCAGCCGCCCTTCCTCTCCCGCCCCTTTTCCCGGCGTGGTGAGTCAACAAGCAGTGCGCTGCTCAATCGCTGCGCAAGTGTTGAATCCAGTAAGCCACTGTATGAAGCTCAAGCCACACTGCAGAGGTGTGTGTGCATCCATGTTTCCTCTGTGGTCCAACAGCGGGCTGAGTTCGATCGATGCAGTGAGCAACACCCCATTCCTTCTCTGCTATTCTCGAGCCGCCAGGACAATGGGGCTATCACGTCTTATCACATCGTGTCACATCACATTGGCCCCCGCGAGTCCATTGCTCACTTATGAGTGGGCATTGGCGGAGGGGGGAAATGACTGAGACTCAGAATTCTTCTTTTTAAGGGGCGGGTTGTATAGATGTATGTTTGTTTATATGTGAAATCGACAGCCAGAGCGTCCAGCGCCTGCCCGCCTGTCTTTATTTACCCAAGGTTCCTTCCCTTTCCCGTTCCCCCGGTTATGTACAAAGTGAGCGTGCTTATGTGGTCTGGTCTGGTGTGACCCGTCTGTCTGTGTGTCTATCTATGCGTCTAGCTAGTGTTACTGCGAGTCCATGTTGAGAAAGTTGGAAAGATCGTCCGTCTCAGGGTTGAAGAAGTTCGCCCGCCCCATGACTGCCTCACGTTGCTCTTCGGCCTGCATGAACTGGTTAATCAGCCGCGTGTTAGAGGACGCCTGGGAGATACCCTCCTGCCCGTAGTCATCCTCGCCGCCGCCGCCACCACCCATCTGGCCCCCTGGCTGGGTGGTCATGTTGGCCGCGCCGCCTGTCTGTGTTGGCCCAGCGTTGGACGCCGTCCCGTAGGCCGAGTCCGATGCCGCAGGTCTGGGTTGCCCGTCGAGTGACTCATAGTGCTGATGGGTGGTGGTGACGGGGCTAGTACGGTGGACGGTTGACATGCTGTCTGACCTCCTCGAAACAGAGGGATGGTAGTCGGCCATGACTCTGTCAGTGTCCATGTTGAAGCCCACCTGGTCCGTGTAGTCGACCGGCCGTCTATGCGTGCCCCCCATGAGGGCCCGCGGCTCTCCAGAGGCACCTCTTCCCTGCGCGGTGTACCGTTGTGGGCCACCATCAAACGTGTAGTGGCCCATGGCTTGGGCCTGCGGATGGCCAGTTGTAGCCGAAGACGACATCAATGCATGTGACATCGTCTCGTGCTGATTTGGCATAGTTCTGGGCGTAGCTTGTGGGATCGCTGGCTGGAACATCCTCTCGAGAGCTGAGACTCTCGCCATAAGAGCGTTGTGCTCGCTCCGGCTGACAACATCGTCCCCACGGAAGTATGACTGCGCTCTCGAGTTATTCCGAGGCATGTCTTCGTCAGATTCACCTTCTGCGTCGGACACCTGGTCAATGCCGCTGTCGTTTGAGCCAGCACCCTCCACGGGAACTGTCGCCAGACGTGGGTCAATCTGGCAAAATGTGCTCTGAAGAATACCATACTTCTCCCTTTTTGATCGTGAAGCGATTTCACAGTCAGCGTTGAAATGGTTTTCGAAGGCTTCGGGGTCCGAGAAAGTCCGCCAGCACCTCCTGCACAAGCCAGCAGCGGGGTGGCCATGCACGTTGTCCTGAAGGCCAAAAGACGAGACACTCTTTCGACCACTAACCACGTCTAGGCAGTGGGCAGGCCGGCTAAGGTGACGACTGTCTCTGGACATTAGCAGGGGAATCTCGCATGGCCTTGGAAGCACATTGTACTTACACTACTGTGGAGATATTTTCGTGTTCTGTGTGGCAACTGAGATACTTCTGATGACGGGCCAAATCATATATTTCCGGATGTTCAGCTCGGAACGGGCAGATCATCTTGGGGTCTCCTGCTTGATCTGTCTTCCCATCAGGAGCCTTGTTCCGCTTGTTTGGAGGTTCACCTTCCTCGTCGCTGCCATCAGATTCCCTGGAGAACCTGACCGACCGCTTTCCCGGCTGTTTGGACTGCCCGGGGTTGCCAGAGCGCAAACCTCGAGTGGTGGGGAACCCACTCCCCGGGTCTGATTCGACATCATGTGGTGCTATGCCCTCTCTTGTAGCCCACGGGCATTGGGTCAAAAACGGGCTCGGCTCTGAAAGAGGTGTTAAAACCTGGGTCTTGACGGTCGGGCTTGCTTGTGGCGTCAACACGGTAGGCAGGTGCTTCAATGAGTTTTCATGGCGAGACGCTGCTTCTGGTGTGAGCGCTTTGACTGCGGAATGTCCATCCCGAGGAGCGCTGGTGTACAGCTGTGGATCAACTGGAATCTTCAGCCACTCATTCGCCTTGAAGACCGGCAGCATATGTCTGGGAGAACTGCTCTAGGAAATTTTCGTTGTTCCTGAGCCTCGTCACTGGTGAGGTCCAAGGAATATAAACATCTGCTCCGTATGGGATGGGCCCGTCATACGGCGTTGACGCAGGAGAGTTGTGTGGTGCCAATGGGCTCGGTGAGACGGTCAAACCTGGAACAGTCCGGATTGTCAAGCTGCTACCCGGGTGGATGGCCTGCTTGCTGGCGTCGCTGGTCAGGACGGGGTATTGAGAAGTCGCCTCGTCTTTGTGACCAAGTCTGCTGCGGACATACTCCCAACCGTGTGTCTTCTCCATGTGCTGCTTGCAGTTTGATTCCCGCTTAGAAGTGTCTGTTCAGCGTTTGGGGGTTAGTGAGTTGTCTTGAAGGGTGCTCCCGGAATCTCCAGACGTGTCTGCCCAAAGAGCGACGGAATAGGGAATGGACTTACATGTGCAGGGCGGATACAAGCAGGAGTATGTTCTCGGTTCCATGGAATGTTTGTCATTGCGATGGCGGTCCAGCTCCTTCTCTGTTGGCCAACCAAGCAGGTGATACTTGCAAGCCTCGACCGGGCACTTGAACGGCCGGGTGTGTGCTTTGAGATGTTTGTTCAAGTCGCATAGTCGAGGATACTGTTTGCCACACTGCTGGCACACATGAGGCCCGTCAATTCCTTCCATGTCCCGCACGGGCGATGCTGTCAGACTGTGGGCCGAGATGTTTGCAGGGTCGTCGTGGTGGCCAACAAGTCCCCATTGAGGCTCTGATGTCGGAGCAAAGGAAGGATTCATGTCAGATGGGCTGACAAGGAAGGGGTGGAGCTGGACCTCGAGGCTAAAGGCGGGACAGGCAACGAAGATGTGTCTCTCGCCTCTAGTGACTGTATGTGTGGACTAGATGTACAAGTGCCAGGTATGGGATTGGATGACCTCTCTTACTAGGATCAGGACAGGCTTCGGTCCGTCCGAGTGAGAAGGAATTGAGCAATCAAAACAATGCTTATCCTCCCAAGTGCAGAAAACGGGACAGTTGCGGAGGAAGTGAAGGGGAACTTGTCGTTGATAAATTGGGCAAAATCGACGGCGGGTTCGTGGTGGCTTTGAGTAACGGGGGAAGACAAGGAGTAGACAGCCGAAGAGGTCGGGCAGCAGGCAGCAGAATTTCACAGCCTCGAGAGGTATTTAGCTTGTGATGGCGAGTTGCAGTCGACTACATGAGGTGAGGTGAGGTGAGGTCAGGTCAGATCCGGTGCGGTGCGGTGCGGTGCGGTCCAGGTGTGTGCCAATATGCCAATGTGGTAGCCTTGAACTGGCGGCATCGTCTATTATATGAACTGCTACCGTGGGATGTATCAGGCATGGTATGGGATGGGTTGGCCGGTATGGATTGCCAGTCATAGCCATTGCATAGCAGAATATCTGGATGGGTAGGCAGGCCCCAGGACGGGGCTGGAGGGGGCAGGCCATCTTTCGAGACCCGAGCATGCTTCGATGGCATTTCCAGTGAGCTGCGCAGTAGAGCTGGGTGCAGCCGCGTGGCTGAGCCTTCCCATCTGGGTTCTGGGTACGATGGTACGTCGGTACGTTGGTACTCAGGCATGCCGACCCATTGCCGCGCCGGCTGCAGTGAGGTCAACTGCTTGGAGGGGATGGGGGATTGGGGAAGGGCGTGTGGGAGGTGGGGGCGTGCGCATATGAGGTCGGTCAGTAAGCCAGTGATTGCCATTTCCAGTCTGTGCCGCAGAGAGAAGGATCGAGGGTGAGTGAGCACTGACCACCTTGCTTTGCTCTTTGGTGTGTTAGGTAAGCCAAAAGTGAGGTCTCCAATGCTCAGCAAGCGCAGGGATGCGGCGTCTACCCGGGCGTGGACGGTGAGGCTTTGCGCGTGTGGGATGCATGCGGTCTGCATTCTGCACCCTTTTCTTCTCTCACCTTGACGTGCCTGACCTCGACCACGGCCACAACTCGCGGCCAATTTTGGGGCCTAGGTGTGTTGGGAACCGTTCTGCCGGGCCCGGGCTCCCCACGCTGACCATTCACAAGCCTGTCTTTGTCGACTCAGCCAGCTTCGTGGCAGCCAACGTGCATATCCCATCAGGGAGGCTGCTTGTGTCGTACCAGAATCTTACTTTTCACATGGTCCGCTAAGCGCAGGCGCGGGACAACACTGCGACGCTTCTCCAGATCAGAGTGTGATCAGGTCGCGATGCCACTGCTGCAGGAGCAAGGGCCTGCCCTATGCGTATGCCTGGCCAGCACTATGCCTGGTACGTGCACCGCGATCGCGAGGCAGAATCAACGGCAGACTATCTGGGCTTCTACCTAGCTACGGGCTGCAGAATACGGAGAGAATGCATTAGCAGCATCACTCCTCCCCGTCAGCTATGACGTTCAGCTCGCAGGTTGTTGCATTTGCTCGACCACGGGAGCAATGCGGACGTACTCCAGTGCGATTTCTCTGCTGCTGCTGCTGCTGCTCTTGCATTGGATTTGGTTTCAATTGATCACGATGCCTACTCGCAGCGAGCAGAGCCGCCGAGCATTCATCTCGATTGCCATCTGGCCCCGGCTCGGTGTGCTGTAGATCCAACTGTCCTCAGAAGTCCATCACAGGGCTACACGTTGTTAGTCTACAGACAGTAGCAGCACATGTCGAAGCCAGCATCCCCGTCATCAGGCTCAATTAGGTTTGCGGAAACCGGCGCCAGGATGCGCCCACCGACAGGCATTGTGGGGTCTATCTCGAGATCGTCCTACCCTGGGCCGTCCCCGCTACCCTGGGGTGGTCCAGTACGAGAATACCTGGATGGCTTTCCCGTGATCCAACGTCGATGTGACATTGCCTGCTGATGCCTTACGGCCCCCGAGACGCCCACCAATGAGCGCAGGGAGGTTTTGATCCATACATAACATTATCATCGATGCCATCACCAACACTCGCTAGTGAGCCGCGTGCTATGCGGCCTCCGGCCGTTGGGCCCTGGGGTCCCGTCCGGACCAAAGCGGGCCCCTTGGGTCGCCTTGGCGGGCCGCCGAAACTGGCCTCCCGGCCCATAAAGGCGACCAAGTGCCGCAAAAGATTTTTCTAGGCTGTTACCAAGGCTCACGATGCACTCCCCGTACGGTCGCTGCAACCTGGCTGCTAAGGTTTCCGTCATTTCCGGGTCTCCTGAAACGGCACTTTTGGAGGACGATGCCTCATTGTTCGAGATGCGAGAGAGCACTTCGCGAAGCTCGCTTGCACCTGCGGACCCTGGCTACCGAGGTGCCAGGTAGCCCCGGCCACCCAGAAAGAGGTTGGAATCCTGGAGCACAGACCAAGACGTAGTGGGGCCCATGAAGCTCAGCACCCCTCTCCCACTATGATTCCACGCGTTTCCTGACCAAGTCCCAGACAGACACTCGGTTACGACGATTGACCAAGGCCGACTGCGTGGGTCCCCCAAGGAGCAGTCGTGAAGAGGCCTGGGATGCCTGATGCAACCGCACATCGCCCTCGTCCTCAGTCACCGGATTGCTCAACGGCGCTGCCGCGGTGGTGACAGGTGGTCACGACCAAAGATTCGTTGATATCGCTGGCCCCTGCCGCCCCTCTAGGCCCATTATTTGCCTTCGGGGGAGGTCCCTCAGCCGAGGCCGCGGGCCCGCTCCCATGGCCCGCGAGCGACCGTTTTTCTACTTTGTGCTTGAGCGAACGGTGACAAGACTTCGCCACTTCAACCGAGAGCCACACTCTTGCCTTGTGGCTGGAAGAGACCAGACGGTGCCGGCAAGTATCACCGATTCGAGTGGAGTCTTTAACATTGCGCATCCAGTGAATTTGGCGCTCCAACGTCTCGTCAAAACCATCTTATGCAAATTCATTGCACATTGAGATGATCCAGAAGCTTCGTCGTCATGGGGGCCAATTTTATGTGGACTCATCGTACCTGGACTGGGACTCGTCCAAGCTTGGATCACCCGTTCGTGTGGCTCATAGGGCTGACTGCAGCTTGCGACGTGTTGGCGCTCTAACTACCCGACAGGGTCTCGTGGGCCTGTGCCTCACCACATCTCACAGACGACAGTCAACAATACGACGGAGGCAATTGACCACGAGTGCCAGCGCATCGTTCCCCGGCTGTATGCCATGTTTTGTCTGGCTCAACAACTCAGCCTTGCATGTGCGGTGCCTTCCCTGAGCCCCAAAACTGTTACATCAGGCCTTCCATACGTTGCGTTGACTCACGCAAATTCCCGGTGACCGGTCGCTCAAAGTGCTCAACGGTGAGATGCCAGGCACCAGGTATGCTTTCTGGAAACCTCACCGGCACATCTCCGAATCTCGTTCTATGGGAATTTCGGGATCTGAATCCAATCCTTGTATTTCATCCTGTCAGTTCTCAGTTCGCGCTGAGAAGGCTGCCGCATGCTGTCAAAACCAACAACTTCCGCGCATCGGATATCCTAACTCATTAAGAGTAGATAGCAAAGTGTTCACATGACAGCGATAAGGTGACGTGCCCTAAGACCAACACCAGCCAGAGTCCCAACTTTCAGGTTGTGCGATTGTTTCGCCCAAGCCTCAAGAGGCAAATCTCGACATATAAAATACATGGAATATGCTGCGCGCTTTATGCTGTCACCTGTTCATTGAATAAGTGCACCAGCGCTTCATAAAATCATTCATGAAAGAGGATGTCAGCACATCTGGGCTAGTACGCCATGATGTCTCACAAGAGCATCAGCTAGAGGCTCTGATATTGGAACACTTGAGACCCGTGAGTATAAGTGGCAGTGGCGGTGAGATCAAATATACGAGTTTTGAGGCAGAGACTTATATTACTGTTCTTTGCCAGCTCTTCTAGATATGAATTATTTATATGTGTTCTCACCTGAATGTACCCCAAGCAGCGCACAATCTATGAGCAGGGCAAACAGAGCCGTTCATGCCGCCATATACGTAGCATGAAGACGAAATATGGTACTATCAAGCCCGTAACCGCAAACATCACTACCCTCCCCATCTATTTTGCGTCGATTAGTCGATTAGTCGATACAGTAGTCTGGCACACTCTAGCCTGAGCTCTCGTGAACCAGGTCCTTGATGCTACAGGTTAAACCCCACGATGCATGTCTTTCTCTGCCTAATATTACCCAATGCGAAGGACCTCCTGGCAACCGTCAAACGTGCCGGAAAGCCCCCCTTCGTCTCGATTGCTTTCCAGCCCTTCACCAGCCTCTGATATGCGATATTTCGAGGGTCAGGCCTGGGGACAACCCAACGGAGGTGATGTACCCAGCATGCGTGTCTGGGAAGGGTCTTGGAGCGACTGAGACTTTTCTCAGGTGCCCACAATGACACTCGGCCGACGCCCGGGTCCGGGGATATTGTTTTGCTTGATTCTGGGATGTCTTGAATCTCAGTAATACGAGCCCTGTAGATCGTTGTAGAAACCGGGTGTTACCACGAGGTCCTCCACGTCCTCGGCTTATTCAACAAACAAGTCGCGACTGTGCGCCATAAAGGAACTGCCCGCCCTCCAAAGGAGGAGCACGACTACCGCATGAGACATGCATACCGCTGGCTGTCCAGAGAACACGAATACATGCTCTGTCTTCCCTTTCCTTGCCGCTGTCGGGGCCATGGAAACCCTTGAGGCTGAAGCGGCCAAAAATGTGAACACGAAACTTCAGGCTTCTCCCACACGGCTGCGTGTCGTTCGGAGTACGCGAACCCCCTATGTTCTTCCCGCCTCAGTGGTGCTCCAGAAACTGCGGATATTAGTTTGGAAGTGAACGTGGTCCACCTCTTACAGTGCTTACCTGCGGCTGGTCCACGTGGCTGGGATGAAATAGAGGAAGCCTGCAGGAGTAAGCTGGTCTGCTGTCAATGGACGAGCAGCCTCACAACATTCACCCGGGGGCGGCTTTGACGAGAGGGAAGTAATCTTCCTGTCTCTTTCCTCTGTCGCTTGACAGGGAGCCCAGTACGAATGGCTACAATCCATGGGCAGCGGAAGTTGTGTTCAAGTCTTGGAACCTTCTTAAGAGCCCGAGATAGAGTCAAATGCCAACAAGAAAACAGCGCCAGCGCTGCACGTTTGTGGCCCATGCTCTTGGCAAAAAGAGCACCTCGCCGGAGTCGCAGTGTATGAGGTCATGCTCTTTAAAGCACTTGCGCATACCTAGGTAGATAGAAGCTTGCTCCATCATATCACAGCTCTTTATGGAGGTTTGAAGACTCGTGTTCCTCGCACAGTGTCGCTCGAGAAACAAATGTCTGCGTCGGTGTCACCGTTACAGAAACTACGGAGACTAGACCTTGTATCGCCATCGGAAACATCGTCGTACATAGCATTGTATCGCTTAGTGCTTGGACCGAAAGCAAAAGTCAATATCGGTGCCTGTCACATGCCGATCTAGTCGGCGTGTGAACCGTACAAGAAGCGCTCGGAGGGAAGGGCACGGGGTACTCTGCTCGCTCTGTCATGCTGGGGTGAGTGGTGAACAAATATGTCCCAAGAGCAGGAGCCGCTGCTCTCTTGTCACAGAGCATGCGAACAGGCTCGTGCTAAGGTACCTGTTCCCAATGTAAATCGATGTAATTTGGACTGGCAAGTCCTGTCCAGTATAGCCAAGACTCACGGGGCCACACTGAAGTCCTCTGGTCACCTATGGCACATGTAGAGGTTCGAGGACGGCGTTGAAAGCAAAAGCAGGCTGCTGTACCAAAAACAGCACATATTTTGCCTCAGCTCTTCTGAGCGTTGCCTTCCTCGATATAAGGCTGGGTTAGATAATCAAAACCCAAAACGCCCGAACTGGCTGCGCTGGCCGAGCTACAACTCTCGGGAAAATCACGGAATACGACAGACAGGGGATTGGGTTGAAAATTCCCGAAGAGCTTGTCTCTTCTCCAGTTGCACGCCCCGTGCTCTTGGTGAGAAGATAGGGTCATCTCTTCACGTGCCATAGTTGCTGTTGTACTCCAGTCTTGAGGGTAAGTCGGCTGCAAGATCTCCCTCGCTTGAGGAAAGGGGGCGGCACTAGACGTGGAGGCTCTTTCGACGGTGATGATGCCAAGCCATTGTCAATAAGAACAGGCCCACCGCACTCTGATCGGTGGGAGCGAAGACCGCCGTAAGAGCCTGGCAGGCTGATAGGACTCGCCGCGATCTGCAGAATAGGGGAGTGATCGGATCGTCGGCTGCCCGAGGGTGCGAACTGTAGAGTGTTGACAGAGATGCATCCCAGAAGCAGCAGGCTGGGCCGAGCCGCAGTACACAGGATGCAGTAGGTAGTCTAGCTCGCAGACGGCACAACATGAGATGCCCGAGAATGGCTTCCTCCCGACTTCCCTCCACCTATTTCTGGAGTCAGGCTGCATGGTCCTTGCGTGGCACTCGGCTCCTTTGGGCATGAGTGGACACGGGCGACATCATCGTTGGATGCGGGCAGGCTTGAATGGAGAAGGCGAAAGCGACGATCAGGATGGATTTGGAAAGGAATAGTTTGATTAGGAGCTGTTGGATCTGGGCCGGAATAAATTCGCGAGATTACCTCGAAAGACTTGAACCTGGTGGGTGAGATGCAGAGGGGAGAAGGCAAATGGGAGATGGGAGATGTGGTACAGTAGAACCAACAGCATGACCAAAATCGCACTGTCTGGGTTGTGAGGAGGGGAGAGTCAAGGGTTATTTTGGCGCTACTTCGATGGGGCAGATCATCGGTCTTCCAAGGTTGCTGGATGCATATCAGTGGTTCTCTGTTTCGAGTTGCTGGGGCCTACAACCCAGTCACGACAGGGGACAGATGCTGTGCTGTGCTGTGCTGTAGGCTTTTACAGCGCTGTAGCGTCCTGGGTACGGAGCAGCGAGGTTCAAGCATCCAGATTGAGTGACCAAAGGACGGGCCTGACGTACTGGACTATCGATCAAGAGCATATACTGTGGTACCTAGGCTGACTTTCGTATTTCTCTAATTGCCCATTGCTATTACCGTCGTCATCACCATTGGCAGCCGTAGTTGCCAACTCCTTGGGAAGGTCCAGCCCCGCCAGGCCGCTCACCCACACCTGCCATATTGCCGGGAAAGGAAGCGAGCAAGGCGTACCTGCATTAGCGTCTGGAGAAGGCTCGCCGGCAGCGAAAGACCACTGGACACCCTATGAAGCGAATATTGGATCCTTTTGGGGCCGACCTGACGACCAACTGCTCTCCTCCTGCTAGTGCGCGGCTCAGCAACAGCAAATTTCCCATCTTCGCCATCCTCATTCGTCGATGGCAGAACTTGATGCCTTGAGGACCGTCCATCCATCCGCCGCTTTGCTCGCTGTCGTGCAATCGCACAGGTCATATGGGTGGATGCAGCACAGTAAGCTTACAGGCTCACAGCGCTGTGGCTTGCTGCTATCGAAAAACCGTCGCTCAATGACAGTTGAGCTCGGTCTTGCCATTACGTTTCGTTTCAGGACGAACCTGGGCGTCCTCTGGGGCATGGTCCGGGATCTCGCGGCTTTAAAGATCTTCCTTGGGTGGCACTGACAATTCCCAAATATCACCTAGTGACAAGGTTACATCTCTAATGTACCACAAGCATGCAGGGTCCGGAAGTGGTCCCTGGTCAATCCCAATTTGGGTATGGCCGACGTTGAAATCTGGGGCAACACCACAAACAAACGCTTCCCTCCTCAACCTCGTCCCCGGCTGTCGGCGGGGGCCAGCCCTGGGGCGAGGGACATTGGCCTCTGTCAGACGCATTGTCGTGGGCAACAAGGCGAGGCTCGCAATCTCGTGGTCAACTGCTGCTATCGACGACGACCCGCTTCCATCCAAAGGGCAATATCCATGTGTGCTTGGCCGTGTATCGCCAATAGGCCCGAGTATTCCACAGGCGGTTGGAGGCAGCCGTCAGTGGATGAGCCCAGCAACTGTACTCATGTCCGTGGATCATCTCGTCTTGCATGATAGACTGCTGGGTAACGCGCGGCTGAATCGCAGAGAATGTTGATCATCAACAATTTCTCCAGCATCAGTCATTGTGCTCATGGTCCTCATCGACGAAACAATACGGAATAGTAACAAGAAGGCTCTCGTCTAAGCGCCTGCCAGCAGCAATAGCATCGCAAGACTGACACCCGACAGTCCAAGATGGAGGGCGCGCTAGCTCCGCAATTTGCAACCCTACCCGCCCTTCTGAGCGTCTCTGTCCACTCATCCGGCTAGCCTCGAGATCAAATCGTCGATCAGCCCTCCTCTGCGGCTGCAAACCCAGACATCGCAGCAGCTGAGCACATGGCCCCGGCCTCTGAGCCCTCCGGACTGCGGCAAAAGATGGCATTTGCCTGAGCAGATGGCTTCAACAGGTGCTGCCAGAACTCAGGCCCCCGGCCCCCGGGCACTGTGGATATGCTCGGTGGAGGACATCCCTGGTGATGTTAATGATTGTTCCTGAGCCTCTCCTCCACCTAGGCCCCTGGATTAGCGCGCCCCTGCACAACCCATGCTCGGTGCAATTTCCCACAGATCCCACACCCTCACCCTCCCGGAGGAAACCCGCGGGGTCTACTGCAGGTACCTGCGCCCATGAGCCTATTTAACAAGTCTGCGTCCTTTTCTCGACATCTTCGCAGTCTTTCCTCTCCTTCAGCCCACCAAACAGCTCCACGATATTCATCTCTAAGAGCCTTTGACTCAACTTGACTTCGGTCGTCCATTCTTTCAGAACAAACGCATATACAAGCCCCGAGCTTCAGTCCGGTCTTTAACTCAACCGTTCACCTAAAAACCAGTCCGTTTCGAAACGAGATATTAACCCCCCCCCCAAAACCGTCAAGATGAAGTCCGCAGTCTTCGCTGGTCTCCTGGCTACGGCCTACGCCACTGAGGTTCAGTCCACCGTGTACGCCACTGAGCAGATCACCATCACCTCGTGCGCCCCTACCGTCACGGACTGCCCTGCCCGCTCCACCGAGGTGTCCTCCAAGGTCCACTCCTTCACCCAGAGCACCGTCTACAGCACCGAGTTCGAGACCATCACCAGCTGCGCCCCCGAGGTCACCAACTGCCCGGCCGAGTCCACCGTTGTGTCCTCCTCCAGCTACTCCGTCAGCACCACCCTGGCCCCCATCCCGGAGACCTCGGCCACCCCCGCCCCCTCGGGACCTGCTGGCACTCCTCCCGCTGGCACTCCCCCCGCTGGCTCTGGTGTTCCCCCGGTTGCCTCCTCCGGCCCCGCCCCTGGCCCCTCCGGCCCTGCTGGCGTTCCTAGCTGGGTCTCCTCCAGCTCCCCAGTGACCACCGGTGCCCCCGGCGGCGGTGCTGGCGGCGTCTGCCCCACCTACTCCGTCAAGACCATCTCCACGACCACCGTCGTCCCGACCGTGCTCTACGAGACCGTGGCCGTGCCTTGCGGCCCCACCGGTGTGCCCCCGGCCCCCTCCACCGGATTCGGTGTCCCTCCCCCGGCTGGTGGCAACGGAACGTAAGTCGATAGCCCTTCTCCCTGCTGGCGATACGTGAGAGAAACAAATATGCTGACCCCGTCATCCAGCGTCACTGGCTCCGTCCCCACCCCTACCTCCGTCGTCACTGCTGGCGCCGGCCGCACCTTCGGTGTCTCCGCCGCCCTGGCCGGTGTTGCTGGTCTCGTCGCCTTCCTGGCCTAAGTTTAATCGCATCCTAAGGTCTAAACGGCATCGGCGTTCTCATGGCTCGGGCGCTTGGGTGGCACGTCACGACGGGCTGTTCAGCATCCTCTGGTGGACATGTTGCCGCGATGTATCTATGTTATCATTCTTGAGACGTACCGAGCCACCCTGGGGAAACCCAAACCATGGGGACAACCCGGCGCTCTCGCTTTTAAAACATTAAACACCATATTCTTCTATCTTGATACCAACCTTAATTTTCGTCTGTACATAATTTAACGACGTCATGAACGTGTGTGTCTCTGTTTCTGTTTGTGCCCATGCAAAAAAGTGCCGTCGTCTTTGGTCCGTGAGTGAGTAGTAAGGCTACACCGCCTCAGCAAACAGAGATCGTCCTTGAGCAGCGCGTGGTGTCTCATTTCCCAGACGATCAGTTGACGTCGGGATTGCCAATGAGTCGGCCCTTGGTGGCGGTAGGGGACCCCCCTGGGCGGGGGAGATTAAGGAAAGACGGGATGGCAGGTCGGCCCCGGGCGCCAATTGGGCAAGGTTGTCTCTTGGAAGGACAGCCCAGCTCAACCCCTGGCCTCGTTAGCTGTTTCATCTTTCTTCCCAACTTTGAAAAAAGCAGGGAAGCCGGGAACATGCATGTTTCATGACTGACTGGTTCGTCTTTTCTATTTCTCTTCTGCTTATTTTTGTGTGCGGGACGGTTGACCCACCTGCTGGGGAAACGATGACGAAAGGGCTGCTATTATTGTTTTGTTTCTTTTTCTTTTTATGTATACGTGTATGGTTATAATTTGGGCGAGAATATTGCCCGTCTTTATCTCGTCATGAGTCGGGGCCTCTGCACACGAGGCTCAGACCTCTCTCCGCGGAAGGTCTGTGATCGGGAATGATGGCGAGGTTGAGGTTCACTTACGGGGGCTCGTGCAAGTGCAATGCCCGTTCCGCATCCCGACTGATGGCGAAATGTCCGCCGCAGGGGGGATCCAACCTGCCTGGGGACCGTCCGTGGTTGCACGCGACATACCAACGCATGTGATTGCGGGCCCGGTCCTACATTCGACGACGGGAGGTGCTGTGGGTCTGGTTGTCGGCCACGACGTGTGTAGCTGACCCCATGGGCTTTGTGCAAGTGCTGGGTGCGAGGTCGCTGGGAGGTGGGCGCAAGAGGGAGGGAAGCATGGGGCGCCTGGGGCTCACCCCGCTGGCGAGGCGAGCGAGTGCTGCCTCTTGGGAGGGGGAGGGGTCACTCACTATATGTGGCATTGACGAGGTCAATTTCCCGCCCGCTGCCGCTCCTAGTCGTCTCGGAGCTTGGGGACCGAGGTTGTGTTGGTGAGAGGGTGAGAGAGAAGGGTGTCAGGATGTATACTCAATCAAGCAGAAGCAAGGCTGTGTCTTGTATGTTGCGGTGGTCAAGCGACCGCTGTGGTTAAGAGTCTTTGGCCCCGGGGGGGGGGGGGGGAGGGGGCGCACGAGAGATCTAGACAGGATGCGGCTCCTTGGAGCACGGCTCGTCTGTGATCAGTGGTCATACGGCACTGCTTGGTCTTGGATGAGCTCGCATGCCGGCTTGTGTGGTATCCAGGGGTGATGCACCGGGCAAGGCCAACCAGTAAGCTTCTTCTGTGTTCGCACGGCTGCGACCTTGGCCTTTCTCTTGTCGATTCCTCTGTACAACGGCTTCTCAGATACATCATCACCACTGCGTTCTGAGAAGGCATTCGTTCATCCGTGTTATGCAACAAGAGATATCTGCAGATCTGGTGTGCACCCGCTCACAGGATAGCACGACAGCCTGTTTTGGTGCTACCGCCCGTCATCCCTTGCGTCACGAGGTCCCGCGAGATTCACACGGCAGTGGTGATGCCAATTTCTCTGGTACTTGAACTTGGCTTGGTTTGTGTGTAGATATGTCCGGGTATATAACGGGGTTATTGCTCGCGAAAATCTACGAGCATCATTATCCTGTCCTTTTTTGACAGACAGCACACCGTCGTGCGGACATTACACAGTCCACGAGGATGTCTTCGTCGCAGACGTATCATATCCATCTACACGATGGAGAGCGTGTCGGAAGCGTGCTAAACCATTGGGCGGGCCGCGTGTGTGTCTCGGAGTCGCGCCTTCCTCGACAAACACAGAGTTGCTCCTGTGCCACGGCGTTCGAACTCGGCCGAGAGGTCGACACAGGGCAAGTGCGCATCGCTGGGCCAGATGGCGTGTCGACTTCCAGCTCTTTATCTGGCAGGGTTGCCTGAGGAAAGGGCCTCTCCCAATGCCTGTGTCGACCCTCTGCTCCAGCTTGCTTTGCATCTTGAACTTGTTTACATACTTTACTGCCTGGTTCCCCTTGGGGCCAGCCTGCTCGACACACCATACGCGTTCGGGGCCAGCTTACTCAACAGTATCATACTGCTTCATCGGATCCTTCTAGCATCTCGTATTTCCATTGCTGTCTAAGCCGCACGGGATTTCAAGCTCCTGCGCCGTCTCTGTTCCAGTCTCTGTGCCAGTCTCCAACTCGTTGCGGGAGCATCCTCTTTCGACTTTGGTCTCAGTCCATGCACACACGATCCGCGCCGTCACGATCTTAAGCGCTGTCCGGCAACCTCGCTACCACGAGTCTCCCCGGCATATGGCAACCAGACAACTGCATATTCAATTCAAGAAACCAGTGTGCCAACATCCATCAAGTCCTGTTGGGCCTTGCCCAGCATCTTGGCCAGTCTCCGACACTTCAATCACTGAATTTCTGGCCGTGTAAGACTCTGTCTGTTGACGAGTGCGACTGACCAGCAATCATGGCCGGCTTGAACCAATCCATGCCGACACCACAAGACCCTCGCATTTGTAATGCCACCAATTACCCCAATTACTGGTTCAACAACCCCTTCGGCCCAAATGCAAATTGCAACCTCGAAATTTGCTGTCCAGAGTTCAGCGTCTATGCTTACATTCCCGGGCTGGCGTCGAATGCCGCCTTCCTGGGCGTGTTCGCGGTGGCCATGCTCGTCCATGTCCTCGTCGGTCTGATATGGAACCAGTGGTGGTTCATGTGCTGCATGGTCGCTGGCTGTGTTGATGAGATCCTGGGCTACGCGGGACGTGTGTGGATGAACCAGGATCTCTGGAACTTCAACGCCTTTATGATCCAAGTTGGTGAGTTATACAATTCCCTCAGGCGTCCAAACCACCGTGGACGTTGTTAAACAGGTTTCTGACAAGCCGGTTTGAAAAGTCTGCATCACGACCGCGCCTGTCTTCTTCTGCGCTGCCATATACGTCCTACTCGCTAAAACGCAAGTGACCACCTCCCGCGCCTCTTCACCACCGAGTCCCTTGGAAAATGGACTAACATGGATTTGCTGATGATAGAATCTTGAGCTTCGGCCCCTCCTTCTCACGATTCAACCCTGCCCTGTTCTACTGGATATTCATTCCATGTGATATTATATCCCTGGCGCTGCAGGCGGCCGGCGGCGCCCTATCGTCCGTTTCCTCGGGCAAAAATAGCAAGGGCGTCGACCTCGCCCTCGCAGGGCTCGCACTACAGGTGATCACGCTCGTGATATTTTGTGCCCTGTACGGTGACTACCTGTGGCGGTACTTCAAGTCCGAGGAGTTCAAGGCCCGCGCCAGCACGCAGAAGTCGTTTGGGCTGCGCCTGAAGCTGTTCTACGCCTCTGAGGCGCTGGCCGTCGTCGCGATACTGCTGCGGTGTGCTTTCAGGGTGCATGAGCTCAGGGAAGGGTACCAGCAGGAGAACAAGATGCTCCATCGCGAGGAAATGTTCATCGGTCTTGAGGGAGTGTAAGTGATAGAAGCGCCTCCCCGTCTCCCCCCCCCCCCCAAAAAAAAGGTATACGTCGTTCTGCTAACAATTTTTGCCCTGTTTTAGCCCCATCGTCCTCGCCGCATTCTTCTTGGCTGTTGGCCACCCCGGCCTGATCTTCGGCGATGGCACTGGGCGCAGGTCACCACTGGCTTCATCGTCTAAGGAGCTTGATGTTGAGCAAAACAAGGACGAGACAACCGATGGGCCGGCTGAAGAGCCAACTGATGAGCAAGCTGATGAGCAAGTTAATGAGCCGTCTGATCAGCAGTCTGAGAAGGCACCCAAGGAGTCAGTCTCAACTTGAAGGGGTGGAGGTTCAGGTCTCCACAGTACAGATGGCCATCGTGAATACATCAGCTCGGACGCTGCATACCATAGGAAGGCTGTGAAGGTCTTTGCGCATTGTGCTGGTGAGAAATTGGATATGTTCGGTGTCCACATGGAGTTTGAGGACAAGTGCACAATCAGAGATAACTAAATTGTTACAAGGGGACGAACGACAGGAGGCACCTTACCAAAGGAAGGCAATGAAAGACATGGTTTCCTCTCTTTAGTACCGGCACTTGAACAGTAGTAGGCAAGTATTGATAGAATCCAGATACGATGCAAACCTTCAGACAAAACCACCAAAAATGGAGAGCTGGTTGAGGAGCACCCTCTTCAGCCCTGCCACCCCGGCAAGGTGCTGCAGCGCGTCCCTCGTTTCGGTACTTCCTTTCGCAGGAGCTTCGGGATATTTGTTGCAGTGATTTCTTTTCTTCCCCACCTACCTGTTTGTTGGCGTTGCAGTGGGCACTGTGTCTGAACTCGGGTCTTCACATTTCCTTTCCCACCTACCTATGTGTTTGTTGGCCCTTTTGCAGTGGGCGATGCGTCTGGGCTTGTAGATCTTTCGAGTCGCTCGCTTTGCTGACCACGCCAGATTGCCCTTTCGAGCTGGAGAGGGGCAGGATCTGTGGGTTTATGAATGCTTGGACGTTGGGGTTAATGGTGAATTTGCCTGTGCCTTAGGTAGAGGGGGCAAGCGTGTGTCCACCATGGGACGGGCGTCTAGCAACGGGGTTGCTTTTGATTGTATGCTACGCAGGCAGGCAGTAATTATTTTCTCTATACATCTACTACAAGTACACCACCCCAACCTTCGCGATCTCCCGCGACCACCTGCTGCTCTTGCCGTCCTCGTCGTCCTCCTCCTCCGCCGAGACCTCGTGCCTCAGCGCCGAGCCGCCGTGGTAGAAATCCTCAGGCCCCAGGCCGAGGACAGGCAGCGAGTTGCTCGACCTTAGGAACGCCCACTTGGGTATGGCCCTCGACGACCAGGGCCCCATATCTACCGAGTAGCGCGCGTCCTCTTCGTCGTTGTCTTCCATCGTGAACTCCTCCTCAGGTGGTGGCTCGGGCCCGGTGTCGCCGACAACGTCGCCTCCGCCGTCAAACTCCTCGTGGAACTTGAATGAGGCCTCTGGGCTCGGAAGCAAGGCTTCTGCCCTGGCCCCGGGCGTGGACCTCTCCTCCACCTCTTCCTCGGCGTCAGAGTTGCTATCTGTCGAGTTGGAGCGGCTGGAGGGGCAGGACGCCCACGACTCCTCGCTTGACGTCTGGGATCCCCCATCCGAGTCGTCGAAGGACGATACTGGCGGCTCTAGGACGGCGTCCTTTTTGTCCTCGTCGTCGTCGCTCACAGCCTCAACGACGTCGCTCTTACCCTTGGTGAACGTATTGATGTCGAGGGAGAGCCCTTCGAGCTCCGCGACCGCGTGGGCTACCTGGCCATGTGTAGAACGCTGCTCCACTGGGCGGTCTATTTTCTGGGGCCCGTCGTTTTCCTCTGGCTGCGGTTGATGTTGCTTTTTTTGGTGATCTTCTGAGATTGTTGTGGGATCAAGACAATCCTCCTGACCTGAGACATCGCGGACTGGACTGCTGCACGGTGTCATTGGTTGCTGCTTGGAATTCAGCCTGGCCCGCCGTCTTGACGAGGTTAATTTTCTCCATCGTCTGAGCATAACGAAAAAAAAGGTATTTCTCACCTTGTTTGAATGGGTGTCATATTTTCTGAAGCTGCGTTCTAGGGGAACCAGCGCCATTCTGGAGCCGCTAGCACTGAAAAGTAAAGAATTGTATAAGACAAGGCTACCACGCACCTGTAAAAGTACAGGCAGACATGCTGCTTGGTAGCAGTCACAAGGGACGGCGGATGACACACACACGCATATCTCACACAAACAGGCAAATCGGCATGACAGCATTCCTCCCACCTCAACGGGATCTCGCGTGTTGCCTAGTCACTCGACTCGGCGTTTCAACGGGCCCCGGGGCAAACAGTGAGGCAAGCGCACCCACCACCGGTGACACAACGTCTGGGGTGTGTGTGTGTGTGTGTGTGTGTGTGTGTGTGTGTTGGGACCTGGCGCAACGTTGCTGCGTGGGATGCGGGAGGGAGAGACACAAAATGGGCCCATTCGCCTCAGACAGACAGGCCAACCTGACCACCCAGACCACAGGATCCTGCGGGACGAGGCGAACTGCTCGCTCTCTAGCATCCGAGGGAAACCTTCTCCTCCCATAGGCAGCCCCGTCCCAACCCAGAAACCTGTCAAAAACCACTGGCCCACGTCCGGGCCCCTCGACCGGGCCGGGGCCGCAACACCCAGCCGGAACGTCGTCACCGTGACCAGACCAGATGAACGAAGCAAGGCTCCAGGGGCCCGAGTCTGCGGCCAGCCTTTGGCCGCTGCTCGGGCCGGCCCCCACCCTCCTGTCTTTGCCAACTCAGAGAGAGGCAGAGAGAGACAGAGGGAGAGGAGAGAGGCTCTTGCTTTTTTCTCTCTAGCTGGCCCTTTTTCAAGATACAGCCTCGGCATGTCGGGGTCTCAGATCTCTCTCTGGCTGCCGTCAGACGGCAATCCCGTCTCAAAATGAGGAGCGCGAGACACGACAAGTGTGCCTACTGATGGATATTGTGGCGCTGCGCCGGGGTTTCAGTCCTGCTGAGAAGAGCATGTCAGGACCAGAGCTGTCCAGAGTGAGCGAGCCCATGTCGGGAAGAAGAGCACCGAGGAAGCCAGAGAGAGTTTTACGTTGAAGTGGGAAGAGGGATGTTGGTAGAGGAAGTGCATGCCAAACCCTAACCTTCGTAGCTTGACTAAGTAGTCTGGTTGAGAGCCTTCGCGGTTCTTTGACCGCCATGGATGGATCAAACCACTTGAGTTTTGACACAGTGGCGGGAGTGGGAGAACTTTCAAGTCACGGATGAAAATATGTCCTAATTTAGACGAAAAGAATCATTATTCACACATAGCATCGGCGAGGACCGGCCATCTGACGGGGAGATACATGACAGAGCTGGTCTCGGTTGAGATTCCGTTGCCTCCAATTGCCCACAATCACCTTGATCCATATGCATATAAAGAAGACGCATCGGGGTGAAAAAAATCTGTCGGTTTGTTCTAAGCTGTCCAGCTATTAGAAGAATGCCCATCCGGGACGCCCTTTCCGGATTTCGTCCGTCCAATTGAACCTGAACCCCTTCCTCCCTCCATGAATCCCGCAACCCAAACCAGAAACCGAAAAGGGCCTCTCTCCCCCTCCCTCACTCTTCTCTCATTAATCACATAGGGAAAATCCACAGATGAACACACGAAGCCAACAAACAGTTTTTGTATCAGCCAAACTGTACCCCGGCCTGATGAACATAGACAAGATAACGCCTCTGACGGTGATAGCAATAAAAAAAAAAGCCGAGCCCATGTAATACTGCAACCGTTTCCCGTGACCCATTATTCCGAGGTGGTTTTGGCCAAGGACGGCGGTGGTCGCGTTTGTCGAGAATCGAAGCTGACGTGTAGGAGAAAGGTTGTCGAGGGAGAGTATTGAAAAGTAGAGAAGCTTTGTTGTATAAATGAAAGTCCCAAGTCGTGCAGAAGCCCCGATTTGAACGGGTCCTATATTGGTATCTCTGGCGCCCATGTCGACCGATTTCCATGGAAGCCACCGGCGCCGTCCCCCCTTTCCCGAGCCTGAGGTGTACAAACACACACAAACAAGACATTACTGTATCTCATTTCCAACCTAAATCTCCATGATCTGACGGAGTGTCCGCTTCTCACTGGCTCCCCCGCATTACAAGGACTTTTGGAGCTCTTTTGGTTGGAACAGGCCGTCGATGCTGCAAAATGTACACACCACTGTTGTCACACGCATATCGAGGTATGCAAAAATGCGTAATCTTTCTGGTTCTTCGCCCCTTGACATGACCGTCAGGGGCTCCGTGGGACGTCGATCAGGAGTGGAAGAGATCCCAAGCCCTCTCGCAGATCCGCAGGAACTCTTCCCTCTTGGCACGCTGTGTGTCGGGGCTATCCCGTCCCTCTCCGAAGGGACCTCGTCGGACCGATGGCCGGCCGTTGCCCAGCGGGGGCGAGACGCCAGCCTCGTACTCGTCGCGGCGTCGCTTCGTGGTGCTGGTGCTTCGGCTGGCGTCAACTCTATGCGCGCCTGGCAGGGGCGATGGCGGGGTTGGTGGCTGGTGGCCGCCGTAGTGGACTAACTTTGGCAGGAGCTCGGGACGTCCTCCAGCAAGCTCGTGCTGAGCTTCCTCAGCCGACTTGTACTCCCTCGGCCTGGTAGCAGTGGGTGGAGGGTGGGGTTGGTGGGTGTGGCCGGGCGAGCGAGCTGGCTGAGGGCCGTTCTGGTGCTGCGCGTACATGGCATGTCCGGTGGACTCTGGGTGACCCGAATGGAGGTTGTGCCCGAAGACGTCGGAGATGGGCGGTAGTCTGTTGTTTGTTTGCGTGGCAGGCACGTGGTGGATGTGTGATGTGTTCGAGAGCTTGGAGGGGCGGTTCTCGATGTGGCGGGTGAGAGGATGCGGGTTGTTCATGCCAGTAAATGTCTGACCGAGGGGCGCTGATTGGATGACCCTCTCGTTGGCGAAGTTCTCGTGCGATGGTGCGACAATGGACAGTCCTGGTGGGGCCTTGTTCCTGCGCGACATGCCCGGTGTCTTGGCTGCGAATCCGCTCGGTGGCTCCTTGTCCTTGTCTGTCGGACCATCTCCCTTTGCCGACTGCTGCTGCAGTCGTGCCTCGATGAGGTGTCTCTGCTGCTCGCGGACAGACAAACTCCGTTGCACTTGCTCCTTCATGACAGGATCTTGGGTGACAAAACCGGGGGACAGACATGCCAGCCCCATCTCCTGAATACCTAATCCACCGCTCTCTCGGGACGTAAGCGGCCGGGCAGTCGCAGCGCCGGAGCCAACGTTCACACCCCGGGACAAATCGAGTCTGCGAGGGCGGTGGCGGGCTGTTGCGAGGTCGGGGGAGCCGGGCTCCTTCTTGACGATGATCCTGGGTGGGCCTCCACCTGTCCGAGATCTTTGATGGTCGAGAAGCGGTCAGCAACCGATTGAACCATGTGCGGTCAAGCCTGGAAAGGGCATGCGAGAGAGAGCATTAAACTTACGCGCTGGGAGGAGAGGACTTTGCGGCTCCCTGAGCCTGACCCTTAGGGCTGCCACTGCCAGACCGGTTGGAGTGTTGCTGAGGTGCAGGTGGTGCGGGCGCACTGGGGGTTGCCGAGATGGCAGTTCGCTGCGCAGATGGAGAGACGGATGCAGGGGCGGGGGCCGAGGCATTCGAGGATGTGACTGCTGGCGGAGAGCCGCCGAAGCTTGTTCGGTCGTGAGGAGCTGGCGAAGGAGCCATTGCAATGGCTGCGCTCATGGTGAGATGAGCGTGTGCTGAGCGACGGAATAAAAGTGATTGAACCTATTGACGGGAGAGCGAGGAAGTCGGCACCACGAGTCGTCCGGGAGAGACAACCTAGGAAGCGACTTGTTCGCGTAAGATAAGCCCAAGCAACTGTGCAGGACCGGTGGCTGCTACCCGCAATGAGGTGCACTGCAACCTGAACCGTTTTTTTCTCTCGCTTGACTGGCTGGCTTTCTCCAGACCACACGGAATTCGGTTCGAGAGCCCCAGGGGTCGAGAACGGTCCAGATGATCGGAGGGGCGGCAATGCGATTATGCGCAAGAGGCTGCTGTGCGAGTTGTGTGCGCGTAATGTGGTGTGTGTGTGTGTGAAAGCTGGGAAGATGTCGAACGCAGATCCTCAACTGGACAGGGCAGGGCAGGAAAAGTGCCGTCGGCGGGTCCGCGCGGGTTGCAGGAAGAAGGTGGTCGAGTCCGTCGAGTAGGGAACCTGTAGGGTGTGCCTTTTCTCGTCCTCTCGTGTCCCTCCGTTCGGTTTAGGGTTTCAAGCCGCCGCGTTTGGGTGAGACCTGTGCTGAAATGGCTCTGATTCGGCGGGATTGGGCCCCAAGGAGCAAACTTAGCTGTCAGCCGATGCAACCCCTAAGAGGCAGCAGGTGTGCGAGCTGCAGCTTTTTTCTTGGCTTCCCCCTTTTTTTGTTCCTTTCTCGAAGGATGCCGAGTTCTGGCGCGAGTGGTGTGGAGTATGGCCGAGAGTGTGTGAGAGTGAGAGCGTGATAAGCGTGCAAGAGAGGAGAGACGTCCGAAATTTGGATTTCTTTCTCCAACGGGAGCCTCCTTTCCAAAAAAGAGAAGGCAAGGAAAGGGATATGGTCGAGCGTGCGCGATCTCCTGTAGATCGCCTAATAATTTCGGTCGACAGATTTTGTTGCGCGTTACTGCTGACGAATGTGTCCCAGCTGAAAGTCGTATTTCGCAAATCGATCAATCAAAGCCGCAATGTATATTTGTATGGGTGTGGTGGGTGGGGTGGGATAAAATGGCAAGGGTGACTTTGACTTGAACCCGACTTCTGACAAAAACCCGTCGCAGCAGCAGCAGCAGAGCAAACTCACGATCATGCACGGGGGCTTGAGCAGGCGGGCAGGCGAGCAGCAGCGGCAATGTGAGGATGAAGCGAGAGACTGCGGCCGTGACAAAACGAAACGTGCGTTCGCAGAGGGGAGAGGAAGGGAATCAGAAGGAGCTGTCGCAGCAGGCGTGGGCAGGGAGAGGGGCCTTTTTAGGCGACGATGCGCTGCTTCAGAAAAGCCCCGAGTTCCAAGGTTGGCTTCGAGATACTCCACGGCTGCTACGAAGCGAACAACACCAGCTGCTGGGTGATGATACGGCCACGACTGGCCGCGACAGGGTAGGCCTGTTGGTCTATGAAAGGGGTGAGGGGGGCTGCACTGTCAGTGATACAGTGAGGGTGAGAGATCTGTGGCTATTCCCTGTCGCCCTGTCGGTTGGGAAACCTCGTCTACTGTCTCGCTGTCTTGCTGTGGAGGTATGGATGTCTGGCAGTCCTCCTGGAGCCCGCCTACTACTCGAAGCCAGCAGCAGCCAGCAGCCAGTCACCGCAGACTCCCGGCCTGGCCCTGCGACTGGCTCCCACGCAACGCCGCACCAAGATCTGGGAGGGGGGACGGGGGGAGGGGGAGGGGGGCCCACGCCTGCACGGAGTCGCTCCCAAGACATCTCAGGACCATTCATGGGGACGGGGCCTAGCGGGGCTCACGCTACCTTAAGCTCCGTCGTTGTTTCATTAATGCTGGCTTACCCACACTCGTCCGCATTACACCCCTGCTCGTCCCGTTTCCTTTTCGACTGCGACTTGTTGCCAAGTCACGGCGGGCCGCAACTCAGCACACACTACTTGTTCCTCTGTCTGTCTGTCTGTCTGTCTGTCTCTGCCTGTCCGTGTCTCTCTTCACGAGATGGGCTAGCCGGCTGCCAGGGCTGCCCACCGGATCGCAAGCTCGGCTGCTACAATATATACCTGCCGCCATGTATCTACATAGTCTACATGTTGCACTCCTCGGAATATCCACGAGCGCTGCCGGTGCTTTGGCACTCGGACGGACGGCGACTCAGTGCAAGCTTTCCCCATCGGTACTTGGCTCAACACCCTCAACCTGCTGCTGCCATTGGGTTGGCAGCGTCCAAGTCCCGCGAATCTTGGTATCGAATTTTTTGGACACGGACCGAAATAACCTCCAGACTGAGCCTAGGGCGGTGGCTGGCTTGCTCCGTCCCAGGAGTTTCTCCAGGGTGCGGCAGGTGTGCTGCGCAGCCTTGCTCGGTTTTACTTGGCTGAACTATCAACCAGGTAACCCGGCATTGTTGTCCGTCGTCTGTTTTGTCGGCCGTCCAGCAGCGTCAGATGCCTACGCAACACCACCCAGCGCGACCACGAGGCTGTGCTGTTTGAATAGGACCCCTTTCATGCTGCTCCCCTTAATTAATATCTTCTCCCTTCCTCCTGAGGCCGCCCAGCAGCAGCCACGGTCCTTGCATTCCCCTTGAGGTGCGCCTCTCTGCAGTACCGCAAATCAATGCCAGACTCGACATGTCGATCTGTCTGGCCAACGAGGCGGCGAGCCCGTGCCGCATGTCTCTGGGGGCACTGACCATGCATGTGCTGTTGTTCGCGCAGCCGTGGCCCAGATAGTCCTATGTAGGTCCCGCGCAGCCCTGTTGTCGGGGGTTGCATTGATGCGGCTGTCAGCTTCTTTCTTCATCCAGTCGAGCCCGGTTCCATCTTATCGTGATCCTTGTCTCTCCATGGCACAATATGTCAGAAATTGCTGGCCTGGCGGCCAATGACCTTTTGGTCGTGGCAATTGCCGTATGACGAACAATGCACAGCATTGCTGTATTGGAGGAATACGAGTTTTTATAATTGGGCCCCCCTGGGAGAGCACCACCACGGTCGATAGAGGAGACACATACTTCGTGCAACATCGATTGCGGCCTGTGAGGAGCACGACAAATAACAACACCGGCGCTTGCGTCCCTCGAAGCCTGGACGGCTCAAGAGACTGGATACTGCCTGGGTAGGTCCTTAGTAGTACAGTAGGTGGGTAGCTAGGTAGTCGGAGTGCGACCGCCTAGGCAGTCAGGCAGTCGGTCTGGACTGTGACCTCCGGATTGTCCACAATGAGGCCCGTCCTCGTTCGCGTATCGAGCATAGGACCCAAAAGAACCCTCCTGTCGGTACATGCCCGAAAGGGTCGAATTGGAATCTGGAGATGGACATTGCCTATGTCAGGAGCTGGGGCGGTTCGATAATGATTGGCGCCACATCGACCCGCCATATATTCGTTTGCTGCAAGTGCATCAGATGGGGTCACATTCATACAGACTATTGATGGGAGGCGGGCCAGTCAATAATCTCCTTTCTCGCGAACGCGCAGGTTCTGGGCCGACGTGCCGTGGTGCGTCCAGGCGTCCAGGCGTTGTGGGTGACTTCTCCCATGTGTCACTGTCAAGTTCGGAGGATTTCACGCACAGAGCTGGGCCCCTGGGCGATCTTCGCCCCCATGGAAGTGCCCAGGTGGGCCCCAACCTTGCCCGTCGCTGCACGAACCAGTGCATCCCTGGGCACCGTTGCCTCAGGTGGCTCTCCACCAATTAAACTGACAGCGCTCTGAAACGAGCACCACCCAATCATGTGGCTCTGAGGAGAGAAACTCTGCCCATCCCGTCTGCCCGACCACCTTCGCCTGCCTCTTCGGTCACTGACAAGGCGGTGGACGGTGAGTAACAATGGGCGGCGACGGTGGCCTCGGACCCCTCTCTGAATACTCCCCATCTCCCCCAGGTTTGCGAGTCCGCCTCGCTGATAAGAAGCCCGACAACCTCTGATACTGTTTCACCTTGAGGGGAAAGAGCGGTCATGCTCAGGTTTTTCGACCGCAGATATAGTGCCCCCGGACGTGGACGCACAACCACCTGCGCGTGCGGAAAAGACTGAGCCGCGGTGTGGGCCTGCGATGGTGGCCCCGACCGGCTCCTTCGCGGCATCAGTTCTGAGTTAGCATCGGCCCAGATGACAAAGATGCGGTCTGAAAGGGAGAGCTTTGTCATCGAGGTCTCGGCAATCCAGCTGTTGGTCGCACACGGATACAACCTCTCCCGTGACAAGCAGGCAAGAAGCTGGCGTGGTGCCGTCCTCATGCGGCTTGCCGCGCGCCAGGCAAAGCATTGTGTCTTTGTCTGTCTCTGCATCGCGCTGAAGATCCTCGAACGCCACTGTTGGTGATGAGCCGAGCCGATAGTCTAGTGGTAGTTGTCAAAAGAGTTGGGCAGTGCATTGCATGCCTGGCGGTCTATCACATGGCCCCCGTTGGTCTGGTATCACCCTCGAGGCTGCTGACAACGGCCGCGGTGAGGTCGCGACGGGGCGGCCAACCTCGTGTCCGCACTGCCGACCCATAGGACGTCATATGGAGTTTCACCTCATCCCACGACGAGGTGCGGTCAAGCAGCGATCGCAATCGCAATCCTGATGATCAATAGAACGATGATGCTATAGTTGTTTCCGCTGATGTCTCCGCCTGTCCCGCTGTACTTGTATGTCGCTGTTGGGCCCGCATTAAGGTTTGCCCAACCTTGATATAATTCGCATCCGCAGGGCTGCATTGTGACATTCCTGCAGGATGTGGATGTTGGGGATGCAGTGATGTGAACTCCCTTCCTGAGTAATTGATGAGCCAGACCGTTCCACGCGATCGATGGGAGCAACGCAGCGGGAATCGTGGATCAAACTCCTGGCCCGCCCAGCCGCCCCCGACTCATGAGCCAGACCGTGGCGGACAATGCCGATGGCGCAGAATGTTGTTCTCGAACAAGTGGATGTGATGATCTTCGCACCGCCTCGAGCGGTGAGTTTTACATACGGCGGAAAAGGTACCTTACCCAAGCCTAGGCTGTCTCTGTCGTGACCCGGGAGTTGGAGGCAGCTCAGAGACTCGCAGGTTTTCCGAATCCGGTCGGAACTGCATGTCTCAAGTAACGAGGCTGGTCCAACGTCCTCTTTCAGGACGCGACCGCCATCGTGTGTCCAGACAAGAAGAATAAACATACTACTTGCGCTCACCAAACAAGACGTACCAAACATGCGCCAGTGTGATCTGCTGCGGGACTTGAGTTACCGTCATGAGCTAGCAAAGCTTAGGACGAGATGAAGTTTTTGGCGGGGTTGGGGCATGCGCATTTGGGCGCATGGCCCTGGGAATCCGGGGCAAGGCAACGGCAAGGCCACGGCAAGGCCACGGCAAGGCCCAGGTGGGGCTTGGCTTTTGGCGCCGTGGTGCGCTGCGATAAGGTTGAGCCTCTTATCGCAAAATCTGCTGAGTCTCACTGCCGTAGCCTTGTGATTCAAACGCACCTAGGCATATTGGTCCCCTGGTTCACAGAAGAATACTGCAACGCTGATATACGCCGGTGACCGCATTTCGGCGATTCTGCATCACCACAGCAAAGATGTCGAACGAAAACGGGGACGACACCGTCATGGACGACGCGCAGGAGTCTCAAAACGGCGAGCAGGCCGCAGATGAGCTTGAACTGGACGAGACCAAGTTGTTCCTGGTATGAGCCACAGCCCCGGAGTCGCACGTGGGAGAAGCGGACAGCCTGACGTGACATATGTGCAGCTCCCCGGCTCCACGCCCACGGCGGCTTCATTTGAGTTCCGTGACGAGGGCCACACTTTGGGCAACGCCCTGAGGTACATCATCATGAAGAAGTGAGTGCCTTGGCTGCATGCTCATGCCCACCGAGCTGGGACTGACATTTCAATAGCCCTGATGTCGAGTTCTGTGCCTACGCCATTCCCCATCCTTCAGAGGCCAAGATGAACATGAGAATCCAGACCTACGGTATGTGTGCAACTAGGTGCTGTAGTAATCCGAGTCCTGGCTGACAGGAGCTCCCAGAGGGCACCACTGCTATTGACGCCCTCAAGAAGGGACTCAAGGACCTCCAAGATATGTGTGATGTTGTCGCCGAAAAGTTCTGGGACGCAAGGCAGTCTGTTCCTCAGATCCCAGCCCCCTCCAAGAAGCAGTTGCAGTCCAACGGCGAGCCACGGCTGTTCGACTAGTTTCGACCCCTTCGTGGGCGCTTGTCTGCGTCCTCCTAGGGGAGAGTTTTCTGAAAACGAGCATGGGTCGGCGTTAATGGCGTGCAGGTAGAAATGGCACAGTGAAAAGAAGTCTCGGATGGCGGCTCAGGAAATTCTATTTGGTATCTACGGGGAATCCTTTCTTGATATCCCATCTTCAGTTGCGACCCTGGCAGCAAGTCAGCGAATGCCACCCTCATGGGGAGGGCAGAATAGATGGATCTTACCTCCAAGAAGCCGGACATGAAGTTCGACGGTAACCTGTGGTCTCCTCTGAAGTTCTCTTCCTTGAAATATGACATGACGTGGTTCGACTGCTTCCAGAAGTTCATGGTTTCCTGTTGTCGAGTGTCAGCCCGATTGTGCCCTTCTTTGCCGCTCTCCCGGCCCACACCGGTGCCCTGTTTACCTGGTATTCCGCGTCGCTCTTGAAGAGCAGCACATCGACGATTGGCAGCTTGTTGACGAATCGGTTTCGCTCGAACTCCTCCCTGATTCGCGTCCGGATGACCGACACGGGGAAGGGGACATTGTACATGGTCTGAATCTCGGGTGCCTGCAATGCGACATCATCAGCCCGCTGCCAGCCTCCCAAAGACATCGTAGCCGCCACAATCTGGTAGGAGCCAGATGGAGACATTGCATGAACATACAGCTCGAATCCACTGCCGGTATGTTCCTAGCACCCGCTTCTGGGCCTCGGCCCAGTTGATAGCTGCTTCAATGTCAGCGAGAGAGGCCGGAGGTTCGGTCTCAATAATACTGACACTGGCGCGTCTTGCGTGCAAACTGCGTTGGCGAGATATGGGCCATGGTGGCTGGGGGATTGCTTGTGGACGGCTGTCGTTCTCGTGGACCTTCCTTTGGTTCCAAAGTGCTCTGACGTCCGGTGTCCGCGCAAGGCCCAGGGGAAGCTGTGGCCGATTGACCACTCACAGCCGGCGATTAGATAAGCAGCCAGCCATCTCGCCGCTGCCTGCCCGCAGCAACATCCCGCCTTTTCAGCCTCGTACTAATTCACAGATACACCTTCCCCCCCCCTCACCCCGACTATTCATGCGACGCGCTCTGTTCTGTATTTGTTCGAAGCACAACAACTCTACGCTGTTGCTGCAGCTCCGGTGTTGAACCTCTCATCACACTGAACACCACACTTCCCGACCAAACCACCACCAAATCAACTCGACATGCCCGCCATCAGGCACGCTTCAAAGCGCAAGCCGCCGCCGGACGGCTTCAGCGACATCGAGGATGACCTGCTCATCTTCAGCAACAAGATGAAGGACGCACAAAACACACCGACCGACAACATCCCAAAGCACCAGGCCCAGTGGCCCATATTCGAGATCTCCCATCAGCGGAGTCGGTACATCTACGAGCTCTACTACGAGAAGGAGGCGATTAGCAAGAAACTCTACGACTGGCTGCTGAAGAATGGCTACGCGGACGCCATGCTGATCGCGAAGTGGAAGAAGCAGGGCTATGAGAAGGTGCGTGGAAAATCTAGAAAACGATTATCCCCGGACTATATTGTGCTGACGTTAATATAGCTGTGCTGCTTGCGGTGCGTTCAGACGAAGGAGACTAATTTCGCCTCGACCTGCATCTGTCGAGTGCCGCGAGCGCAGCTCAAGGAAGATCAAGACATACAATGTGTCAGTTGTGGATGCAGAGGATGCGCCTCGAGTGACTGATTACCATACCGAACACGAGACAACGGGCGAACCGCGCAGAGCGTAACAAAAGGCAAGCTGGAGTTGGGGTCTTGATTTGAGAAGGTACGGCATCACCACATGAGGACCAGATTCCCCTGGCATACCAATAGAGATTCATTTTGTGAAAGCAGATCGTTTCTGAGACGCTTCCCTGGGTATTTCCTACGCCTCAAACGCCGAGTGATGCTGGCCCAGGACTTTGACTCGGCCAAATTCGCCGAGCCCACTACCCAGCCTCTACCGGGGAGGCAAGCCGGATTTCTTGGAGCCGAGTCGAACATTTCTGGGGACAAACTTCAGGGACGACATGGCTCCTGTCAAGGTCTCCATGTCTGTGTCTTGGACTGCCGCGTCGCAGTTTCCAACTGCATGGTGATCTGAAAGGGTATCCGAGATAACCCCAAGCGCCGCATTATCGCCGCCCTTGATGCCGCCTGCGGTGCTGCTCTTGCCAGTGTTTACGTTGCCTAGCTGATCTTGAGAGATCGGAGTGTCTGGTCCACCCATTTCAACATCCACTGCCTCTTCAGCGCTGCCATTACCGGCGGGCGCGTTCTTCTGAACGTCGCTGCCCTCTGCGGTATCTGGCGTGGCGTCCTTGCCAGTTTGCTTCTTGTAACCCTTCTGTCCTTGAGGACGAGCATTATTGCGCTGGTTTGCGCGTGGTTTGCCTTCATTACGGTGGACAAGCATGGACTGGCGGTGATCGACACCAGCCTTTGTTACTGCGAAGAAGTAGTTGGTGGGGTACTTGTGCGTCTCTATGAGGTGAGCTCGCCTCTCGGCCGGTGTTTTACGCTTCTCGGCGCATGTCTCAACGAAGCACGAGTACTACGTGTCCGTCAGCATCTCCTTCTGCCAACGTTTGAAAAGGCAACCGCTTACAATATGGTCTCCCTTCTCTTTTCGCAGCTCGGTCAGAGCGTCGTGGAACTCTCTGATGTGTAGGTTGAGGATATGCGACGAGGGGAAGTTCTTTCTGCAGTCGAGGCAGCGGTTGCTGTGCGCCTTGTGGTAGTGCGACTCGTAGTCTTGGTATTTGGCAAAGTGCATGCCATGCGCGTGGCCAGGCAGGGAGCACTTTATATCGGTGGTAGAATCGGAATGCGAGGAGTCGGTGTCGAGGCCGACGAACTTCGAGACGGGTACAATTGCGACATCTTGCTCGGGGGTCGAGGACGGTTCGCAATCCTCTTCGGGCTCGCGTGAGCGCTTCATTCTGTTTGGTGGAGAGTACAGGGAGGAATACTTCTGTGTTAGCCCTCGCGCTCGTTTGTGGCCTCAAAAGCGTCGAGTTCCATAAAATTTCGCTGGTTGCCGTTTCGTTTGCATTGTTTTGACGCCTGGGTTGTTTGGACCGCAAAGCTCCATTCACAGTGACGTGACTTCACTATGGCGCCGAAAAGACCCACTACTGCCACGGTACATAAATAGGTACCCTGAATACTGTAGGTACACGACAGTCCGCAGGGGTCCCGCTCGGGTACCCATGCATGTTGACCAGCGCACCCTTCCATGGGCACCCTCCTACTGTCAAACTGCTGTGAAATATTCTTGTCAATACCGTAGATCATCAGTGAGATGACTTGGTACCTATCGAAGTGAATCAGACATTGCAAATTTAGTAAAAGGCCAGAACTCTGCAAGCTGTACTTTAATACCTAACCTAGACTACGACCTAGCTATCTAGGTAGGTACCTGGGCTACCTAGGTACCTAGGTATGTACTGGATACCCTTGGGCAGCTGCAAGAGTTGCCGCGAGACGCAGCGCACGGTCCATTAGACGAGCAGCCGATCTGCGACTACTCTGAACGCGGCTTACACCCAAGAGTCAATTCACTTCTTTCATGCGCTCGTCGATTTCGCGGTCGCCAACATTGTCTCCACCAACACAGGATTGCAGAGTTCCTCGTTGCGCGCCAGTAGCCCCCAGCCAGAGACCATCTTGGTGACCGATGTTGCCCACGCCGGCGACCGCAACCTCCACAAAGCAAACCAGCCAGGTTCCGCGCCCGAAACATCCCACCACGGCCCGCTCCCCGTCAGTGATGGATCGCCAATACCGCGCTGTGTCTTCCCCGTCCTCGTGTGAGACCGGTCTCTAACTATGGGCTTGTTTTGAGATTCGAATCGACTTTCGTTACTTTGCACATACTCGTCGAATCTTTACCACTCAAACTTCCTGCTTACCGCAGCGCCCGCTGCTTGGTGCCCAGCATGCCCGACAACATGGACTCGTTGCCGACTCCAGCAACTCGGGCGGAAGCCTTCTGGCAGTACGTCATATTGTTTTCCCTCTCTTTTGAATGCCCTCTCTAAGGCGCATCGCACCACGCTTGCTCTAACAGGGCGCCGAGTTTGGTCCCAATCATGACTGCGCCTCAAGCATCCGCTCCGAAGTCCGAGTGTGCTAACAAAGCCCGTACATCCAGAGAAGCCAAGAAAATCCGACACAAGATCCTACGTGATATCGAGCAGCTGAAGAAGGGATCTAGCGGCAAGACTGAAGAAGAGCAGTTGAAATCGCTGGAAGAGAGCATGGCCCAGTATGTCAGATTGCTATTAGCACGTCAACGGGAGATGTCACACGCATAAGGGAGCAAGGCAAATCGACCCTGCGCACAGTCTGCGCAAGATAATATTGGACTAGGTTATTTGCCCATAAGATGTGATGCCTTTCTATGGGGTAATCTACTGCAAGCGAGTGCTGTCTGGTCAGACTGGACTGGGGGAAAGCCGGATTTGCGCGTGGCATCTCTCGTTGATAATGCCCTCTTAACTTTCACAATCATTCCTGACACAGTTTTAGATTTCGGCTGCGGTTTGTCTACACGCTTGCCGAGGATCCTAAGTACATCTACGAGTTAGATGCAGAGGATGCGATGTGGCAGCTTCACATATACATCAACAAGGCCTACCGAGATCTATTCAACGAGCGTCTCCGAGGCCAACCACACGTCGTGACAAAGCGCAAAGTGGAGAAGCTTTACAATAACTATCTGAAGACCGCCCACGACTTCTACAAGATCTACTTCCAACGCCTTCAAGCGCTGCATGGCATGCCGCAGATTCCTAGGATAAACAGCGCCCTGAAACTACAAGCCCCCGACGTCGAGCAGCGCGAGGGCCAAATTGTGACCGCCGAGGCCGCCCAGAAGTCATTTCACTCAACCCTGCTTCATCTCGGTGATCTTTCTCGCTGGAGACACAAAGCTCGACCGAAGCCCGATGGCTCGAAGATGGCTCTGCTATACTATGCTCTGGCGCACGACCTCAAGCCGAACTCAGGGGATGCGCACCACCAAATGGGGATGATCTACACGGAAGAGCACAATCATTTACTCGTTGTCTACCACCTCTACCGGTCGCTAGCGATTGAGCTTCCTCATGGGAACTCGACGCGCAACCTAGAGATCGAGTTCAAGCAGATCCTGCAGTCCTCCACACCCACCAGACGAACAGGTACTCCGGATCCCAACGAGGCCTTTTCCAACTGGTTCGTGAGGCTTCATGCTCACTTCTACAAGGGTGACCCGTTCACCCAACAGTCCGAGCTGGAAGAGACCGTGCTCCACCGACTTGAGGCAATGTTGAAAAAGCCAGACACTTTGCCTGTTGTGTTGAAGATGGTGTTTATCAACATTTCAGCCTACTACGTCGCACGATCCAGGGTCGAGAGTAAGCGCCGTTTTCACTGACATCTCCTTTACCCTTCTGGTTTCTGCCCTCTCGGCCTTGTCTCCCTCGCCTGTAATCTCGTCTGTGACCTGTTCAAAAGCTGACTAGTTTCAGAGAAATGGAGTCTAGGTGCTTCCAATTCATGCCAATTCATCTTAGGGATGAACGTCAGGTGGATTGTAGCACTGTCTCGCCTCCTTCAATCCGAGCTGCAAGAGTTCTCAAAAGCTGCGGCGCCTGCGAAAGAAACGGGCGATACCAAGCACGGCGAATCACCCAAGAGCGCTGAGAAGTTCAGCCCCTTCACGGAGAACCTCCTACCACTGATGCGTATCTACATGGCCTGGCTATACATCTATCGAGCCGACATTGTGGAGTATCAAGAGCACCTAGGAGGTCACGTCTTTGACATGTACCGGATCCTGGCCCAAACCCTGACTACCATAACAAAAGAGTTCCAAGGCCAACAGATGGTAGCATCGCCATATCTCCTTCCCGAGGACGTCATAGCCTTGGGTATGAAGCCATTCGATGAACCTGGCATGGCCTCGGTCTGCCGACTCCACTTTGCGTTCGGCAAAGATACGTTCAAGCCACATTGGGAGGATACCGGGCTTCCGAGAAATGAACCAGATGTGGAGTTAAGGGCTCGTGTCTGTGACCTTATAAACTGTGGCTTTTCTCTCTCTCTTGACGATACGTTCCCGTTGGCTGCGAATCCACCTGCAGAGGGCTCTGATGGAGTTATTACAATTTCCTACGTCGAGGGAGGTAAAGCCGCACAACCTGCCCAGCACGAACCCATCAGGTCCCAGCCTGTGCAGGCCGATGTTCAAGTCGATCAGCTTGAGGGACAACTCCGCAACCTTCGTCCAGCAAGCAGGACTGGTCTTCCTGGGCGAAATGGGATGCAGGCAGTGGGCAATCTCGGCCGCGAGCACACCAGAGTCCCGTCTGGCTCCGCTGCGATTGAAGGAAGCCCCGAACTTCCGACGAACGACATTGACCCTCTGGAGACGGAATCAGAGCTGAATCTTGATGCGAAGATGCACAACATGGTCGATGACCTCCTCGACGATGACAGTTCGGACCTGATGGGTGCGCACCCCGGGCGAGGATCCGCCGCTCAGCCCAAGACCTCATCCTACGGCATGCACTCTGCGACAGCTGAGCAAGTTTTTGGTGGACTCCAGACACCTGGTCATGCACCAGGTGTTGTCTTTGGAAAGCCGAATCCTTGGGGCTCCTTTGTGAGCCCACCCCAGACAGTTCCAGCTCGTGGCGAGCCGGTGGGTTCTCAATACAGTGAGAGAACACATTTCAGCACCGGCTCTCCAAACCAAGCGCAAAGAGCTTCGAGCACGTCTTCATTGCAGCCGAACGTCCCAGATTTCACTCCTGGTCCCAACTTGCAACGAGGCTCGGACACTTTTGCTTTGTTTCCTACGGGCAACACTCCAGCACCTGGTAATCAGTTTGGCCAAACAAACTTTGGAACTTCCGTCCGCCCATCATCTGGTCTTTCTGGGACACTGCAAGGGAGTCGCGGTGGTTTTGGCCATGCCAGACAGCGACTCGGCGGGTCCACGGGGAGCAGTGGAGCCTCGTCATTCTTCTCGCCCAAGGACAATGCTGGTGCTTATGAGATTGCTTCTGGAGCGCACGCAACTGGCCAGATCAACAACGGTCGCTCGAAGACAGTGTCGTCTCCCTTGGGTTTTGGCATGGGCAACAATCCATTCTCCACCGACTTCTCGCAGACTTCCTCCGGCCTTCCTCCCGTCAACAGCCCTTTCGGTTTGCCGACAGGACAGCTCAACGGGGGCTTCGCCCCGGGCGACATGTACTCGTATAATCAGCAGTTTGCGGGCTCTTTCCCTTCTTACACGCAACCCAACGATCTCACCACGGTCTGCAATGGCAACGTCTACAACGCCACCACCGCGTATGGCCGGGGTGTCATAGCTGCCAAGGACGACCCTTCTCACTTCCGAAATGCGGTCAAGAAGACGCACATGGCAACGGCTGCTGCCGAAGCCGACATGTTCGACCGTGCCATCTTGGAGAGCGCTTTGGCGGAGGACCGCCCAAAGCCAAAGGGGTGAACGAGGACAGCTGCGATTTTGTTCTACAATTCTTGGACACGGCGCATGTTCGTGGGAACGCGCCATCCCGGCCAGCCTTATGATTTACAAAGGCGACTTGACCCGGAAGAGCTTTTGTCATACCAGGCGTGCTGCCACCGTGATCACACTCGTGGGAACGTCGAAACAGTCCAGATCGCCCCGTAGCCTGACGGCGAACGGACTTGTGTTGGAAATACTGGACTCTCTATTCCAAGAGCACCGCCCGGAGTCGGTCGCTTCCGAATCGATTGTTTTCCTATCTGAAAAGATGATGGAGCGTTCTACTTCTAGATCATTGTTTTGTGATCTGGCAGATGGGGAATCATAAGTTGAATTCTGAGACAAAGCGAATCCTTTCTTTGTTTTTTCGCTTCCCGCCCATGGATGCAAATCACCGTTGTTGAAACCAGGCGTTTCTACCCGTCAAGAATGCCCTGAGACGCCAAGATTAAGAAACCGGAATGTGTGGAAGAACGGAAGATTAACTTTGAGTTCCCAGCCACTCGTTCAGGCTCTAAGCTGAGTAAGTCTGCTGGGGAAGGGGTACCTGTGGACGGAGACGAGGTCAGAACATGGGAGCTGGAGCAAGTGTAATTCGAGGGGGATGGGGGATCAAGCAACGTGTGTTTGGGGGTTAGTCTCCAGAGCGCTCTCTCCTGAGAGCGGTAGTCGAAGCACTCAATATCAAAAGTATGAATAGGAAAATCTTTTTTGCAGTTGCAACTTACGAGGGACCCAGCTCCTGGATGCTGAGCTTGGCCAGCCACTGGCCCAGCTGGATGGACTCCTCGAGGGACTTGCCCTCGACGATGCCCGCGGTGAGGCCGCCGGCGAAGGCGTCACCCGCGCCGTTGGTGTCGACGATCTGGGCCTTGTCGATCGAGTGCACGGGGTACTCCTTGACGGCGTCCTCGCCCTGGGTGGCCACGACGGTAGGCTCGGTGCCGTGGGTGACGATGGCGACGCGCTTGCGCTTGGAGTTCTCCTTGGGCAGGTTGGCCATCAGCTTGGCGATCTCCTTGAGGTCCTTGGTCTCGTGGCCGTGGACCTCGGCCCAGGTGGTGGCCTCGGTCTCGTTGCCGATCACGTAGTCCCAGTAGGGGGCGCTGGCGTCGACGGGGTCCTTGAAGAACTGCGGGATGAAGGGCGCGGACAGGGAGACGACGAAGATCTTGTTCTTGGCCGCGGCCTCCTTGGCGAGCTCCATGATGGCCGGGGGCGAGACTGTGAAGCGAATAGAGAGTCAATATCACCAATTCGCATAAGTTGTCAAGGGGGCACACAAGCTTACCTGTGAAGTGGTAGCCGCCGACATAGTAGACCTCGGCGCCCTCAACGAGGCTCCAGATCTCGGGCTTCTTCAGGTGGTCCAGGTCGTAGTGGTTCGCGGCGCCCAGGTCGGTGCAGAGGCTCCTGTTGTGGCCGGTGATGACGACACCGCAGCGGCCGGTGGGCTGGGTGGGCTCGACGCGGTACTCGACGCGGAGGCCGGCCTGCTTGACGGCGTCCTTGAGGATGGCGGCGTACTTGTCGTCGCCGACGCCGCCCAGGTAGACAACGCTGTTGTCGGGCAGGATGTACTGGGCGCCGCGGGCGGTGTTCTGGGCGGCGCCGCCGGCGATGAGCTTGGCCTCGAAGTTGTTCAGCAGGTCGTCGTAGATGGGCTTGTGCTTGTCCTCGGCCAGGATGGCGTCGTTGGCCTTGAGGCCATACTTGGCAAGGAGCTCATCGTTGCCGTAGGCCTGGATGTCTGTTGGCGCCCGGGAAGAGCTGCGTCAGCGGGAGATAGCTTCTCGACCCGAAGCCATGCCCGAGGGCTGACGGCAGTGGGCAGGGAGGGGTAGAGGAGCTTGGAGCTCGCGCGCAACAGCCCAGGTATGCTTACCGAGGAGAGGGTTCTCCAGGCACAAGAGACGGTATTGCTTGGAGGCGGCCATTTTGCTCAATTGACTTGCTATGGCTGTGGTTGCGTGGAAATGTCTCGGTCTCTGTGATGGCGGGGTTGCGGTCGAAGAAGTTCTTCGAAGAGGGACGCCGCGGAGGTGGGGTGAAAAGAAACCCCTGCCGGCACTTCGGGTTGCGAAGCCCGGCAAGGAGCTGAGTCGGGGTAGCCCACGGGCGAATGGTGTGCCAAACATGTTGAATCCTCTGAGTCAGGTGGGTAATTTCTACGAAGACAGGCTACACACGCACTTGGATGCCCGTGGCTGACTGTTGCAAGCTCGTCAAAGTCGGTCAAGAGGGCTCTTATTATATTCACAGTCCCGCTGGGTTCACTTGGAGGCGGGCGTGGGGAGAGGCAGGTTGGCTGATCCGTCGTACTAGCTTGGCACATGATGCCACTCTGCGTTCATGCTGTCGGAACCAGACAGGAAATTGCATGACACGCTCCTCGCTCCTTCAGATATACCTCCCCAGCATCGTGGCTCTATTCCCTTGTATTTGGACCTAGAGCAACAGACTCTGCAAGTCCACCAGGACGCCAGACGGCCAGTTTTGGTATTGGAATCATTTTTCTTTTGTATTCCGTGAATGCCGAGGTACTACCCATAAGCGGTGGTTTCTTCATGAACCGCCCTTTTAGTACCAGAACACGCAAGACCGAAGATATCAAAGCAATCCGTAAACCCCAACCCATGAAATCAGCGACCGCCTTAGTCCTTCGTCTTCTGGGTACCCCGCAGCAGACCAGTCCGTCTGGCAGCGATGAGACCCGCCTTTTGACCAGAGACAGCGTAACGGTTGATGGTGGAGGCTTTTCCGATATGTTGGTGGTTACCCTACGGTGGCGTGTCAGATGCAATTCATTGAAATGGGAATCGGTTTTACTTACACCACCGTGAGGGTGGTCCACGGGGTTCATGGCCACACCACGAGTCTTGGGCCAGGAGTTGCGCTTGACGGCGAACTTGTGCTTGGCGCGAGAAGCCTCTGTTCGAGTGGTCAGCATGCTATGAATTTGCCGTCTCAATTGTAACCTGTGGAAAACCAGTGGCGGCGTCCAGACCCGACTTCTTCAGGCTGGTCGCGTGCTCCAGCCCCCACAGATCCAAACTCCCAGGGTTGACATACTCAGGAGAGGCTTGTCCGTTCGGCCACCGCCAGCAACGATTCCGATCATGCCACGGGAGGTGCTGTGGACAATCTTCTTGGCACCGGAGGGCAGCTTGATACGGGTCTTGCCCTCGTCGGGGTTGTGGCCGATGATGGTGATGTAGTTGCCGGAGGTACGGCCCAGGGAGCCACGGTCGCCAATCTTCTCCTCGACATTGGAAACGACGGTACCCTCAGGCATGGAGCCCAGGGGCAGGACGTTGCCGACGGTCAGGGCGGCGTTCTTGCCTGCGTAGATGAACTGGCCGGTGTACATGCCCTCGTTGGCAATGAAGGTCTCGGTGTGCAGCTTGAACTTGTAGGGGTCGCGGAAGACAACCTTGGCCAGGGGAGCGCCACGGCCGGCGTCGTGGACGATCTGCTTCACGACACCTCGGATGTATCCATGTCGCTCGGAGTAGTCGAGGGTCCTGAACTTGGCGGGGGCCTTGTTCAATCGGGTGATCGCCTTGAAGATGGTCGACGAACCCTTACGCTGGTTCCTGATAACTCTTCCCATCTTGGCTGCTGGCTCTGAGGCGTCACCTGCTTGAGGACGGAGACGTAAGTTTTTCTGGTCGGACCTGTGTGGTTGTTTGCACTGCAAAGCGAGAGAGTAGGGGGGCGCAAATCCGTCGGGTTGAATTGACCGATCGAAGACCGCCTCCTTCTCAATCGAGCGACAGATTCCAGAATGATGGGTGGGTGCTGGACTTACGGGCAGTTTGATGGGGTTGTTGTGATGGTTTGTCGATGAGGCCGAATTCCTGCCGCTGAATTTTAGAAGGCAGGAGGGCAGGAACGACTTCTTTGATTTTGTGGCCGCACTAAGCTACTTTGGGAATGGCGCAAAATCACACGCTGTGGGTCTGTGCGCTGCACAGCATGTCAGCCTTTCCCGGAAGGAACCTCACACCTCGGCCTAAGATCAATACAACTCATCATCATCACCAGCTTCATCCACAGGCGGGTCCTCGCATCTTCCAAAACATGTCAATTGTCGAGTGCTGACCCTTCTAACAGATCTTTCATCTGCAATGAGATTGTTGACGGTACAGAGGTCTTGACTCTTCTGGCGAGGTGCATCGTTGTTCCGGCCTATTTCCTAGTCGAATGACCGGAAATCGTGTGAGAAAGCTCTCATACTCGATTGATTTTTGATCGGCGTTGTGTGGATTCAACTTGGCTCGATGGGCCGGCACCCGGGAATCGACGGCGCAGCTGGGAGTGTGAAACTCGCACTGCATCCGGCTACCTGGCCGTAAACACACTGCGACATCGCCAGATAAGCTGGGAAAGCCACCGAAGCATCATCTACATCTTGTGCAAGAGAAAGCTGCGAGTGCAGTCTTTTGCAGGCACTTTTCAAAGGGCTTGCGGCTCAAAGCGCAGATCTACTCTGCTGCTACCCCCGGCTGTTGCCAGCTGCTCCAAGCCATGTGAATGGACTGTCGGCGTTAGTGGTTGGTACTGGACTTTGGCGATGCCTTCGTCGGTGGTTCTGATGAGCGGTGTGATGTTGCCGCCTGAGTTGCGCGATTTTTTCGTGGGACTCATCGGGGGCCGTTGCAGCACAAGGGACGCCCTCTGCCTGGATCAGCGCTATGTCGAACGCCCAAACCCAATGCGTGAGCCATAACTACCAGGGGTCGGGAACTTCTCCTCTGGGCTAATTTTCCTGAGATAACCTCCCTGGGATTATTTACTTGGGATAATCAACCTGTTGGCCTGCCTGGGACGATCTACTAGGACAGCCCCCATGGCCCGCCCACCACGATATTTGGGTAAGTTGCCGGTGTTTCAGGGACCAAGTGGCTCTTGTCCACGATTTCTGCATTGTTTCCATTGAAAACTGGGATGCATGGAGCCCAGATGACTGTCCGGTCAAAGTTGGCTCGGCGCTGGTTGAGAATTTGCGTCCCAGGGAACACAAAGAACATGGAATATTCCTGCTTATCTATGACGGCGGCATTGCTGTGGCCAAGATTTCTGGATGGTTGCAAGTTCACGGTACGGGTAGCAGCCATTATGCGTCGATCTGCGGGGCGGACGGCAACACTTGGGCTGAGAAGGGAACATCTCCACACTGCACACCAATGGATTCCTTGAAGGAGCGAGAACAGAAGAGTGGCACAGGCAAAGACTGCGGATAAGCGGTGGAAGGGTCTTCGGCTGCTGCGACATTCGTGCTCCCATTATGAGGCTACTCAAGAGAAGGCTATGCAGGACGAGAGTACCCCAGGCAAGGCTGTTCAAGAGGAGGCGACTCGGGGAATGGCGGACCAGGGGGAATGTCATGCTATGCTATCTACATGGAGGTAGCTAGTGACCTCTTGGAGGAAAACCGAAGGCAAGGACGTTGGATTAGGCAGCAGGAGGGCAGGTAAATGCCATGTAGGCAGCGTGATCTAGGCGGGTGGACATAATGGAGGCATTGAGATATCTATGTTAATCCGATTCGGCGAATCATATTGCCTGTGGTCGTCGTGCGGCTCCTCGATCTTTAGCGGGCCTCCATTCCGTCACCGAACCTTACTCATTGGAACTCTCCTTCCGCCACTACAACCAGCAGCACCACCAACCTGCAGACTGCAACCGCAACGAGTTTGCCAGCAGCCACGGAAAGAATGGCCGACGACTCGTCTGATCTATCCTCCATCTCCTCCCTTTCCCCTGCTCCGTCGGGCGATGAGTCGGAAATAGAACTCAAGCCCCAGAATGGCATCCTGAAGTTCTTCCACCGCGTCTCCAAGGACGAAGTCGCCGAGGCAAGAAAGAAGGAGATGTCGCCTCCGCCGCGCAAGAGGGAGCCCTCCCCACCCCACGAATACGTTTTTGCGGACAATCCAGACATTGCAGTAAGTCGCGAGGCTGATTTGTCGCGTCGCATCTGCGAAAAGACGCGAAAATGCGCGGTCGCGTTGCCGCAACCCTGGCTCACCCATCTCGCAGTTCATTGTCATGTTCCGCAAGCGATTCGACAGTGCCATGCCCAGGTCTCTGGCACATTTCGGCCCTCTCGAGCTGGAGCAGGATATCCAGCAGGACCCCCCTGCCGAACGAGTCGAGCAATTCCTGTGTGTCGTTCTGGGCCTCCTTCTGAATCGCAAGCAAGACATCAAGTACGCGACCTTCCCACCTGCCCCACCAAACGCGCGCCTGACTTACATTCTGTTCCCATTTAGGATCGGACACTACCACAAGGCATTGAATGAGGATGCCATCAATGGGAAAGACTTCAAGCCTCAATGGCCCCGTGACTGGAACGATCGCAGCCCTCTTGCGGGCGGCGCAACCTTTCAAACGATCTCGCCCGAACAACGAGTAAGTGGCACACCCTCCCACCACTCCTTCTTAGTGATCATGCTGATGGCATGATAATTACAGGTCCTTCTACTCAAAACCTTGGCTCTATGGGCTCTGGGATACTCCGACGCCGTCAAGACCTTGATCAACACCAGCTACAACCAGAAACGCAGTGCCGACGACCTCAACCAACCCCTCTCCGTCCAGCCGTGGGGCCATGACAGCGACAAGCGCCGATATTACCTGGTCGAAGGAGACGACAACTGCTCATTTCGGATATACAGGGAGGGCAACCCAGCCGCTTTGTACAACAGACAATGGATAAGTGTTGCTGGTAGCATCGACGAGGCCAAAGCTCTTGCAGAGAAACTGGGCAAGGACAACGGCCAGCACGCACGCAAGCTCAGCAGGAGCATCTTGAACAATATTGGAAACTTCGAGGAGAAGGAGGAGGTATGCACAACACGACGACGCTGTCTCTGCTTACTCCTTTGGCGCAGCCTTTCCACTCCCAGTCCACCTCCAATCGCATGCACGCTCTTGAAGACGTGGCTAACATGTCTATCCATAGAAACGCAAGAGACGCGAGTACAGACGCACGCAAAAGGAACGCTTCCGCCGACCCGAGCCCGGTTTCTCTCTGTACGAGGGTCGGACAAGAGGGAAGCGGGTCAAGTACACCTACTCCGATGACGAAGACTTCTACACGGACTCGACGAACAACCGCCGATCAACTCGAAACACTCGAAACCACACTCCTGTTGATGCTGGCCCTGTTATCACAGCTAGCGGTCGCCAGTCGCGGCCCCCTCCTCGGCTCACTGCCGACAACATGAGCAACGGCGACGCAAGCGCTGCGGCCAGCGTCCAGGGCGACGACGCTACCGGTGGCAATCTGGATACTGAGATGAGCGAAGCGCCAGAGATTGGACCAACTGGCCGACCCAGACGAACTGCAGCTGCACAACACACGACAAACGGCTGGTCCACCTCCCGGAAGCGGAACAGACCTTACGTGTCTGACGACGAGGACGAGGACGAGTCTGAGCCAGATTTTGGCGAAGAGGGCGACGACCATATCCCACTAGACGAGACGGAAGATGAGGAAGAGTTTGAGAACGATGCCGTGGATGAAGATGATGAAGTCGCCCCCGACAGCCCCGACTCGACCGATAGTCGCATGGTGAAGTTGCACATCAAGGTCAACTTCGACAAGGATGGCAAGGCAAAGCGTCTGGCAAAGAAGCGCGGCTCAACGGAGTCGGCTTCGACGCCGTCAAACATCTCGTCCTCGCCTGAGGCCGCCGAGTCTGCCTCTGAGGGCAGTCCAAGCGACATTCCCGAGCACGAGCCTGAGCATACCGGAGATGTCATTCAAGCCGCACCACTGAAGCGCGCAGAGCCAGGCGTTACCTCGACCTCAGCGTCTGGAGCACCCAGTGCCGCTCCGACTCAGGCTTCTGGTACCCTCTCGACTCCCGCTGCTGTGAGCTCAGCCCCGACGAGCGCTGCCAAGTCATCCGAGGACTCGGAGAACGTGGCGCCGAGGCCAGAGCCGCCCACCGCTGACCGTATTGCGGCCGCTAATGGTAACCTGAAGCTCCAGGCAGGTGCTGCGCCGGCCTCACTGGCCCTCAGAGGCAGCCCCGAGAAGCCCCGTGCAGTCATGGCCTCGGCGAACCAGGATTAGGAGCCTAGTCGTCTGGCTATCGACGGACCAAAAGTGTTGTTCTGATTGTTTGGGAGTTCAAGGGATGGGCGGAAAAAAGAGAGACATGGCTTGTTACACGGTTCTGCGCAAGGCGTCATCTCACATTAGATGGATATTGTTACGGCGGCAGTATGCGTGTTCAGGGCGGACGGTGATCCTTGGAAGGGAAACGATGTCCGCGTCTTGGTGGCCCGAGAGAGGGCAAGTTGTGGTCATAGTACTACTGATAGTACAGAGCTTGCCGGTGAGCATCGACAGTAACATATCAAGCAAGACTTTTGCTCCATGCTCGTGGATTACATGTGACCCGTGATGTGACAGTCTGCCCCTACCGTCGGTTCTCCCAGCTCCCCAACCACCTTGAGCTCTCGGCCACCTTGGCCACCTCGCCCAGCGCCGCCTCCACCTTGCCCTCCGGGTCGTGATACCTGCTGCCGTCAAACTCGACGAGGAAAAGGTACTGGAAGGGCTGGATCAGGCTGGGCAGGCTGTTGATGCTCGTCAGGTTCAGCCCGACCTTCCTAAACACGTCCAGGACCGCGGCCAGCGCCCCGGGGGCCCGGTGCGGCACCGTGAACGAGACGAGGCTCTTGCGGCCTTTGGCCTGTGCCTCTGCCGCCACTGCCCATCCCTCCTTGCCCTCCCCCTCGCCGGCACCAGCCCTCCCGCGCCGCAGCACAAAGAACCGCGTCGTGTTGTCGTCCCGGTCCTCGATGCACCGCGCCAGCACGTCGAGCCCGAACGCCGCCGCCGCGCTCTCGTTGGAGATGGCGGCCGTCTCGCCCGAGGAGTCGGCCCCGGCCATCTCGGCCGCCTTGCTCGTCGAGCTGACGTCGATAGTCTCGACGCCGGGTGGCAGGTGGGCGGACAGGAAGGCCTGCGTCTGCCCGAACGCCTGTGGGTGGCTGTAGACGCGTCGGATGTGTGACAGGTCGTACAGGGGCTTGCCCCCCGCCGTTGCTGCTGGTGGTGCTCCCGAGTCGGCAGGGGTGGCGGTGTCCCCCTGCTGCTGATGATCCGTCGTACCCCTCCGCGCGCGGCCGAGCAGGAAGTGGTGCACGTCGATGTACACCTCGCCACAAACGCTCAGGGTCCCGTAGTCGCCCCCGCGGTCGGCCAGGTGGCCCAGCGTGAAGGTGACAACGCCGTGTGTCGAGTTCTCAAAGGGCACGACGCCGTAGTCCGCGGCGCCGGCGGCCACGGCGTCGAAGACGTCCTTTATCGTGGCCACAGGGGTGAGGGTGTGGTCATCTTCTGAGAAGGCTGACTTGGTGGCCTTTTGGGGGTTGGTGTTAGCCGCTCTCTCTGTGCAAGTGTGTGTGTCTTGTCTTGCCTATGTGGATTGGCAGAGGGATTCCGAGCAAGCGAGGACTCTCACCTGGTGTGTGAAGGAGGACGGAGGGCCTAGGAAGGCGACCTGCGGCCTTTCTGGGGATGTTCCGCCATCCTTTTGATCCTTGGTCTGAACCATGGCTGCTATGCCTGTTGAGTGTTGCTCAATATTGAAAGTTCCGGCTCGGCGGGAGTCAGGCACAAGTCCGGGAGGATGAAAATTTCTTGGAGCACTGGGATTGTCGGTGTCAATCGGTTTACATGATCACAAAATAGTTGGCAAGGGTCAAGTGCTCAAGTGAGGCGTGTAACATGGGCAGTCATATTTGGTTCATTCTTTGATGTGCGAAGTGCTTTTATGTACATGAGCATTTCCATTTGCTTCTGGAGTTGAGCTAGGATCCGTGGTGGGTGCGCAGATGCGGGATGCGGCTTGCGGGATGCGGCTTGCGGGATGCGGCTTGTACGTACACCAACAGGTCTCGAGCATCGAACAACGCAAGTGTACCATCCCGAAATGCCCCGTCTGCATTGCTGCTGCTGCCCACAGCAGACGTCTTGCGGTTGGTCGATTCATTACCGCAAACACTATCAAATCAAGACGGCCAGCCCTTCAACTTCGTTCCGCACACATGGCAGCCGACGCTGTTGTAGGACGTGACACAATGGTTGAAAGAGCGTATCAAGTTGGATTTTGTGTAGCACTACCAATTGAAAAAGAGCGACTCAAAGCAAGGAGCAAGAGGGACTACAACGCCGTGTCCTCCGATTGGACAAATTGTTGTCTTGCTTTGGACATTCCCCGACGATAGAGCAGTGACCAGGTCTACACCCATACCAATATCAGTCTCCCTTGCCTCCATCCTTCCCCATCTGCCCTGTCTTTGGTAGCCCTGCAACGAAGGCGTCTTTTGGACTCTTCAACTTCTCGGCGCACAGGGACACCACAGGTAACGGTTCTGAAGGTATGTCTCAGCAGCTGGTGGGATCACTTAGTGAGCCTGGAGCATGGGGATTTGAACGTACCGCCGTGTTTTGATAACTCAAGAAGCCGTCAAGTCGACATGACAGAGCGGAGCGGTGACGGCCGCACGGCCTGATGAGGCGACTGGCCGGGATTGCCACCGAAGCCCTTCATCAAGCGCCGCTGCGCAGGTGAGACTTTGCCGGACGTCGTCTTGGGCGCCGGCTTCTGAGGATCGGCAGCCGTCGTCGGCTCGGACGGGATTGCTTGAGTTGAAGAGCCCTCGTTGTTCACGAGGGATTCAAACTGTCAATCGTCGTAGTAGTCATCATCGTCGTCGATATCTTGCAACTGCTCAAAGTTGACCTTGTAGCGCAGAAGGCCTCCGATTCCACCAAAGCCCTTGACAAACTGGTTGCCCTCGGTCGATCGGTCAGACACAAACTCCAGGGTCGTGCCGAAATCCTTGTAGTGCTCCGCAATCCACTCGAGGAAGGACTCCTGGTTCACGACTTCCATCTCCTGACCCGCAGAGGCCGAGGACTTGTCCACGAACATGGAGCGGTCGCCCGAGGTCTCCTGCTGCTTGGTGGTGTGGACAAGGTACTCAGCTCCGTTGCTGTCCTTGAGGGTCCAACGGGTGATCTCGAGGTTCTCGAAGACGATCAGGATCTCCACAGCTCCGAGCTCCAGAGCCTTGAGGGTATCCTCGATACCGTAGCAGACTCGGCCGGTGTCCTGGCTGATTTCCTCGAAGTATTTACCGATCAGCTTCTTCTCCTGGATGAACTTGACGTTGCCAAGAGTCTCCGAGGCCAGCTCGATGGCCTGGTTAAAGCCGTTCTCTCCACCGTATGACACATCGACAACCTTGATGACCTTGGAAGCAAGACGGTTATCGAACATGTCGGATGCGTTCAAGTCGTTCTTGAAATCGGCGGAACCGGCGAGGATGAGCCCGGCAACGTTGACCTTGTCGTTGGTGATGAAGTTCTGGACTGCCAACTCTGCGACCTTGCGGACGTAATTGTGACGCTTCTCTTCTCGCAGACGGGCGAAACGAAGGGCGGACTGACCACCACGACCGTGCTTCTTGGGCAAGTCGACCGAGAACTTGTGGACGATTTCTCGGGTGTTGCTGAGGGTGCCGAAGAGCGCGCCGTTACCGTCCATGATGATGAAGCCGAACTTCTGGTCGGACTCGAGGAGCTCGGCGAGAGCCTCGGTGTGGAACTTGTTGTCACAGAGGTAGAGCGAGGTGTTGATGGGCTTGAAGGGCTCGAAATCGATGTTGACCTTGCGTTCCTTTCCCTCCGAAGTCAAGATTTCACCACAGTAGACGACCAGGCCATTGGGAGGAACCTTGTTGTACAGCTTGAGACGCTGCTGGGTGGAGGTGATGGCTGACAACACGGACTGCCGGTTGACACGCGACTTAATGTTGGACGCCGTGCCCTGTTTTGGTGGTGTCAGCGTGTCGCCCTGGTATCAAGGGTATGCCATGCGGGTCGTACGTACGTATTCTTCAGCCAACATCTTTGCAGCACGAGAGACCTGATCCTTGGGGGCTGGTGGGAGGTCAGTCAGCCGTGCTGGTGCCCGGCGCGTCTCGACAGGGGGCGACACGTACGGATGATGAGGGAGATCATGGATGTGCCGTTACCACGAGCGGCCTCGAGCCTCTTGATGAGCTTCTTGACCTTCCATATCTCGATCTGAGGCCTTCAGTCAGCATTGATGCGCAACACAACACGCGCACGAGTCGGGCCGTGCAGCGTGCATAGTCGGACGGCGGGGAGGGATGGACCGACGTTCTTCTCGGCTTCCTATAGACGTCTTATATTAGCAAATGCATCGGGACACAGGAAGCCCCATGGCCGGACAGCAGTGGCCACGAGACAGCCCCCGTTGGCAGACAACACACGGCATTGGCTGGGAGCGGGAATTAAATGCGGGAGCAGCAGCAACAACATACGTTAGCCTGTGCGTCACTCATTTTGAGGTTGGGTTGGACGCCGGAGCGACTTTGTCGATCTGTGTGGAAGACGGCAGCCGAGCAATGTCCCAGGGGTGCAGGTCTTGAGGTGAGTCCCTAATGAAGACAAAGGAAAACGAAGAGCTCGCGCCGGGTGTGTGTGGTGTCTTTCGCGGCGGGGTTTCGTAAGATTTTATGGAGGGGAGGGGACTGATCAAAAGTGGCTGATGGCAAATGGCCCTTTTCTCTTTTCTTTGGTGTCAAGTTGTACGCCTGCCGAGTCAAGGCCCCACTGGCGCCGCACATACCATTGGCCACAACCCGTTGCTTAGGCCCCCAAAGCTGCAGGTTACAGTATCAAGCTGCACGGATCTGGCGTGCGCTATGTACCCAGACAGCCTAGTTTGGCCTCCCCCAATGCGGGCTGTACCTTAGCTATTAAAGTCAACTTGACCAGTTGAGGCACAACAAGCGAGCGTTATACCAGGCATTCATACCTCACCCATTGATCCTCCCCCAACGACACCACTGATACGAGCAGTCAACCTTGGGCTTCAGAGGCGGATTCCTCACTGACTCATTATTATCACCCCTTTCAGGACAGTCATACTGGGCCAGGCACCAGGCGAAATCAACTTGGTACCCAAATCCACCTGACGTCACGTTCGCTCGCTCGCCTGCTCACCGTGAGTCGGCTCCAGAAAGGCTGAAGGGGGCCCCTCCCAGAGCAAAGTGGACCCCCATCGCTCAAGCGCCACAGGACGGACCACCGTCCCCATAAAGCAGCCCCGGTCACCGTCGCCTGCGCGCGCGCAGCTCCCTCCAGCCCAGCATGGCATCATCCGAAATCCCAATGCAGGTGGCAGAGACGATCCAGACAGCGCACATCAACCGGGCGCCCTCGGCCCAGCACGACCTCAACCCGTCCACGGCCGCCGACGCGAGGGAGCCCGTCCACCTGGACAAAGACGAGGCGCACGTCGACGACGACGACGATGACATCCCCGTCAGCGTGCTGAGGCCCGCCAGGCGCTTCTCGCACCTGCCGCCCATCCCCGACCTGCGCTTCGAGCAGAGCTACCTGCACAGCATACAGGATGCCAAGTCGTGGTGGATGGTGGCATGGATCACCACGCGGGATCAGGTGCGTTCCGTTGGCCCATGAGGTCCTTGTTCTTTGTTTTCTGGATGGTCACGGATGGCAGACGCTAACGGTATACCGCCTTTGCAGCTCGTGATGCCCATGCTGCAGGGCGTCGTCTACAACCTCGCCTGGTGCGGCTGGCAGTACTGGAACAGGAACGCGCAGATGAGCGGGAACTCGATAGGCGCACAGGTCCGGAGGTGGTGGTGGGGGGTCAACAACTGGCCCATCCCCTCGAAGCCGGTGGCGAGAGAGAAGAAAGACTGGTTCCGTCGATGAGCGGTTTGAGCAACCTGAGCGAATATATACCGAGGATGCTTCCAAGCACACCCACATGAGCCCCGTGTTGGCGTGGGCTGCCTCTCGCTATTTTGGACCCGTGCTCTGCATGTGTGATCTTGTCATGGACATATAAGCACGCCTTGTGGAAATATCGCGCAGCTTTTCAACTCGCCGTGGGAATCCGGCACGCCGGCCAACGGTCTTCTGAACTGATCTGCGGGCGTGTAAGGTAGAACATGCGGGCATCAGCGCGAGATGCTTAAGAATTGCCGACAGCAGGTAGACCGTGCAGGCAGTACCAATGCATTACGGCACGTAGACAATCATGAATTCAACTCGGCAACGCTCAGAAGTGCGGTTTCAACAGCCCATGAGACTTCACATTCTCTGCATTCCCACTGCTCAGTCCAGTGGTACACACAGGTGTCGAATCATATTTCCTATCACCCACGCACTCAGATGCGACCATTCAAATGACCGTTGAGGGCTCGCCCCCTCTCAAATAGATACAGCTGCGCCTCCCAAGGCCTCAACACAACCCCCTTCTCACTCGCCCGCGGGCCCTCATCCTCACCATAGTTACCAAACTGGAACGCCCAGCGCCCCCCCTCACACGCAGGGAACCCAGCCTTCTGCTGCCCGCCCGAGAAGTTGAGCGCCACCAGCGCCATCTCCTCGCCGCGGCCGCCCCCCTTCTTGACAAAAACAAACGTCTTCTCGTCGTCGGCGCCGACGACCTCGAACGTGCCGTGGACGAACAGGTCGGCGTGCGCCTTGCGGAAGCGGATCATGTCCCGCCAGAAGCCCAACACCGACGACCGGGGCCTCGCCAGCTGGTCGGCGACGTTGATCTGGGCGTACGAGTCGTTGGCGCGCATCCACGGCCCCCGCGGCGAGTCGGTGAAGCCGCCGTGGCGAGAGGCGTCCCACTGCATGGGCGTGCGGGCGTTGTCGCGGCCCAGCACCGACATGTTGGCGAGCACGGCGTCGAGCGCGGCGCGGTCGCCCCCCGTGGACCGCTTCACCTCCTCGTAGTACCCCAGCGCCTCGATGTCCTTGTACTCTTCGATGGGCCACGACCGCGGGATGTTGACCATGCCGATCTCCTGTCCCTGGTAGATGAAGAGCGTCCCCGTCAGCGAGCACATCATCAGCGCCAGCAGCTTGGCCGACCGCTCCCTGTGCTGCGGGTCGTCGGACGCGAAGCGCGACACGGACCGGCCCTGGTCGTGGTTCTCGCAGAAGGCCGTCGTCCACCCGTCCGTGCCCTCGATGAACTGCTGCCACTTGGCCACGATGGCCTTGAGCTGCGGCAGCGTCCACTCCTGGAACTGGTACTTGTACGGCGAGCCCTGGCCCAGGTCGACGATGTCGAACTGGAACACCATGCTGAGCTGCCTGTCGCCCAGGCCAACGTAGTCCAGCACGCGTGCCGGGTCGGGGGTGTGTGGCAGCTCCCCAACGGTCATGGTATCATACTTGTCAAGGACCTCGCGGTTCATCTCCCGCAGAAATTCGTGCATCCGTGGCCCGTTGGCGTACAGGCACCACGCCGGCTGGTCGAACGTGTCCCGGTTGACAATTGGGGCGTCCCTCAGCTCCGACACGGGCCCCTTGGACCACATGTTGACCGTGTCGATCCGGAACCCGTCGACGCCCTTGTCCAGCCAGAACCGCATCGCGCTGTCGTAGATGGCCCTGCGGCACCCGTCGCTCTCCCAGTTCAGGTCCGGCTGCTCCTTGGCGAACAGGTGCAGGAAGTACTCCTGCGTGTGCTCGTCCCACTCCCACGCCGTGCCGCTGAAGTAGCTGCGCCAGTTGGTCGGCGGCATGCGCGTCCCGTCCTCGGCGTACCTGGGCGGCCGCCAGATGTACCAGTCGCGCTTCGGGTTGTCCCTGGAGGAACGGGACTCCTTGAACCAGGCGTGCTGGTCGGATGTGTGGTTCACGACCAGGTCCAGGATGAGGCGCATGCCTCGCTTGTGGCACTCGTCGATGAGGACCTCCATGTCCTGGACGGTCCCGTAGGGCGCGTGCACAGCCTCATAGTTTGATATGTCGTAGCCCTTCACGCGGTCAGAAATGTTCCATAATCATCAAGGCTCCAGGCACCTCTCACAAGGGGATCTTACCATGTCAATCTGTGGGCTGTATGATGTCAGCGTTATGGCAGCACTTGTTTCATTGTCTCGATGGGACTCACCTCTCAAACATGGGTGATACCCAGACGATGTCGATGCCCAGGTCCTTTAAATAGTCCACCTTGCTGATGATGCCGGGGATGTCCCCCAGGCCATCTCCATTGCTATCCTTGAAGCTGGCCGGATATATCTGACTGTTTTCGGACACGATTGTGCCACCAGTCAGCACGTGGTTCAGAAATCAAGATTGTGACGGGGTGCTAGAGCATCAGGGATTGCAAGATGATCCTGAAGACCTCTTGAGGCAGACTCACTATGCCACTCCTTCCTTCCACCAGAGCTTCTCCCCCGTCATATTCGCGTTGAAAGTTCCGTGCGAGACTTCAAGATGATGGCTGATTTTGGACGTCAACCTTCGCTTAGGTCGTTACAATTTCTCCTGCCCGCCGGATCTACAAGGGAATATCGTATATCGTCGGTGCTTTCTATGTTAATAAGCCCACGGGGTGGTGATGCCACAAAGCCAGTGGCCGGGTGAGGTGAGGAGGGACAGAGGCTACAAAGTGAACAATTGCGCCTCCCGAATAAGTGAGTAAAATGACTGCGCGATCGTGTCTATCTATCCACGCATGCTGTGCTTTTCTCCTGGCCTCGTGACCTACTTAAATACTACTTTCCGTACGACCGGCTATCACGACGCCTGCACAGAGCAACCGGCTAATAATGACGTTCCATGTGAGAGACGATCATGAGGAGGTGTTTGAGTCGCCAAAACGCTCGCTGCAACTCTTGCTCGTCCGCAAACCTGGGGTAACTGGTGCAACTACCTCGGAATCATCCATATCTAGCTTCTTAGCTAGCCCGCCGGCAGACATGTGCGGCGTCTCGCAGGTGCTCGTCGGTCCGACGAAGACTACGGCCAGGGGATAGCGCAGCACCGGCCGGAGTAATTCGCGTCCGGGTACGGCGCTCCCACGGGGTGGGTAGCATGGGACTAAATCTCCTCATGATGACTTATCACAGAAGTGAGAGGTTAGTGGCTGGCTGCAACAGTGACCCCAACTCCCTGACGGGCTTGGCTGCACGACGCTGATTTTACTGTGTTTCTTTTTGTATCTGACACCTGCGGCACTCGGTTCGAGCGCGAGGCGGTCGCCAAGTATGCATGGGGGTAGTGTCTATGTCCTGGCCAAAGTCAAGGTACCACCTCTCCGTCGCCTCAAAATTGGTAGTCCAACCTCTCTATAACTAGGTATTTTGACCGAAGGCCATCGTGCTGGCTGCTTCTCCTCTCCTGTTCCTCGCCTTGTTTGCTCCGCTGATTGCGAGCAGCCCGCTTGTCCCGATGAGGTCATATCTGCGTCTGGCAGACTTTTGCTCTGCTCATTTTGTCATGCCAAGAACTGTCTGGCATTATACCCAGCACACGTGGCTGGGACTGGAGCTGACGTCTCAAGCCATTTGGAGGCCGAACTCGGGCAGCGTGATCAGGCGCCACGCAACGAAGTGTCGTGGATGGGGTGTAATGCATGTCCTCAGCAGGCAGAAAATTCTTATCTGCCTGCCATGGGAGTTGCCCCTCCGCTGGGTTGGCGTTGGTGCTGCTGCTGGTTGGCCTGATTGGCAGCCTGTGCCTGGGCAACTTGCTGCTGTTGCTGTTGCTGTTGGTGTTGCCTCAGCATCTGCGCGTACTGGTGAGGGCTCGCTGCGGCTGGCATGCCATTCACCATGCCCTGCTGCTGATGGGGGCTTCCAGCCGCGGCGTCCATGGCAGTCTGGGCGACGTTGTTCCTTGCCACTTGGTTCTGCATCAAGCGTTGCTGCATGATGTGGAGCGCCTGCCCGTGGGCCTGTTGCTGGCTCATGTTTGGATACTTGGCCCTGATTTGATTCTCGATCTCCATGATCTGCGCTTGGATTTGCGGCGGCAACTGCTGCTGCTGCCGGTTGAAATTAGGCGCCGGTGGTGACCCAGCTCCCACGTTCGGCATTCCCATCCCGACTGCCCCAGGAGAGGTGGCCATGCCCATGCCGTTGGGAGTGTATGGGGACATGGAGTTGATCATGTAGTTGTTTCTGATTGACGCCATTCATTGAATTTCGAATGATGGGAGAGCCCTGTTGCGCTACCGAGCCATTCGGCATGGGGTGGGGTTGCGGGCCTTGCTGAGGCTGCTGGGCCGGCTGCGTCTGAGCCGGTGGAGGGGAGTGCTGCGGTGGCATCTGTTGTTGCTGCGGCTGGCCTGGTGTTGTTGCGGTTGCTGTTGCTGCGGCTGTTGTGATTGTTGCTGTTGCTGCTGCTGCTGCGGTTGAGGAGTGTGGCCTTGGACCTGGGGCGGCATCTGGCCCTGAGTCTGGGCCTGATTGGCCATCTGTTGCCGTCGCTGCTGCTCTGCTATCCTTCTTGACTCCAATGCTGCCCTCTGGACCGCTTGCTGTTGCTGGAAAGCAGCTAGCTGAGCCTGTGAGGGCTGGGCCATGCCATTGACAGGCATATGAGGGACGAGACCACCTGCTGCTGCCATCTGTGCGGCAATCGCGTTTTGTTGTTGCATTGGCATGCCCGGCCGTTGTTGTGCGACCCCGAGCGTGCGAGCCAACAATGGATTTGCTGCGACAGCGGCATGTGTTGCAGCGACCGTCCGGGCGGCCTGTGAGCCTCCCGGCGCACCTGCCACTTGGGCCATTTGAGTCTGAGATCTGCCTTGCATTGCAGCCTGCGAAGGGGTCTGGTCAGCGCGTTCTTGCCAAAGGGGCATCCCAGCTGCACTTACTCTTCTCTGGGCCTCTTGCTGTTGCGCGGCAAGTGTCCTCGCAATCTTTTCAGTCATCTGCTTGTCCCGTTCGTGCCTAGCTCGGGCATAGTCTTCTGGCGTCTTGATATTCAGCTTTTGCTGCGGGGCTTCCGTCGACGTCCTCCTGCTCTGGTTATTCGTGCTCTGCTGCTGCTTAGCGGCGGCTGCCTCGCGTTTCTTGGCCAGCTTCTTCATGGCGTCAATCAAGGCTAGATGTCTTCTAGGAGTCCGTCTCTCGACCCGCACAGGCAAAGTTGGTCGCCGCCGTGGTACGACCGCACCGTTCGGAACAGCTTGCTGCGTTGCGTTGTGGTTGGCTAATGCGATGGCCCTCTGCGCTTGATCAATCCTTCTCTGGTAAGTCTGGAAGTACTGCGTCCTAGCCACGTCATTCGGATAACCCTCTAGTTGGACCCAGCGCTCAAAACATTCCCATGGCGTCCGTCTCTCTTCACCAGAAATGAAAAGGGATTTCGACGAGATGTTCTTGGATATCAAGGACCAGTTGTACGAGTACTCGCGTACTTGTTTTCTGAGCTCCTCGTCTTCCGCCGGGGTCCACTGGGAGGCGATCCTGGACTCGAAGAAGCTCTGCAGGGGCATGAGCGACTCGGTAGGCGGCCTGAACTGGTGTCCAGCATGAAGACGGTCCCGCACCAGCTTCATTTCCGGGCGGAACAGAGCCACATCCGTGTTCTCTGGGGGCAGGTCCGAGCTTCGACCTTGGTCGTCGCCAAATATTACTTCGTCATCATCGTCCTCGTCCTCTACTGCGTATTGATATCGACTCCGCCTCGGTCGAGGACCTGCTGACTTGAGCGTCATCTCGCCTTCGACATATTTGCTGAGTGGCAAGGCTGGCCTGCGCCATTGACCATCCGGATCATACCCAGGGCCAGTGACATCGAACTGAGGCAACTTCAGCGGCGCGCCATACAGAGGTAGCTCCTCCAAGAGTTGTTCGGATGTCGACGACTGTTGAAGACTGAATACGACCTCGTCGTCCTGAAGAGCAAAAATCGCAGATGGAGCAACTGTCTGAGCGTTCCAGTCCCGAGGCTCGTCATCGATGTCCATTGGAGAGTCAGCATCTCCCGAGGGGACAAGGTCGGGCATCGGCGTTGGCAAAGACTCCTCTTCGGGCGGAGTTGTCCCAGTCTTGCTAGATGAATGTTCACCATCAATTGGTGGACTTCTCACGGTTACCTGCAAGACCTTTCTGTCCTCTTGACTAGATGCCACCCATTCGGCACATGCCTCGGCCAGACTTCGTGCACATGCCCTCTTCCACTTCCGCTCCTCTCGAAAATCAGTCCTCATCCACTTCATCTCCTGCAACAATAGGTCCCAATGCGAGGGAGGCCGCGTTGGCTCTGGGCATCTCTTCGGTTGTCTCAAAGACCACTTGTCGTGCTGCTGTAGGTGGTATATCCTGCGCAAAACCTTGCAGGCTTGGTTCTCATGAAGAGCAATGCCACAGTCTGGTGTCGAGATCGTCTTGTGTGAAGTGACCAATAACTGTTCGGGACTCCTCATCCATGGAGACTGTCTCGTGAAGCCATCAAAGAACAGTGGAACGAAATAATCCTCAGTTGGGATGCGGTCAGGCCGAGACTGTGACCGACTGGCAACTATAGTCTCGCCCGGTTTCTTTTTCGTTTTCTCGAAGACCACAGTAGGAGCCCTCCTGTGCTTGTGGCCGTTCTTCTCGGCCAACGATCTTGCCCGAAGGACAGAGCTAGCTGGGCGCTGATCATGCTCATGCACGACCGTCTCTTCGGTCTGCGAGTCTGGGACATGGTCGGCCAGTGAGACCTGGGATACCTGGGTCTTCAGGTCAAATCCAGTTCCATTAGTTAGAGGCGTTGACATGGATGCAGAAAACGATGCACCCGGCTCCTGGCTGACCGCATCTGCTGGCCCAGTGATCTCTTGGCTCGTGGCACTACCAGCAAGTTGAAGTGGAGAGGGTCGTCGGGTCTTCTGATGAGCCTCGTCTTGAGCGAACGAGGGCGTGGCTTGACTACCTGCCTGAGGCCGAGTTGTGGGCGCTTCGTCAGAGATTGTGACTGCAGCCGCAGCAGCATTAGAGTCGGAGAGATGGCCAGATGACGGTGCGGAATCTGCGGTTGCGACGGATTGATTGGAAGCCCCTGTTTCCACAATAGCCGTACTGCTTTGAAGACCACTGGCTGATGTCGTCGACTCTACAGGTTCGGTTGGAGGCGCAGGCGCCGGCTGCGCAGCGGCCACATCAAACCCTTCTCCCCTTTGATTCTGGTCCGGGGCCTCTCCGGACCCTGCCAGGTCACGATTGTCCTCGTCTGTCTTCCTGCGCACGGAATCATCATCATCCCCGGGGTACGGTGGGCCCTCATTATCGGGGCTGGTGTCGGGAGATGCATCCTGCACGGCGGGTGTCGTGGCTGTCTGTGTGGTAGAACCTGGAGAAGACAAGACGTCCAATGGCCTTGAAGCATCTAGAGGTGGTGGTTTCCTGAGGGAACTCAATCTCGGCTGCTCATCGGAGCGGCCGGGTGTCTCGTCCACATCCATCGCATCAGACGCTGGTTCTCGGCTCACATCCTCCGCGTTCTGCCATCGTTGCGCGGCCGTCGAGTCCGCCCGCTGCTTGTCCGGTTCAACGAAGGCGACCTCCCTGCCAGCTGTCCCCGAGCGGTTCGCAGTGGATGTCCCAGCCAAGTCGGTATTCGAGGCGGCGATGCTTCCGTCGTTTGATGCTCCGTTCGGTAAATCGAGCCCTGTAGTTTGGGCAGGGGGCAGAGCCGGGGCGAAACTCTCCTGATCCACCCGTGACGGCTCGGCGATCGGTTGCCCGGCTCCTCCTGGCGTGGCTGCAGGCGGTATCGTGGTCGCAACGCGCGACTCATCGGCGTCTGGTCGTGTCTGCGCGGCGTGGGATCCCGGGGCGGACTGTGCGAGCCCGACACCGGTTTCCTTGCCATGATTCGAAGTATCCAATGGGTTTTGGCTCTTAGACCTTGGACTCGTTCCTTGAGACTTGGGCAGGCTGAATGGTGGTATCTGTCGCGGGGGCAGATTGCGCTCGTTCAGGAATGGCCCTCTGGTGCGATTGATTAGCATAATGTCCACCTCCTGCTCCAGAAACGCGTGTTCTGCGGGCTGTACGGGATAGAGAAAGCATACTTCAAGACGGCATTATCATTGAGGAACCGCCTTTCCTCTTGTGTGGGGGTTTCTGCATCGTTGGCAGGAGGGTCGAGGAGCGGTAGGGCGTCCCGCTGTGTCGCGACACAGTAAACCTCGCGAAGCTTCCTCTTCTTCGACGCTCTAATTGAACTGCACGCAGTTAGGACCACAAAAATGGGACCAAAATGATCGCACGGATTTTCTCTACAAGCCTGGCAAGGACTCACCTGCATCTTGCTCTCTTTGACTGGATCAGCGCGGAAAAGTCGGTACGCTCGACCTCGGTCATAGCATCGACGGCGGCGACATCCGTTTTTGATGCAAAACGGAGGTCGAACAACCTTAATGGGATGCGGTGAGATGCACCGAGCGGTCAAAATGGATGGAAACAGCAAGGTGGTGCTGTTCCGATTGATCGCGATATTTTGATGTTGTCGTGTCCTTGGGGACCTGAGTTTTCAATGTGCTGCGATGGGGTGCTGTGACCTGGGGTGGTTCAGGTGAGCAGGTACCTAGCCTGGTGGGTTTAGTGGTTGAGACAGGTGTGCAAGCGGGGGGTTTGGTTGGGTTGTGCAGTGCGGTTGGATTTAGTGTAAGTGAAAATGGGTGAGTGATAAAGGCGGAGAGAAAGGAATGCAAAAGGCCAAAGAGAGGCACTTGCCCGTTTTCCGCCAAGAGCAACCTTTGGGGTTGACTTGACAGGAATTGCTGTGGCAGTCTTGGAAATGGCCTGCCCGCGCCCGCGCTCGTGCCTGCAGGCTGCACCTCCAAGGTTACCAGGTTGCTGTAAATTGGCTGCTGCTGTTACTGCTGCTGTCACTGGCGCCCAGGCATTGGTGGCTCCTCCAACTTGTGCTTTTCTGTGCCGGGGAACCTGGGGGTGGATCGGTTGAGGGCGATCTTGTTGGAACGGGAGGCATCCTGGAGGATGGGCCTGCCTCTTCACCAAGGGGCACCATCCGGCGGTACTGCACGAAATGAGCTGCCAGCTTTCCAGATGAAGACAAAGGTCGGGATCTTATCAGCGTGTGTGATTTGTGGTGGTGGCCAGAGTCGGACTAATCTAGTGGTGGTGTAATTTCTCTTGTGCTTTCCTAGCGCAGGCTTCGTCGATGACTGTCCAAAGTGCAATTATGATGAATAAATACATCAGTATTGATGGTAGAGCATTTGACGTTGTTGAGTGGCAGATGGTGCTTCGGAGCCGCTTGTGATGGGCATTCCATGACCAGTAAGCGGCAACTGGCCTTTATGACTGCCATATGGATGAAGAACTCCACCCTACGATGGAAGAAAGGAACATTCCGTCAACGTGCCCAGCCGGCTTCTTTGCTGCTCATGGATGGGCATTGCAGGTTGGAGATCAGCGAGTCCGCTCCAAAACTTACCTGACCCGTGGCAGACCGAACCCTGGTGTAGGCTAACTAATATCTAGGTAAATGGATTGAGTGCCTGGTGTGCCTGAGCGGCCCAAGGCGCGTTTCTTATACACGTAGCGGACTGCTTTTTGCGCATGGCAAATGATTCCGGATGCAATTTTGCAGCAGACTAAGGTAGTAAGCTGCCTAGGTACTCAGGAAGATTCTGACCTCCTTCTGGCCGGTGACTAGCCTCTCTCTCGAGAAAATCTACATTACATCATCAAGGGACGCTTGCTCTCTCTAACGTCACGGATGCAGACGCCCTGCCCGTTGGAGCTTGCCCCGTTTGACCATTGAAACCTGACTGAGCCACTGCCTCCTCGTCACCAAAGCACGGGCCCGCCGTGCTTACCGTCACCAGAGGGACCAGTCATCACCGCACCCTGCCCTCTCGCTAAATCCGCCCCAGAAACCGGTCAACATTTTCCCAACCTCGTCCGATCCCTACGTCGACCCTTTACGTCGCCGCGTCACAACCGCGCACTTTACGGGTCTAGAAGCACACCTGACACTTCGATTTACCCAGATGGCCGATCAAAACGGATCCCGCATCGCCATCCGATTCGGTGCCGCAAGTTCGAACGGCCCCAAGAATGCACCCAAGAATGCATCGCGCCCCACTCCATCGACCGCCTTGGGGAAGCGGTCACGCAGTGGTTTCGACCATGATTCAGACGGCGATGATTCTGAAGAAGAACGGCATGAAACCATCACTCATTTCGGCGTGAATGGCGCTGGAAACGATGATGACGACGACGACGACGGACGACCTCGCCAGGACCAATCCGAATCCGGTGGACGACGCCGCAGGAGCCAAAGCAGGGACTCAACAGCGAATTCAAGTCGCCAGGACCCTGCTCAACCGCATCAGGACCACGTTGAAGAGGAAGAGCCGTTGCAGTACGGGCTTGTTCTATCGAAAAAGCCCAAGAGAGATGCAGGGAAGGACGATGGCGACAAGGACGGGGCAGACAAGACTGCGCAGCCAAAAAATGCCGACGAGGAGGCCATCGCGGCGCTGATGGACTCAGGGGGAAAACGCGCGTTACATCGAACGGAGGACGAAGCATACCGGGACGCTACAGCCGACGCGCCCGAGGTGGACGATGTGGCCACCTACGATGCATTTCCTGTGGAAGGCTTTGGTGAGGCGCTACTGAAGGGTCAGGGCTGGGATGGTCAGATGCGCGGTCCAAAGGCAAAGGAGATCAAGAAGCGCCCCAACGGTATCGGCCTCGGAGCCAAGAAAATGACAGTAGAAGAGGACCTTGGCGGGTGGGACAGCAGGGGGAAGACGACCGAGAAACGACCGCGGCTTGATCAGTACCGAAGTGAGAGGGACAAGGAACGCAGCAGACGAGAGGACAAGCATCGCGACAGTTATAAGAACGAACGACATCGTGAACGAGACCGAGACAGGGACCGCCCCAGGGACAGACACCGTGACCGCGACCGTGACCGGGATCGCGACAGCCACAGACACCGCGACAGAGACTACCGACGTTGAGACTGCGGCGACATTTCGTCGGAAAGCATGGGTGGGCGCATCATTAGACGGCTGCTTTTGAGACAAATCATGATCAGAAATCACTAAACACGTATGTAGTCCACTTGGGTGCCGTCGCAGTGTGACATGGACTAAACACAATCTCAGTCTTCCTTCTGAGACATAGTCTCCTCGGAATGCAGTCTGCCCAAGCTCAAAGGTACCGGCGCTTAAAAGCGCTCAATGACCATATGGCCAAAGAGCTTTAGGGTGCACCTTTGACGAGGGTTGCCTCTGTTTAACCCAGGTGGCCCCGGTAAGATCAACCATCGCGCTGGCACACGAGCCGGAGTGGTCTCCTCTACAAGGCAAGTCCGGTGGTCCGTTTCATTCCATTACTTCGGGATGATCTGTCCTGAGATAGACCTCTTCAATGTGACCACTAAACATCACTGCGAAGCTGTCGGCTTCACCTTTTCTGTTCTGATCAGTCTTTGAGACCAAACTGCGTCGAAGTACGAGAGAAATGCCTCTGAAGCCCCTCAGAGGATTCGTACAGCGATCTCACGTCGCGTGTTGATCTCAAGCGGCTGAGACGGACCCAGAGACCATGTCATTGCGAGACGCGCTTGTCCGGCTACTGGGGAGAGATGGACGAGACGGGGACACTCTGTCACGCCTTGCCAAGCTCGAAACTCCTAGTGAAGGCCAGCGCAGGACATTCGGTGTTGAGGCATGGGCGCGCATGCTTCTCCCGTCCCCGTGTCGCTCCATGTTTTCATGGGAACTGCATACATTCCATCCCCAAGATCTTGCTTTTATCCGGATACGCACATCAGGGAAGCTGGCAAGCCCAGGGACTTGAGTCGAAAGTTGCTTTGTGATTCAACGAATCTTGCACATTACCCTGAAAAATCAGTATACGCCGCACCCAGCCCTAGGGTGTCATTCGCTAGCAAGTTAAGCTGGGAAATAAGAGCGCCGGTCAAAGTTGCTGCGCCAGATGGTTGAACTACGAAGACGGTTGTGGTCCGACTTTTCTTTTGCTATTCGCTTTTGCCAGGACTTTGTGTTAAACGAACCGTGGCGAAGATGGTCGGCCGTCGTGCCGGGAAAATCTGGGGTTTGATTCTGCATGGTGGTGAACCTTGTTACCTGGATGACGTTCTGCCAGAAACACTCATCGGCATCCATCCTTTCATGGATATCGAACTGCTATCTTGACCCACGGCCTAGACGAGTGTCCCAGGAGAGGTTCCATCCTGATGCGCAATCTCAAGAAGAAGCATACCTTCGGCGATGTGGTTCCAGGTCTGTCAAGTGCGGGATACCGCTTCGAGACTTCGCGACTTCCATTCCCTTGCATCATCGAATGCTACATTCAGTGGCATGGCTGTAAGGGAAGGAGACGGATGTGTCTTTTCGTATCCTTCATTTCCTCTACTCAAGTTTCCACAGAAATTATCCACCGGTAAAGGTAGCTCCAAGTCACGCTGTGACAACGCGGGATGCTGGCAAAGTTTGGAAAGTAGGTGGCCATGGGAACACAGACTCAGCGGAGTGCTGTCGAACAGGTGTGCTGTCACCTGCGTAGGCCTCTTCGATGGATACAATGCTTCTGAGGCCAGCGAAGTGAATGCGCTCTATCGACGGCCCCAGTGATCGCAGTATTGGAAAGGCCAGATATCCGACAACGCGCGAGGCTCGACGCTCGATCTTGAGATTGGCATTGTCCCCAAAGAGGATGTGTCTCGATCCAACGCGACAACAGCTTCACCGCAGCCACACGGGAGCAGCCTCTGCTACAAGAAGCATCTCACAGGGCTTTTTTTTTGGAGACACTTTGATCACAGGTATTTTTCCAATGTAGAAAGGAGCTCGCCTTCTACTAGTTCGACGCCACAGTCTCGATCAGCAAGGGATTCGGGAATGGCGACTGCAATGCAACACGCTCAGGCATCCTTTCTGCACGTGTCACTGTTCTCGACTTTCCGCGTCTGCGCGAAGACAACGCCGCAGTGTCCAAATTAGCGGAATCACTCCGGTCATGGGTTTCAAGGTGTGGGAGAACAGATCAGGAAATTTGGCGCACTTGTGGCTGTGGCGGCGCCTTTCCGCTGACGACATATCCGCAAAGATGGACTTTACATTGCAGAAGGTGATTGATGGCGAGACCTCGTATGTCGATACTGCTCGATTTCTTGGCAACGGAGAGGAGGCATCTCGCAAAATCGACCGTGTGATGAAGGAGGATGGCCCAATCTTCCGACGTTGCAGGCTGTGAGGTACTCGGATTCTACTGCCACGGACTCTGCTGCTGGCATAGATGTCCGCTTTCCCTCGCCGCCATTTAGCATGGTTCCCATCTGATCAGGTGCCCTTGACGATCCGATGGCCTTCCGAAACCAAGGGCGGCAATGATAATAGCTGGCGGGAGGAGCCGAGACACTTTCCACGGTATACCGACGGTCTAGTGTACGACCACTTCTTCGACCTTGCGGTCAAGCTTTTCAATCAAGGCATTTCCATCCTTCTAGGCGCGTCAGTCTTTCCGAGCCCAGCCGATTTGCTTGGGGGCTCTGTCTCTTCCTGCCGCGGATCAGCACCTGTGTCACGAACATAACCCATGCGTACCCGCTTCAGGACGCAGGGATCCAGTTTGCTGTGCCCCGTGTGCGCTCGAAGGCGCCGAGAATTTGCCAGAAGAGGACGCTGTGTAGCCCAGGCTTGCTTGGGCCAAACGTCTTGTGACTGAGCACGGAAGCCGGAAAGCCACATTGGAGCACAGCTTCCTCGTGCCTCCCCTTACGCATGGTTAGAAGGGGGCCTTGTCCGCGGGCGGGAATCCGGGTCAAGTTTCCCCAGGGGGAACAATCTGGACACAAGAGGCGGAAATCCGAGACAATGCCGCTGCGCATTGCCGTCATTGAGCCCTCGGGAGGGCCTGCGATCTTTTTGCGGTGAAGAGCACCGTGCATGTGCTAGAGCAGGTTAGGTCCCTGACATTGATAGGGTGCTGGCCGTGGAAATGGCAAATTCCTCGTGATCACGGGTATTGTTCAGACAGCAACTTGCGCTGTTGTACGACGGCGACAGAATAAAAAAGGAAAATTTCACAAGGATATAGACGCAATGCGCAAGCAGGACGTGGAACGTTGCTGCCTGGCATGGCATGGCATAGCATGGCATATCATGGCACGGCATGAGCATGTACATACATTGCGAACGAACGCATGGCCGTCATGGCTCAACGTCCCATCGCCGGCCGTGTGGATCATCCCCATGAGCCGCCTCCATCTGATAGCCAGCAAGGGTTGCATTTGGCGAGCGCAAAATGCAGGAGTAACGTGTATGACTTGCAGCGGCAAACGCCTGCGCGTCGAGGGCGGGAGTGGAGACCGCATCCATTATCCGTGGACACCGTTCGCCCAACGGGTGCCCCGATGGCGGGCTCCATTGGCCGGCCAGGGATGTTCCTGTCACGCTTGCCGGTGCATCCCCGGGGGGCGCCCCCAAGGCGGACGGCCAGGGCCCGGCGTTCCGCGTGTTCCCCGGGGGCCACGACAAAGTAAAGCATACTGTGGTGAGTGGACGGGGAGCCACACGGCTTCGTATCTATGTATAGGAGCTGGCTGTCGTCATGCGCGCTCTCTCTGTCTGAGTGTATGCCCCCCTCCCCACACTTTGCTCCGTGTAGGGCAGGGGGTGGAGAAAAGGAAAAAAGTCCAGACCTTTCTGTTCGAGCCGCTGAGCCGCGGTGATTGTATGCGCTCTGTCTTGCATCTCACGCGCAGCTTACACCTTCGCATCCACCACGGGTGAGATATGGGCCCCGTTTCAGGCGAGCTGCAGCCACTAGTTGCCTGTCATGGCTGAGTGGGAAATAGGGAGGGGGGGCCGCGGAATATCCATAGGTACGCGGTGGGTAAAAGCAGAAGAAGTGCATATCTCCTGGCGTCAAGTCACAAGTCCACCCACGCAGAGGCAGATCATTGTTTGTACAGTACTGAATGGATGCAGCGTGCCGCTGGCGCATGGCCGGCCGGGCCCACCACCATCATCGTTCTCAATCTCGCGTCACACAAAGCGCCCAATGTAGCTGGAAGTATAGGCCCTCCGGAGCGACTTGGACGCCTCGTCCCGCCCTCGCACAGGAAGCTCCACCCGGAGCCTGCAGCAACCTTTGACGCCATCATCCCCCCGGTAGTGCCACGTACCAGGTTGACGGGAGGAGGCATCTGCCACACGGAGGCGTGGGTCCTACGTCAACGAGCATAGCCGGGACAGGACAGGCGAGACACGTGTAGCCGATGCGGCGCAGGACGGCATTGTCCAGAGAATGGTAGGGCAGGACAGGGCAGGGGGCAGGGTAGGGCAAGACACGGCCGGCATGGGCAGCATCTCGCGAGATATGCAGTGGTGCGTGTTGATGTTGGTCGTGGTCGTGATAGGGGTTGATGGTGGGTGTCACTCAAGCCCATACCGAGCCCATACGGTGCCTGTTTCCCTTCCCGCTCCCCGCGGCCGGTGTGGAGGCAAGAACAGGCGGGAGGGATCGATCGTGGAGGTGTGGTTCTGGCTTGGATCGTGGTGGTGGTGGCGCCGTGCCATGCTGTGTGACCAAGCCCAGGCGCCGGGCCCGTTAGATGCTTGATGTGACAGCACACACACCCTTTATGTATGTCAGATTCGACTATGTACTGTAGAGGGGCCCAATCGTAATGTGTGAGCCGTTACTGCGTTTGCTCTGTGGATTGTGGCTTGGTGTTATCCGATGTGTGTGGGAGGAAATGCAGAACATACATGGGAATTTCCATGTGAGTGACAAGTGTCGTCATCTTGAAGAGCAAGTGGGTGGTTGTGGAGGCGTCAGGCCAGATCTAAGGCGACAGGTCATGATGATGGATAAATCGAGCTGGTCAACACCGTAATCAGGCGGTGATTGTTGGGTTTGGGAGTCTTTGTTCTTGCTCCTTTGGGTGCTAGTTGAAGAAAGGATTCTTCTTCTGCGGGTCTCAATACGACAACCAGCATGTATTATAGATTCGAACTCGGGTATCATGACACCCATGTGCCAACCAGGTTGTAGGATCAGTTGCCTGGCAGGTTCTAGATGGGCCCAGAGCAGCGTGACCCCGTATGCCAATGCCAAACCTTAATGCATACCTCAACGTGTAAGGAGACAATGACGAGTGCCTACTTTAGATGAGCCTAGCACCGCAATAAGCTGCCTTGATAGCATCGGCAGTGGCCTGTTCAGAGTCGTTTAGGTTGTGGTCCATCTCTCCCGGGTTTGGTGCTTTCTGTAACCAAGGAGCATCGCTTGGATCTTCAGGTAATGCCTTCAGCCGGTCCTTTCTGATGACAAGCAAGTCTCCCTGCTGCCCAAGTCTCTGTCCTGTGCCGATAGTCTGCTGGGGCGAGTATGACTTGACAGTCAAGTTGGTCAGCACCAGTGGGAACACATGCATCCACGCACACGAGCACACCCACCCATCATCCACTTCGTTCGCCGGATAGAAAACAATATGATGAGCAGCCAGTCACCCTCCGCCACTCCCGGGACACCCAAAATTTACATCACCAATCATTTTTGGGGTCTCTTGTGCCTTCTCACGCCGGCCTTGGTTCTGCTGGTCCCAAGACTGCTACACTGGAGCTGACCCAGATCCACCCAGACCTGACTGGCCGGTCCGGCTCTGGGAGGCATACACCCACAAGGTAGGCACGGTAGGCTCGTTAGGCACAGGCACGTCAGGAGACATGGCCCGGCTGGATTGTTCGAGGCCTGCTGCTGAATGGAAAGACCCTTCATCCACACCCGGGCAGCCTTAAGACTTCTGTTTCCCTTCCACGCGGCCTGATCTGTCTCCCCTGTTCTTGCATGGGCGAGCTCTTTAGTCTCGGCACCTTCCCTCTTTCCAGCTTTGGGCTCCTGCTGCGAGCCTCCGTCTCTCAGAGCCAGACACGTCTCCGCCATGCAGCACACCGGCTTGTCAACCACGTTTCTGATCCGAGAAGCTCTGCCTGCAGGGCTGACTGCCATCACATGGGGATGGGGATTGGGAATAGAGGCAGCCAACATGTTCGACGCCCCGTCCTGGGGGGGGGGGGCCGGCAGCATCCCATCCGAGGACCATGAGCCCCATCATTGGCAAAGAAGCAAAGCAAAAAAGCAGCCACAAAAGCAGGTGAGGCTACATGGCGAAAAGCATGGATGACTGCTTCCTGTCTAGCCACCGCATCGACATGCCAATCCAGCGACGGGCGCCGCGCAGGACCGGGCCTAGCTATGCACGCATCGCTGGATTTGATTGTCCGCTTCAGGTCAGCTTTGTTCTTGGGTCAGGGGTCGCCCTCGCCGTCATCGACGATGCTGACTGCGAACCAATGCAGACGAACCGCCCCTTTCAGTACCGGCCTGCCCTGTATTTGGAACGGCTGTATCCGCTGCAGCAGTCGTGGCCCGGCCGGAAGGCTCGATACACTGCAGTCACCGCCATGTCGAATGAGACACCGAGGACGCCATGACAATCGAAGAAGGCATCACAGGGCGGGAGCGGAAAAGGCTGATACTCCCGAGGCCCACAAGCGCGGACTACGAGCAAAAGGACCGCATCGTAGGCTCGTGGCGTGGGGGGCTCCTGGCCAGACCCGCGGCTGTCCCAGCGTGGTCGGTCGCCCCAGGTCGCCCCAGGTTTTCCCCGGACGACAAGCAGCAGCCTCCCGGTGGCGTACCATGTCTGCCTGAGTCTTTGTGGAACGACGACAGGCGAGTAGCTCGTCTTGTATGTGGCTGTTTCTGCCGATCGCAAACTCTATGTACGGAGCCAGGATCTCAACCATGTTGTGACACATGGCCAGGCCTGGATTCCAAGCCGCGCAGCCGGCAGGCAAGTCCAGAGGGAAAGGCCGGCGATAAGATCATGGATCAGTGTTGTATACATGGCGGCAGCATACCGAGGTGGCAATCGAGACTCGGTGAAGAGAGCTGCAGCTACCCAAGACTGCCAATGGCAGCATCAGTCCAGCCCGGAGGGGCAGACGGGGGCCGACGACGACCTGGGGCGGTCATCGACTGCGCAGGCCGATATTAGCCATTCAACGGCCAATCTAGCAGGATGCCGTTCAAAAGTGTGTCATGCGATGGCGCTTCCCAGGTGCTGCCATACCTGGTGTGACACGGTGCCGGACTAAGCTGCAGTGCAAGCAGGAAAACGAAGGGCGGATACAAGAGGCTCTACTGCGTAGTCTCGTGCTTACATGGCGGCTTACATACCTCTTGGGTATCCAGCGGCCATCGATGGGCACGGGGAAGGTCTTGGCCATCCGGACGGAGACGACGTGCCCAGGTCGTCTGCAACGGCGGCCAGCACATCGGTAGTTCTAGGGAAATGCACCGCGGCTCTCGCTGATGGGAAGTCCCCACCGCCTTCACCGGTCTTTTAGCTCCGTCCACTGTCGTGCCTCAATCACGGCGCTTTCCAGCTCCTTGGAGCGGGGACGAGACCGGACGGGCCGCGCAGAAGGTTTCTGCGAAGTCGTACTTTGTTTGGTTGTGGTTGATGCTCGGTGCCCCCGACAGGATCTGCGAGCAGACAACAAACACGCAGGGCAGGAATCCCACGTAGGCAGAGCGCGCAGAGCGCAATGGTGTTTGACCACACACCCACACTCACACGCGCACACACACACACACACACACACGGCCGCTTGTCGCCGGCATAGGCGAGGCATGGCTATCGTTTGTCGCGGTTGCTCAGCCACCCGCTGCTGCTGATGCTGATGCTGATGCCGCTGCCGCGATTGTTGCTGCTGCCATCGCCGTCGCCCTTGTCACGTCGGCTGGGGGTGGTCTCAGCTGGATTGCAGATGACTGGGTGATGGTCAATGTCAGTCCGTCACAAGGACCACCGTGACGTGAGGGGAGCCCAGCCGATGTGTGATGGATGTGTGTCTCGGAGCCCTGTGAGAAACGGTTCAAGAGGACAGGTGTTAGGGTGGCCCCTTATGAGCTTCGTTCAACACTACTGCTGTAGTCTACATTTCAGCACCGGCGGCACCTGGAAGAGAAAGTGGAGAGCCACCTAGGCGGGCCAGTCGTATGGAATCCCGAGCCTCCATCTCAGCCCCGGCACGGCTACTACTTGGGATCGAACCCGATCAGCTGTTTCCACACGGCCACATTACAAGGTCTTTGTGTCTTGCCCGACTACTACCAAGCGGCCCCGGGGACTCCATAACAAACAACACATGGGCATGGGCATGAGCATAGACAATGTGACAGATCTACGGCCTTGTCGTTGCGCAAAAACGAGCAGTCACGAGGGACGGCCGTCTCGGCTACGGGAGGCAATGACAAGTCAGCCAGCAGCACCCAGCGGGAGCTGGTAGTTCTCGACTGCCCTGCCAAGGCCCGAGGACTGGCTGGTTAGTATGGTACCGGTACAGTGCTGCATCTGGACTACCGTCGTCGGTCTATCTGCCTAAGGTGCAAACAAGGTACCTTGCTGCTTGGGACAAGACCGGTTCCAGGGCGGGCGGGCCATGGCCGCCGTGGGGACGGCTTTGGGCATCCTAACTCGTCAATCCGCTCGACTCGTCGGGCAGTAGTGACCTGCTCTGGCCGCTGGGGGCGACTGGCATTAGTACAGTAGTCTACTCTGTGTGTGTGTGTGTATGCATCCTTGGGGGTGGAGGTGGGAGCCATGCAGGCCCGCTCTCATCATGGTGAGCCGGGCAGCTGTGTGTGGTCGTCGGCCGCGGTGGTGGCTTGCAGATTCGGCGAGGCGAGGCGACACGCTATGCCGGATTCGACGCTTCTGGGGGCCCGGTCTGCACACCTGTCTGCCTCGCAGCGGCTGTTGGGCGACTGGGCCGGAGCTGGGATTGTGGGCCTGCCCTTCGCCTGGGCCTGCGACTGCACCCACTGAGAGGGAGAGAGAGGGAGAGGCGGGACCCCCAGGCCCCAGCCCAGCGGCTGTCCTCAAGTGGGAATGCTACGCTATGCTGCATCTGCGCCTGCGGGAGGGAGCCCCTCCACCCCTCCACCCTGCCAGCCTGCCACCCTCCCTCTCTCTCATCCTCATCCAGTCCTGCAGTCTGGCAGCCCTTCTGGCAGTCTGGCAGCCCTAGTCCCCGACCCCTGCGTGCCTAGGTCTCTTGTTTCCAACCTGCCCGGGCCTCCCAAACCATCCCAAACCACCTCCCCACCATCAGCTGCGCCCTCCTTTCGTTGCCCACCCGGCGGCTCCACTCGACTGCATGCCGGACACCAGGGCATATGCCTCCACCGACAACGACTGGCGACGAAGCAAGACGAGGCACTGGGCCTGGGCTTGCCCTCACAAACACACGCGAACGAACGAACGCACGAACGAGCAAGCGAGCCACAGGCAAACACGAGCGGGTGACGGGTGACGGGCGACACATGACAACCCACACTCCGGAGTCAGCCAGGTGCCAACGTCAGTCGTGCCAATACGGGGGGGAACTGCTTCCCTAGCTGTCCGCTGGGCCGCGTCTAGAGTCTTAGTACTACAACGGCACAACGGCTACCCAACGAGTAGGTGTCGCCGGTGGTTTTATCAGCCATCCTGAGGCTTGCCCGTGCAGCCGTAGTCCTCCCATAGTCCTCCAGACTTGATTGCCCAAGACGGCAGGACGGCCAGAAACGCGCAAGTGGATCGGGGTCCCTTCCGCGGCCTGGGCTTGCTCTGGCTGTCGGCAAGCGGGCAGGCCAAGCACGCTGGGTGCATGAACTGACGAACAGGCAAAGACGGAGCGTTCGTTGGTTGCTCGTTCGCGCACACCCCGTTCATGTAGTCACTGCTCACCCGTTCGTTCGTTCGTTCGTTCATTCTTCCTTCACGGTACCATCATCCGTCCAGCAGCAGGAACAAGGCAGGGAAAGAGTCACGTAGCCCGCATCGGCGAGAGTCAAGCAGAAAGCCAGGCTTGCTCCGTCCTGCCTGTGTCTGCAGGCAAGCTTCCTGCATATTCACCCATCACACTCCAGGCGGTGAGGGCCAAGGGCTGCGAGCCGTTTGGCTGGCTTCGAACACTTCGTCCGACACCCACAGCTTTGCCCATGCACACCGTGAGACGCACTCGACTTCAGACCGGACTGCACAGATCTATCAATACCCATTGTCCGTTCCCCTCGACCTCCCTGCAACGCTCCCTAAGGATAAGGATACCAAGAATACCCGGCGGGAAATCATGACAATTCTGCTGTCTCGATCCGCCATCCGAGTCGACCTGTAACCTTTGCTCCCCCAAAAGCCAGCCCAGCCCGTCCTGCACCGTACTGTACTCCCCTGTCTCGTCCCTGTTACTATACAAAGAAACTTTTCCACGACCACACACACACACACGTACACGGTACCTGCTACCGCACCACAGTTTTACGTGTCGACTTGAGTTCAACTCCCTCACCCAGACTGCAGGACCCCAAACCTGCAGAAACACGACGGGCTGCAAGTCCTGAAGCCAATCGACAACCCTGTCGACCGAGACTTTGGTCCAGCCATCCCCGTACCATCAGCCGGACGGTACGCCCAGGTCCCCATTGTAACCGGTACCTCGCGGACGTGCATCGCCTGATTGACGGCAGTGTACAGATCACATCCGCGAACGTTCCCAGATGTTGCCCACCGACCCACCCTCAACTTCCATGCGCTGTACCTTCTGGGACAATTGACCTTCAAGAAACCCTGTCGCCCGTCAAACCTTTGCCTCATTCGGCTCGACATCCACTCGAGTCCAGACCGTCCACCCTACCACGACTCCCCTGGTAACCTCCATTTCATCATTCGTTTTGATCCCATCTTTTTTCTGTTGTTGTTTTCTCTTCCCTCGCACGCCTGTTTCCGGTATTTCTTTTCCCTCGTCCCCCATTGCCCAACGGTTAAAGCTCCTGCCTGTCCCCCGGTGAGCTTCCAACCCGGTCTCAGCCAGTTCCTCCCCCCATCTCCCGTCACTCGAGTCAACCAAGCAGGCGGGTATTTGCCACCGGGTTGCTAGTCTTGTCACCTGCCGGTCTGTGTGCCCCACCGTTCGGCCATACTCTGCAACTGGCGTTTGGACGGATCCTGGGCATCCCATTGACACGAGATCAGGGTCCTAAAGACCTTCTCATCGCCACATGTCTCGGTCTCCCATGTGGTGACGTGTTTCCCCGAAATTGTAAGTTGCCTTAAACCCTCCCTCCCTCTCACCACCATGCTCCCCGGATCTGACCACTCACTTCGCAGTCAAGATGGCTCGAGAGGTCGCATTGGGCCACTCGGGCTACACGGTGGCAGAACATGTCCTCGTGCGGGCCGAAGTCGCCTACCCATTTCTTCTCCTACTGTCTTACGGGATAACCTTCGCCCTGCATAGTGTCATCGCGTCGCGGAGACAGGAGGATGTCGAGAAGCCTTCGGTGACCGGGCCTGGGGGCAAGCCGCTGCCATTGACGCGCATAAAGGTGGAAAAGTCTGCGCCACGGAATGCGGTAGTCCAGGAGTTCTCGAAAATCTCGCACCTCTGTTTCAAGACCGGCACTGCGGCCGTCGCCCTCACATTCCTCGCCCACGCCGTCCACGTCGTTCTGCAGTGTATTGCGGCCCAGTGGGAGGACGTACAGCAATATTGCAATGACGAGCTACTCGTGAGCTCCTCCCCCGAGAGCCTCGGGGTCTTCCCGTACTAATCTTACCTCGCAGGTGTACATCAAAGGCGGTGCCTTCTTTTGGGGTTACATTGGGTTTTCACTGGTCAGCAAGAAGAAGGACACACCTAACCCCATCCACTTCTCGGTATGGTGCATCGGCCTGTCTTTCGACCTCGTCATACTCGCCGCACTTCTGGTCGTGTTCCGCAACAAACTCGACAATCTGCGATACGCCGAGTACCCCGCCGAGCTAGCCTTACGCGCGTACCAACTGCCAGCCGATTCGGGATTCCTCATCATCCTGGTCATCCGTATCTGTCTCCTCTTGGGCCAGGTCATCTTATACAGTTCCCTCCGTGGCCACCTACCAAGTCTATGGAATTTCTGTACCCCCCAGGCAAAGGAAGAGGCTCACACGCACCCGCACATCAACGGTCATGCCACGGCGCTGGAGAATGGCAACGGCCACGCGAACGGCCACGCAAACGGCCACACCCGAGCCATCGGCGAGACGACTCCGCTTCTTAATGGCCACGCTACAGCGCTGGAAGCTGACAACGTCCTTACCAACGGACACGCCAACGGGAATGGGACGATGTACCGATCGACTAGGCGAAGACCAAGCGAGGCCCGGCGTCCTAATGGCATTGCTAAGGGGTGCCGCCAAAAGCAGACCGAATTCGCCTTCTACCGACCCGACAAATTGCCCCACCGATCCTGGTGGGAATACATTCGAGGCTACCATGTGTTCTTCCCATATTTGTGGCCCGCCAAGAAGGTGAAGCTACAGTTCCTGGTACTGCTTTGCTTCATACTCGTCATCATGCAGAGGGCCATCAACGTTTTAGTCCCTATCCAGCTTGGCGTCCTTGTCGAGGCACTGACCGAGGCAGCCGAGCAAGGTACCATCGAAATGCCTTGGAAGGAGCTCTTCATTTTCCTTGGCCTGAAGTTCATGCAGGGCCCGTCAGCTGTCTTGGGGTCTCTGCGGTCGATTTTGTGGATCCCGGTTACACAGCACTCTTACATTTCTCTGCAGACTGCAGCGTTCGAGCACGTGCACGCCCTGTCTCTGGACTTCCATCTTGGGAAGCGTACTGGTGAACTCTTGTCAGCACTCAACAAGGGTGGCTCGGTTAACCAATTCCTTGAGCAAACGACTTTCCAGGTTGCTCCCATGCTCATGGATCTCTTCATCGCCATCGGGTTCTTTTGGATCAAATTTGGCCCCCTATATGCACTCTGGGCGACGATTATCACCTTCTCCTACCTGGTCCTTACCATAAGGATGGCATCGACCAGGGCTGATCAAAGACGAGACATGGTCAACGCAGACAGGGAGGAAGAGGCTGTCAAGAACGATTCCATCACCGCATACGAGACCGTCAAGTATTTCAATGCCGAAGCTTTCGAGTTCCAGCGTTACAAAGGTGCTATCACAACCTTTCAGAATGCGGAGGCCAGGGTCACGTTCGGTATGAACTTGATGAACATGTGCCAGACGGTGGTCTTCATCAGCGGTATGCTCATCGTCATGGCGATTGCTGCGTACGAGGTCGTGCTTGGCCGTCGCAACATCGCGCAGTTCGTCCTGATCATGACGTACCTGAATCAGCTCCAAGGCCCACTCAACTTCTTTGGGTCCTTCTACCGCACGGTTCAGCAGGCAATGATCTCCGGAGAGCGGCTCTTGGAGCTATTCAAGATCCAGCCAAACATGGTCGACAAGCCTGGCGCACCGCCACTGAAGGACTGCCAGGGCCACATCCGATGGAATCACGTCGATTTTGATTACGCCAACAGCCCAGCCTTGTCTGACTTGACATTCGAGTGTCGACCCGGTACTACGACAGCGTTCGTTGGTGAATCTGGTGGTGGGAAATCAACCATCTTCCGTCTGATGTTCCGCTACTACAACTGCAAGTCAGGCAGCATCGAGATTGACGGCCACAATGTCAGGGATGTGACGATAGACTCTGTCCGCCGATCCATAGGAGTGGTGCCGCAGGACACGATTCTGTTCAACGACACTGTCATGTACAACCTGAAGTACGCGAACCAGGACTGCACTGATGAAGAAGTCTACGAGGCGTGCCGCGCTGCCAGCATACACGACCGCATCATGTCGTTCTCGGACGGCTATCAAACCAAGGTTGGAGACCGAGGGATGCGGCTCAGCGGCGGTGAGAAGCAACGTGTTGCTATAGCACGCACTATCCTCAAGAAGCCCCGGATCATTATGCTCGATGAAGCTACATCGGCCCTGGACTCGGAAACCGAGCAGCAGATTCAGCACAAACTTTTCAAGAACAAGGAGCTTGGTGAGGGCAAGACCTTGCTCATCATCGCGTAAGTATCTTCTTGTTCTACCCTCACTGATGTGAAACATCAGACTAATCGTCGTTTCTTGTAGACACCGCCTGTCCACTATCACCCACGCAGAGCAGATCCTCGTGCTTCACAGGGGCAGGATTGTGGAACGAGGCACACATGCCGAGTTGCTCGAGAGGGATGGTCGCTACTCTGCCATGTGGAATAAGCAAGCCAAAGCCGAGATAGCCGCCAAAGCCGCTAATCTCGCCAAGGAACAGGCTAAGAAGGCTATGAGAGAAGCTCGCCTCGCAGGGAAGGACAGTAGCGACGAACACTCTGATGACGGTGGCGACAGCATGGTCTCGTCCATGCACATCCCGACTGCGCCCACGACTCCAGCTGTTGAGTTGGCCGGGCTGAACATGACCGCTCACCACACCTGATTGAACCATTCGACACCTGGGCCTGTACAAACGACGACACCACATAATAGACCGTCCGCTGCCACCACCCCTATTCGGCACGCGGTTGAACTTTCCCTTTAACTGTCACTTCAATGCATATCGGCGGAGTTGGCGGCATATACATCATCAAAAGGGTCCCCGTCATAGAGACTCGCGGAGTTTAGGAGATCACATGGAGGGGCGAAAGGGGCGGGTTTGCTAATGTTTTCTTGTTTGTTGCTCTTGCGAGCTACCGGATGACGAGGCGAACGGACCTCAAAACAGCATGCGAAACGGAGTTGTTGTTTTTTGTTTGCTTTTTGAACTACGCGAACAGGCCAAAAGCCCAGGGGGGGAGGGCAACCACGTCCCATACATAATACCTGGCAAGGGCGGACCACTCATTGCGGATTGGCTGGAAATGGGCTTCTTTGCGGCCACTTGCTTGTTTTTCTTACACAGAGGCATGTCGTTGTTGTGTCTCTCTCCCAATCCGAGGGTCTCATAGATTATTTTGCTAGGACCCCAGGAAACGAGATTTGACAGCAGCAGCCGCCGCCGCCGCCGCCGCCGCCGCCGCCTTACGAGACCATGATGGCTTTCTGACGAACCTGCACTACGGTGCAGGACCCTTTTCTTTTTGCACGACAGCAACGCATACACACACGCACACCCTAATGTTGTACTCTGTTTCTTTCCCCCCCTCCACCCAGGACTCTGCGAATACCCTGTTTCTGTGTATTGGGGCCATAGCGCAGCACAGCATATTATAGCATTAGGTTAGTGAATTAACGCTACTACTTACTACTGTGCCTAGAGACATGAGGCAACGCCGCAGGCACATACGGACATATAGCAAGCACAATACAGCTTTTTCCCTGCACGTTATTTCCTAGGTTGTCGTGCGCGTACATAAACACGATGACTGCCCCCGGCTTTCCCTTGTTCTTTGCCATAACATTGTTCGTGTAGCAGTTTGCCAGGCGGCAACTTACCTGGTACCGGATACCTAGGTGCTAACCAACTACCGGCCCTGCTGCGCGAGCGGGCAACGTGCGTACTCGGGAGAGGGAGGGAAGGAAGGGCAGTGGGGATCTGTGTCTCCGTTCCCTGGTCTGCTTGCTGCTGACTGAGGTAACAACGCCCGTGCCGTGGCCGTGTGTGTCAGAGAGAGGCAGATAGATAGACACGGCCGCCTCTTCGTGGTGGATATAAGCTCTCCGATGCGTTGGAGGAGAATGCATCTATTCGCCGGTCTCCTTGAACTGTGATTGATACCTTGGAGTTTCAAGTAACTGGGTTGGGTGTTTGTGTGCTCCCCCCCCCCTCCTTTTCGTCAAGGGGAACATCGTCCACGTTTGTTCTAGAACTAAACTTCTTACAAATATAAGTGAAGCCGAACATATGATTTCCTTCCCGGTGGGGGGCCGGCGCATGTGATGGAAGTGGAGGGCGGCGTAGATACCTAGTGCGTTTGCGACCGCGCGCTCATGAGGGCGGAACACCCACCACCCGCTGCAAGGCCGCAGGGAGACAGGGACGCAGAGAGAAGTGAAAAAAAAAAAAAAAAGGGGGGGGGGTGTCGCAGGAATTCTCCGCGAGGAAGGTTTAAGTTGTGATTAAACTCGATATGCTAAACCGGCAAGCATACATACATGTATACATACATGCATGCATACATGCGCAGGCACACAAACGCGCCCTTTTCTCTGTCTCACACACGGATACACCATAGAAGTCAAATGAAGAAGAACAAGGCCCCCGGGGGCTATTACTGGGGGAGGAGCGTGATGGCATCACCGTCCCCCTCCCCCTTTCTCTTCCTTTCCCGTTGCTCGTTACCGCGTTGCACCCATGACCGGGTTCCGTGGCATAAAATTCTGGGAGCCTCAATCGAGAGCCAGATGTTTCCGGGCCACGATTAGATCGCCCACTCATTAACCAACACATGTCCTTGCTTCCCCCTCACTCCAGGATCGGCGAAGAGGCCTCGCTCTTACCGATGTGTACCGTGGCCTCTCCCATGAGGCCCGCACGGCTGATGCGAATGCTGTAGCGACGGTAGATGAACAAAACCAAAAAAAAAGCGAATGAATGCCCATGCCTCCCTCCCTGAGCCCCAGTCAGGGGAAAGCGAACGCCGTTACACCACCGCAATGCTTGGTTTGTGGGTCTTTCATATATATCCTTGTCGTCATATTGTTGATTTTCTCTTTTCGTCGTCGCAGTCCTGACCGACCGACCGCCCGACAAATCTCCCGACCATCATTCAACGATGTTCTATGAAGTTCGTGGTAAGCCCACGTTCTCTTCCCTGTGGGCCAGCACCACATACCAACCAAACGCCAGTCCCGTGCGGAAAAGTACAACACATATTTCGTGGGCTGAGCCCAATGAAGGCCGTATAGCGAAGGTATGAGATTAAAAGGCTGGCGGGATTATTAATGCAGGATGGGGATTGAAGTGAAGCAAGGCGGCGAATATGAAGGTGGAAACCAGCCTTCTCATTTCTTCACGGGGGAGCCGTTCGCCTTGACGGTACCCTCAGCATTGCCGTTCAGGGCGTGGCCGTTGGATTCACCGTTGGCCAGTAGGGGCGCCTTCTCGTTCTCTTCCAGCGTCTTTGGCTCATCTTCCTCGTCTTCGCTGCGATCGTCGGCAATAATATCGAGAAAGACGACTCGATAGGCGATACGGATGATGAAGAAGAGCCAGAAAAGGTTGAGGGCCTGGAGTGCCGCGAGCAGGCTGAAGCTGATGTACTGGCTGATCCAGCACTTGTACTGTTCGTCGGCCCAGTCCAGTTCGAAGGGGCCAACGGTTTGGAACTCGGTAAATATGGACCACAGAATGCGCAGGTTGAGGTAGTGCCGCAGATAGATCCACGCGACCATGAAGAGCCCAAAGTATGGCGCCACGAGGGGGTGGTCAATGTAGTTCAGGGACTTGGAGGTCTACAGCGGAACATGTCCGAGTCAGCATGTCTTTGGACGGAAGCTGCAGGGTTGTCGGGGACGCGGATCAACTTACCGCCAGGAAAAAGTCGCTGATATCATGGGTGATGTACACCGCCAGTCCCATGTAGGTGAAGTGGAAGCGGTAGCTGAGGCCGATGAGCGCCAGGCTGACAATGTGGTGGCCCACGAGCTCCTTGAAGTCCTTGCGCGGCTTCTCCATGCCCAGCATGAGGACAATGGCCTGCTGGGCCCAGTAGGCGGCCTGGAACAGGTAGTAGAACTTGAAGATGGCCTCGTGTGTCTTGTGCGGGAAGTTGGCGTACATGCCAGCAGTGTTGAAATACCACACGGGGGTGCGGCTCATGACATACATGCCCCACGGGCCGGTGAAGGCGAAGTAGACGGCGGTGTACATCTGCTCCATGAAGCGTGCCTGCTTTCCCTTGTTCTTGATGCCCCCGTACCGGGCCAGGGGCCGCAGGAGCTCCTGCATGATAAACTCGCGGGTGAAGGACAGGACGATGGTGTAGAAGGAGACAAAGGCAAAATCCCAAGGCCCCTTGCCATACTGCGCGACGGTGTCCGGGTCGGCGTCGGGCGCAACGGGCAGCTTGTAGCTGAGGAAGATGAAGTGGTGGATAGGGTTGGACTCGGAGGGATTGATGGCGTAGAGGCTGAGGAAGATGGCGATAAGCACGGCAGGCAGGACGCAGGTGTGCTTGATGGCATAGTTGGTCGCCCTCTGCGCCAAGCTACGTGCCTTGCGTCGCTTGGACTGGCGTTTCGAGGTGCCGCCCATGCCGTCTCTAGAGTCGGATTTCTGTACAGCGGAGGAGGCCGAGTTAGCGAGCTGCGAAGCATACTTTTCCAAGCAGGATTGTCCGGAGCAGTCGTGCTCGCCGAGCCCTGCTCTGAAGGCGCTTGCTTACCCTGATCTGCTGCCCACTGGCAGCGTTCATGTGAGCGAAGGAGGTGCCCAGGGACGGAGCGCCGTTGTCGCCGCGAAGTTCGCCCCCAAGCCCACTAGACTTTCTCCGGCGGCGTGCGGCACTTCCATTGGCGTCTCGTGAAGACGAGTGCTGGTCGTTGGCGGTATTGAGAAGAGGGAATGGTTCGGAGCCCGCCATGTTGGGCAGGTGGGATAGATGCGCCAGTGGTGTTTCGACGTCGTGTGCGGCGCCTGAGGCAGTCAAGGCAGTGTTGGAGTGATGGGGGTGACGGAAAGCTTGTCGTCTGGAGACACAGCAGTTGTGTGTGTGTGTGTGTGTGTTTGTGTGTCGTGTGGTCAACCAGGAAGGCGATCTTGTCGGGGACAGACTGGCGGTAGAAAAAGAGTTGGGGGTAGGAGTCGAGAATCGGGAATCGTGGGTCGAGTAGCCAGCCGATGGTCGATGGCCCAGGGCCGACAGGGACGGCGGGATGGGTGGATTAAAATTTGCGGGTGGTAATTTGGGAGGTGACCAGGGCCCTGCTCCCTGCGCGGGAGACCGGGCTGCTGGCAGTAGACTGCTTTATGCTGGCGGGTGCTGAGGAATCGGGATCGACTACTCAAATTGGGGCCCAAGAGACTGTCGCCTACTCTGTCACGCTGGTGTTGTTGTGCGGCCTGGCATGGAATTCATGCGCCCCTTTCCGTGCGCCGTCTGCCTCTTTTTTTTTTTTTTTTTTTTTTTTTTTTTTTTTTTTGCTGCCATCTCTTACGGTAGATATGCAGCAGGAACGGCCACTTCAGGTAATATGCCGGCCGTCTCGGGCCTTTTGGGCCTCTCAAATTCTGGTGCGTGCAAGCTCACGTCACACATATGCTCGCTTGCTGGTAGTCTGCACCGGTAGGTGGTATACACCAGAGAAGGTGCATCGTCTTCACATGCTTGCCTGCCAGCCTGCCTGCTTGCTTACATGCCTCTATTGCTGAGCAAACATGGGCACCCAGGAGTGACCAGTCATTCCTCCCTATCGATCGATCGCATCGCAACGGCAGCCGATTCATGTGCTGACATGCTGCAGCCTCATCTTGTCCTTCATGTACACATGTAGACCACCGTACCTATTGCACGTCAAGTGAATCCATCTCCATCAGAATCAACCGAAGGAAGTGCCCCTGGAAATGGTGGGAATCCACAAAACCTGTCCCAAGGGTGCCGCGGCTCGCGCATGTGGGGCTCTTTGTTGTTGTTGTTGACTTGCTGTCCATTTTTCTTGATTTTCTTGTTGACTTGATAGGGGTCCAACGAAATAGTCGGACGCATAAGTGAGGCGGCTCGCAAGACATCGTCAGATCCACGCTCAACCACGTCTCCCCTCCCACTATTGCCAGCATCAATAATACAGAATCGAGAAGGAAAGCCGTCCTCAGTGACCCAAGGTCAACAATGTGCTTGACTCAAAGTGCCAATTGTCAACTGTCCGCGCCGGCGGTGACGTCGACGGGCACCCACTCGGACGGCCCGGAGCTCGCCAACGCATCTCGCGCCCCGACGCCGTCAATGGATTGCCCCTGATGATCCGGCTCTGCTGGCCGTGCCCAGATTTTCGCCCATGTCACCTAGTGCGCCCTACCACACACGTATTGGGACGACTGACTACCTAGTTGCAACCAACTCCCACCACCAGGTCCAGGCATTGCTGCACCATCCAATAACGACGGGTCATGTGCGTCTCGTGCCCAGGGACGTGTTCGCGAACCTGTCTCGGGTGCTCTTGGACAGTAGCTGTGCAACCACATCACTCGCTTCTTGTGACCGCAGCCCATCGGCTCCGTGCCCTCACCACAAGCTGCAGCCTTTTTTGGGCGTTGCAGATGGCGACCGGCAGCCATGGTGTGCAAATATTCCAGCCGTGGCACAACCCGTCGTCAAGCAGGCGCATATGTATGGTTATGCAATCCAAAGCAGGGCGACGCTAAAGAACAAGCACGCATTGCCATGCGGTCTGCCCATGAATCCCACTAGCCAGAGCTTATAATGCTCCTGCGCGGAATGATCAGCACCAACACGCTGCTGTCTCGAGGTGATCCCGGCCAGTATGGTAAGCGTTGGCTCAAGATTGACGACACGGCACATGGGAAACCATTCTAAGGATACCGAGACAGGACGGACCATTGCCACCTGAAACAGCGCCCTTCCATCATCACCAACAGCCTTCTTTGCGTGCATCCTACTCAGGCGAGCTGATTGATTGGCTGTGGGCATCGCGGCTATGTGAGCATCTATTCCAAAGAGCTAGCCTCGTCACGGGGTTTCCCTTACCTTTTCTCTCTGCCCCCCGAGCATGGCAATATCTCCACCGTCAGTCCTGGGTCCTGGGCCACTACAGCAAGCCTCGCTAGCCGATATATCGACGACACAGCACCGACACGTTCGGCATCCAAATCATCGATGACAACACGGCCGAGAAGCCAGTGGCCGGAATGTGGTTGTTGCCTGCAGTGTACGCTACAGTCGAGAAGCACAACAACGGTCGTCCCACATAATACTCCAAGTGCAGTAAATCTGTCGAAGGGGCTTGAGAGCAGTCATGGAAACGGGTAATCCAGTCCAGATGGCCTTCAGAAGCAGGCGCAGAATTGGCCTCTCCGCTCAATGCAATGACAGCAGCGTCCGGCAATTGTTGAGGCTCTGGCTCAGAAGGAGGCAGGATTCCAACGCGCCCCTCCACGCTCGTCTGTCGTTGAATTATTCTACTCATTCGCAAAATAGCGGATTCGTGCTTGGCGCCCCTTCCATATCCTCATGGGTCTGCTGAGTAGCTGTAGCAGCATGGGGGTGATCCGTGGTTGAGCCGGGGAGGGTGCGAACATGTTCCCCATGGTGCCGCACGCTTCTCGATCAGCATCGTTGGTGCGCTGCTCTGGTCTCACGGAGATGTCACGCCGAAAGGGAAACCAGCAGTGCCCAGGCTGTGTCTTGATCGTTTGTAGGATGTGTGATGCCATGTGGCCGGGAATCTCCAGCTAAGTACTGAGTTCCCTAAGCCATTAGTGCTCTCACCACGTGGACACTTTGTAGGTAGCGTCCTCAAGGTACTACCTACGTGTGCTGTCATCGACACCACCCAGCTAACGAATACAACACAGTCTCATGCCATCTACACAATACATAGCAGGGACACACCGGAACCGTGGGTCGTGACATTGCCTTGATCGGGGCGACTGTACAAACAATTCGCTGGCATCCATCGATTTGCCTGGTGGTCACAAGGTTACAAGAGAACCCATCTAGGCGTGAGATTTATCTCATAATGCCTTACGGAGCTATTCTATATTATGCCCAAGGTTATCTCCAGAAACAGCATGTCGGTCAAGTCGCATATCTGGATCCCTGCGAACTATATTCAAACGCTTAACCTAGGAGCGAGCTATTCTCTCGTTGCCCAGTTCCACGATATGAAGTCGGATGCTGCTTTGTCGCTCCCGAGGGCTAGGGTGTGCTATGTGCACGCAAACATGCATGGTTTACATACCGTACTGCATGGGTTTAAATAGAGACACAATATACATTGAACTGGCGAGCGTCTCAAGACATCCCAACAATAAACCGCTCGAAACTCAGGGCAGGTCAAGAAACAAAAAGAGAGACCCCAAGGCTGAAGATGGCGCCATGTTCCCAAGCAGTTCCTGAGCACCTGACGAACAAGACCCAACTTTATCCCAAACCACCGGGCCAAGATCGAGATGTGAGCACTATCAATAGACACACCGACGGGCCAGACTGGATGAGAAAGACGCTCAGGCCAGGCCAGTGTTGCCCGTCTGACCAAGGGCGGTCTAGGACGCCCCGTCAGGCGTATCCCGGCCAGGAAAACCGTCTCGTGCCTGGCGCAGCCTTCGGCCGTCAATGCGCGGGTCTGGGTGTCGACGAGCCGGAGGGGGAAGGCGGGTACTGTCGTGACTAGTTCAACAAGGAGCAAGCAACCACAGCTAACGTGTGGATCGTTCCAGGAAGCTGGGGGCCGGATTTTGCTTGCGTACGTGCTGGAGGGGCGGGAGTGAGATGCAGACTGCAGGTACGCCAACCACGATGTGTGGTTGACAGATTTGTGTGTGTTGCTTTCTACACAGTTTGTGCCATACGATGCGGGCGCTGTGGTGTCGCGTGACTATAGGTACGGCTAGAAGGGCAGGAATTACCACTGCGAAGGAGTGTAGAAGAAAGAAGCAAGTGACTATATATATTGTTTCGGAACGGCAGACCGTGGTGTAAAGACGACAGGCGAAGCCCGACGTGCAGGCTTCGGGAGGGAGTCGCGGTGACCTAGACAACCACCGTAATCAGAGTACACAGACATGCGTGCCATGGGCTTGCTCAATGAGGGGAACTGCTTTTATCACAGCGTCCAAATATGAGGATATTTTGAGCAGAAGTGCCATGAAGTGCACAAACCGGTCACGTTCGAAATAGTGTACTTCAAGTCACGGGATGATAACATCACGAAAGGATAGCAGAGTCATGTGTTTCTTTAGCGACAAGATGGCGCAAACGTATCACTTCGTAATCATTCATCTATATACACAGCTAGATCACCACTAGGCTGATTGATCCTCAGGCACCTGTAGTATGAACAGACCTTTTCCCCCGCCCCACTAGATATTTACCATTCCCAACCATGTGCGCCTCAGTTTGTCCTCAGTTATGTTAAAAACAAACATCAGCTTACCGCCTCGGCATCCAGAGTGTCCGGTATGCCGCCCAACCATTTTGTTTTGGTGGAATCCAAAAAAATAAAAACCAAAGATGCCCCATGCCCATTGATCGCTTGCGGAAATGCACGTTCCCCAACACCATGCGCTAACAATTCCAGAACCGATGTTCAAAACCCTAAAAAGAACCCGCTCCAGATGACGTGAGCTCGCTCATGGGTGATTCGGACCAGCAGCAGGTCTCTTGCCCGCGGCTATTGGAGACAGTGGCTCGCTCGGTGGTGGCCCACTTGCCTCATCCGCTGTCAGAGGCGACACCACAGCAGCAGACGCGCCGCTGTTGCTCCTCCACAGCCGCGGTGATACTGGTCCCGAGTCCGGCGGCGACGTCCTCTGGGTGACGTTGCTGCTCGACGTCTGGATCTGCAGCGCAGGCGGTGCTAATCGTGGTTGGCTTTCATGTGATTGCTCCTCCCTCAACTGCTGCAGTCCGGTGCCTCGCCGTGGCGGTGCCGGAATGACCGTCACGGGCAAGCTCTCCGTGTCCATATTGGGCCGGATGCGGTCCCGCAGCCTGTCCGCTTGGGAAACAGCGAAGTCCTCAAAGCGCGACCTAAAATCCCAGCGACTGCTGTTGCTAGCCTCCTGCGGACTCGGCTGGCTGACTTTGTGGGACCCTTCGGTCGACATGTTCGACTTCGACGGCTTTCGGAAGAGCTGACTAGCCTGGCTAAGAGCCCGCACGCGGTAGTTGTTCGAGCTGCTGGGAGCTTGACTGGTAGGAGGGTTCGAAGCCTGATTCGCACGTCCGGCGACTTGGCTGGCAGATTGGCTGGGCGTCACCGAAGGCTCAGGTGTAGCGGCTGATATCCTGTCAACGTCTGCTCCGCGATGTTCAGGCCGACTCTCTGGATCCTCCGTACGAATGCTAGGCTCGTGAATCTCGGGCACGACTGGTGGCAAAGGCGTTGAGTAGGTTTCGGGAAATGGTTCGGTATTCGTTCCAGATGTCTCAGACATAGGGTGGTAGCGGACAGCGTATACGGTGCTGTCCGCGCTTGCTGTATCGGTCCGGGAAATTGGAGTGACAGCAGGCGGCGGTCGGGACGGCCACAAGGGTGGCTGCAGGAAGCGGATGTTCGGAGCACGTGTGCTGTTTCCGTTTTCGCGCGAATCCTCACCGGATTTTGACCTCGACTTCTGTCGGTATCGACTCGCAAGCGACGTCACTATCGGCCACGGGTTACTACTCGAGGCGGCAGTTGGCTGGTTATCGCGTGCCTGCATTTGCCCACTCTCGCCACCGTCGGGGGCATCGTCGTCGTCGTCATCGCGTTTCGTATTCCTCCTCTTTCGGGGCCATCCGAATTCCGAGGCTGACAGTCCCACCATCTCGTCTCCATCGAAGACCTCTCGTCCCAATATTCCGTCCTTCTTCTCTTCTCTCTCCAATGCCTCTATCCGCTCCACCCATTCCCACACAATTACACTGGCTGCGGCAGCGCCAACCCAGCGGACATAGTCACCCCAGCCAGTGAAGTCTGGTTTCCTAATGTCGAGAATGAAAAAGACGACGGGAACAAGGACAGCCAGCACTGAAAGCAGAGCTACCAGGCACATGTTGCGCATCTGTGGGTGATAATACGCATAGTGCTTCTTCATGATGGAATAATAAATCACCCAAGCAGCATACAGAACTCCAAGAGACAGCTGGAATAGATAGCTGAGGGCGGGAATGGCATCGGTGAAGGACCGAGGTCGGAGAGATCCTTGGTTGGTGTACAGGAAGCTGTTGAGCGAGTCGAAGATGACGCCCAGGGCGATCAGTGCGAAGGCGGTCCACTTAATGATGATCTTTTCTCGCCGGCGAGGGAAGAGCCTGATGAGCGTCTGGGCCTGGGCAAGCCAAAGGAAGGCCTCAGATATTATCCGGATGACCTTGAGTTCTGTGCCTCCCAAGACTTCCTGCTGCAGAACTTCGGCATTCTGGATCCCTTGCGAGTACTGTTGTTCGGCAACGCGAAACGTGTCGACGGTGGCGATGGTCAAGGAGATGGCGACGAACAAGGCTGCCACCTTCTGGAGCCAGGGACGACCTCCGATGTTGGTGCCTCCAGTGCCACCGTCCGTGAAGCTCCTCCTCCCCAGCACGACCACACCGCCATCGAGGAACGACCTTGGTGTGATGAACAGCATAATGACCAACGTATATGCGATGACGGTCGTCGCGGCGAGGGCATAACATTGCGGGAAGGTGGAGGCGTAGAAGGGATCCCGGAAGTCTGAATATGCTATATTAGTGATGTCGGAAGACCCGGCAGTCTCTTCCATCGTGACGCCTGGGTTGGCGATGATGATGGGCGATGTGGTTTGGTCACACATTGGCCGGTACGCGGCGTCCGCGGTGAGTGTGATAGGGTCCTGGCCCGGAATGTTGATGACGCCTCCTTCGGGCAGGTTGAAGGAAGTGCATCCTGAGTTCAGGGAGCCGGAGCCCGCCTTGGAAGGCGAGCTGGGTGCGATAAGTTGTCGCACCTCCATGATGGCTGGCTACGAAACCTGGTCGAGTCGCGGCCAGCCGCTGGCAGTGTTGCTGTGGGTAGGAACACCTCCTCAATTGAGTCCTACCGGCCACACGCCATTCGATCAACAAAGGACGGATTCCACGCGTCACCAGAGGCGTCGGTATTCGGTTTCCAATTCTATCTCGATGTTCCCGCCCGAGTGTCGAGGGCTTTCGTCGGTTGACGTCGTCGTCAGCGTCGTCGGGGTCGCTGAAATCAGGACCCGGTGGTTTTCCTTTTGACGGCACAGCGAGCGCGTTGTTTTTACCGCCACGGCGTGGGTGGAACTTTGTGATTTGTAGCACGGAACACAGATGTCTTCTCTTGATGATCCACACAATTGGGTCAAGTGGTTGGCAAAACGAAGTCAGGTTGTTGGATATGTCAAAAGTGGTCAAACGTGGGGGAGGAACGGCGAAGTCTGGGCGCCGAGAGAGCTTGAGCATGAGGCGAGAGATGTAAGACGCAGGAAGGCGAAGAGTTCCGGGGGCCTCGAGATAGCACAACAGTACAGTAGCAGCAGCGGCTGGACTGGGCTGCTGGGCGCCCGGGGGGTGGGAGACAGAAGCCGAGACGGGAGGAACAGGGGGACGATGTTTGGGCTCTCGCTAGCCGCAACTGAGCAGGCGGCTCGATTGGAGGAAGACCAGGGCCAGTTGCCGTTGATCCCGGAGCAAGTGACACTTCTGTGGTGGTCGGGCGGGAGAATGCTTGACTCGAGGGGAGATTATTTGAGAGAGTCTGGCGTCCTTTGCCCGGATCTGTCTCGAAAGTGTTTGAACTTTGACGCATTGGGGACAACAGGCGGGGGTGGCACGACGGGACGACGAGGGAGTGAGGGATATGCAGTCGACAGGATTCGAAAATGGACTGGGACTGGGGACTGGGAACTGCAGGACTGCAACCAAATCAGACAGGGACCAGGACTGGGGCAGGAGCGAGTCTGGGACTGGGACTGGGACTGGGACTGGGACTGGGGTAGGGGCGGCAGACGGGTAGAGGTGAACGGTAACGGTGGACTCGGAGGGGACAGAATCAAGATGTGGGCGATCCCGACCACAAGACAAGAAAAGTGACAGAACTAACAAGAGACAGGAGACACAACAGACACAAGACCAGCGACAGACTCGACAGACAGCCCACAGTGATGTAGCCCCTGGTAGCCCATGTGCTGCGGTGGACTGTCATTCCAGGTCATACTGGGCAGATATGGGAAACCCTATGTTGTGCGATGTGTACATACGTCTGCACAGCTCTCTGACGAAACGCCCCTTGTTTAGACCGTATTGTCAGGAGCGAGGACTGTGCAATGTGTTCCCCCAGCCATTCAGCCGTCCACCAGCCCCTCCCTCCCGCTATGCGAGGGCGCCCGTCTTGCTCTCTTCCGGAAGGTCAGCCGAAACCAGCCAGAGGCCAGCCCACAGCTACGCTCGTCCAGGATTACCCTCCACCGTCCTGTGTGCTTACATATGCTTGTTCTCTGGCTAGACATCGTGTGCCAGGCTAAGGAAGCGGCGGGCAGCGAATCAGGAAGGGCCTGGGGGGGGGCCCATCGTCTTCCTGGATCTGCATGGTGTCGGCTAAGGACTGGGGTTCTCTGTCTCTTGACGCCAGCCAGCTGACCGGGTCGGGGAACGCAAGACGGGGACGGAGACACTCAAACTCGATGGGCCGGTTCGCCAGTGCGCCCACTTCGGTGACGCTTGCTTGGCTTGCTAGATGCTAACTGGGCCCATTCCGAGGCACGAGCACAACTAACGCCAAAATGACGGCGTCCGTTGTGGGTTACCACGCTCCTGGGATGGGCGACGGGGCGACGGAAAGACCAGGAGGGGAACAAGTGGGAGCCCGATAAGCGAGCAGAATTGAGGTACTCCAACACAACGGGCGCTCATGACCACCGACGCTGGACTGCAGCGGCGCACAGTTAGTCCTGGGTCGGTTCACACGGACGCTGCATTCCTTCTCGGAACGACGGATATTGCACCGGGGCACTCGACAAATGATGAGAAAGGAAGGTCCTCCTCATCCTCCTCTTGTCATCCACCGGTCGTTTGCACCCAAGATGGAACAATTGGAAATTCGAGCACAGCCATGGTCACAGAGCTGATGCTGACTCGAGGCAGAAACCCTTCGAGGCGTTCTTTTTTCAGGGGCCGCCGGCGATACGGGCTACCAGATTGATTCATCTCGGGGACGGGCACCAAAACAACCGCGTGTGAGCCGGCGAGCAGAAACACGTACGCTACGACGCGGGTTGTGGGTGAGTAGGCAAGACTTGAAAACCCCCTAAAATGGCCAGAGTCTAGAACCCCCCAACGTTCTATTTCCAACTGAGGGACAGCGCTATTTGAGCCATCCGTCGTTTGGGTAATGACTCTATTCCTGCTGACACGACGGAACAAAGTAATGAAACCAGCGCCTCCAGCCGCCTGACCTGGATGGCCTTGCGCTATGGCAACACTCTGGCAATGCGCCTCATTAGTTTTTTTTCGCGCGTCTCCTGTTCTCCTCTCCGCTACCCTCACGTCGCCTGCTGACCTGGGAACACTCGCACTGGAAATCAGACCAGCTGGGACAGAGGTCGGTGCGGGGAACAACCTGTTCGTGAGCGAGAGAAGGTGGGTGGTGGCAATCTGAATCTGGACGGAAGTTCAGGAACCAGTCAGCATCCTGACTGCTTGCTGCGCCTCACACACCTCCGTGGCCTCCATATTCAGAACCTGCCAGTCAGCCAGTCGGCGATTTCTGGGAAAGACTGCACTGTACTGCGTCCCCTTCCATCATCCTCCGTCGGTCCGCGTGCTGTACAGTGCGCGTGTGTGCGTGCTGGGGAAAATCCTGGAGTTGGCCCTGTGTGTGGTGCTGGTATGGGTGTGATGCAACAGCACTTTGCACTCACAAACACTATTTTTCCCTTCTCGCTCCGGCATCGACACCCCCCTCCCTTTCCTGGACTGCCTGCGATCCGGTGGTCCCCTTTTAACTTTGCGTTGGTGTGCGTGCGCTGCTATGCTGCTGCATGACACCTTCGATTGTTCTTCACGGCTCGATGCGCACTGTTAGCGATTCCAAGCCTTATCAATCCCATCGCCCAACTGCTGAAGAAAGGCACTTGTGCACGCCAGCAGACACGAGCCCCTTGGTCGCTTGGTCGGTCCCTGCAGCACGCCCGAGCGGGCACATCACCCGCGCTGATGGGCAGGTGTGAGCTTGGGACACACTCGTCCCCATCGTTTGGTCCCTCGTGGGTAGCCCTGTGTCTGGGCGCTTGGCAAAGCTTAGGGGCCTGCGGTCCGTCTGCTGCCCTGGGGAAACGTTCTTGGCGGCGTTTCTTGTGTCTCCGTCAAGCTTCACTCGGCAAGAAAAAGGTTCTATGCTTTCGAGGTGCTTCTCTAGGATCAATCCTCGAGTGGATTGCGCAATGGCTGGCTGATCGTTCTTCTCGCTGTCCTGCAAGCCAGTGATGGTTCCACGGTGAGAGTGCCATGCTCTCAATCAAGCCTCAGACATGATGGTACGTCGGCAATAGACTTTGTCGGGTCTCAAGTGAGACATCAAGATGCGGCCTTGGCCCTGGAAAGCGACTGGTTTTACGTGGCCGGCAGAAGGGCGGGTTGAATGCGGATTGATTGGTACTATGAGGCCGTTGGCTCCGCTCAAGTGAGCAGTGCCGGTTGCGACGCTGTGGATTGAATTATTCCAGGTTCGGAATATACAATTCATATGAGGACGCACTGCGTGCTGTTCCAAGTGGTCAAGATGGTGATTCTGAGCGCAAATGAGCCAGCTGGCGTACGAGGACATCTAGAACCCCGCTACGACTACGGCATTGGTGTGCTCTCATGGCAGGTATTGGCACCGCGCTTTTGTGCGCGGCGTGCAGCTGCGTCTGGCAGGTCTACTGGGCACGGCGCACGTATGCCCACTGGGCGACTGCAGGATCTAGAAACGGTCCCCGAAAACTCGCAGCTGAAGCCACAGAATCTTGCTGCATCGCGACCCGGGTTGCAATGGGCTTGCAGCGGGTGTGGTATTGGACACATCCGGCTGCCGATCAGGAATATCGAGACTTCTCGAAGCCTCCACGACAACGAACCCCCGAGTTCTTCATCGCGGCCGCTGCTGCCAGCGTCACACAGCCGGCAGAGTCGTGCAGGAGACCTCCGGCGGCAGTGGTCACGCCTCCCACTGCCGTGCAGGGCCCGGGGACAGATCTGCCTCCGCGACAACCACCCACGCTGGTTCACGACTCCAGCGCCGTTCAAGTCGTCTGCTAATCGACATATTCCCAAAATATCAAAATTGCGCTATAATTGGCATGCGCATGATAGCTAACGTTGCATGCTCGGTGAGAGGCAGAGCGGCCTGAAGCCACCCAATAACTCCCTATACTGGGCGATGCCCAACGGCACACGGGCCTGCGTGCTGGAAGTTGAAAAAGCTTACACAGGACAGTCACTCAGACTTGTTACGCGTCAAGCAGACGTCGCTTTCGCTTTTACCGTACGGAATCGAGATCGTCCTCAGCGGTGCTCAGATCGATCTGCCGCATGCGTCGCCCAGGAAAGTCTATCTTGGACGATAACCCCCGAGGGCCGTCTGGTTAGGCCCGCACGGCGAGTCGATCATCACTTGGTAGGTTGGTCATGGGCTTGTGTGCCCCAAAGCTGCCACACGGATGCTTGGAGCCTTTGATCCTCATCATTCAGCCTCACACATTCGAATACGGCGTCTATCTATAGCTCGATTTCCGTTCGAGACGGACCGTTGAGGCTGGCGACTTGATCTGCGTGGCTTTACGGTGCGAGCTGAGTCTTGTCGAGAGGCTTCGCGGCCTTGGGATGGCTGTGCTGGTCTAGTCCCGAGGCAAAAACGAGAGCGGCGGCGCTTCGCTTGCACGATAGTTCGTGAGCGGCAGTGCCGGCCCTGATGGCTCGGAGGTGCTTGCGCAGAGAGGCTTCGTGGTCACGGTATAGCGTTTGCTTCCCCCTCATCGACGTTCGCGCACCCATTTTCCCCGTGGGCAGGAGAACGGGGCATGGTGCTTCTCGTCACGCCTGCCAGCCCCTGAGTCGTATCCAGTCCTCCTTGCCGCCGACGAAGTGCCGATGATATCTGGTTCGAATCGTGTTTGTGCAGCTATGCGTTTGTGTATTGCATGATTCGCGGCGTGGAAGCGGCCGGAGAGTCATCCGTGGCCACCAGGGGCAGTGGTCATGAGGATACTCGTGGTACTTCATCGAGTCTGACCAACGCTGCGCGATACATGGTGTGGAATACCGCACACCCGGGGAACAGCAGACCCATCAAGGATTGAGGCCATCTCCAGCGGAGAAGCCACTGTTCACGGATAGTCACCCGACTGGCTGCTCTTCTTTACTGAGGCCCTTACGATGCAGGAGCCGCAAAGCACATTCCCTGTGACGGGAGTGTGCAGTGGGAGCTGCAGGAGATAACTGATCGTAGTAGCCATAATCAAGTTGCCATATACGGATGACCTTGAGGGCTTGTCATCAACTCGACCCTTTTTGAGATAATCACCGTTTGTCTCTGTCGCCAGGTCGCATGTGTGCTTCCTTAGTATACCACGTATGTTCTTCTGGATGTCTGTCCGATACCAGCGTAGAGTAATCTCGACTGCGATCCTACCATCATGTCCGACGCCCTGATGAGACTTCAAGGAGAATGGACCACACACTCTTGCTGTACTGTATATGTATGTCCGCATTTGATGTCTTATTCCATTATTACCTATGATTGACCCCCTTACCCTGGTGGTGAATGATCGTGTCGTTCATCGAGGTCAGATGGACCATGATCAGTACGATCACAGTACCACTTATCGTTCACTTTCTGTCTATACTCCGGTCTCACGAGCTCACAGAGAATTCGATGGGCACTGGCAATACTGAATACAAATCGTATAAGCTTGGGAAGTCATCTCAACTGGGTTGGCAAAGGGCGTCGATTGTCCCAACTGACTCACTCCAGTGGCCTCCCGAATGAGAACTCGACAGCATCAACAACAGAAGCCCAGGATGGAGTCTACGCAAGTGTGATGATACTGAGCCTTCGGGTAAGCAGACATGATCTTTGAGTTTGCCCTTATCTTCCCTTGTCCTCCTCCTGCTGTACTGAATGGAAACATGAATGAAATGCCACCCTGGGAGCATCATATCTACACGAACCTTGCACACCGCAGAATCCGAAGCCAACGAGTCCCATATAGGAGATGTCAAGGTGAAAGAATCCATGGCTGATTTTTCGATATGTCTCACGAGTGAGAATGACCCACATACAATCCGTGGAGGCTCTGCCACGGACCTTGATCCGCAATTACCAGAGGTCTGATTCTGCCTCGGTATATTCCAACGGTCGTGTAATCGCCAGACAGGGACAACACTTTGAGGCCCACAACCACGACCACGACCGCGATCCCCCCCCCTTTTTCGGTTGGATGACAAGGCCATAAGGCCACCAATGTGGCGGGAGACGCTGTCCTCCGCCAGCATCACCCACCAAGTCTCCCGCTCTGTGCGTCTATATGTCCTCCGCTCGAGCACGGCACTTTCCAAATCGGCTCAACGAAGTCATTCCTGGAAGGAGCTTCGCGTTGTGGAGGGAGAACAGGCCTGAGCTGGTGATGTAAGAAGCAGTCGTCCCCGTACAAGGCCGTGAAACCGTGTCGGGAGTGCGGACCTGCCAGGGGCGGCAGCTGGGTTATTTGTGTACACCAAGTATCCGACCCATGCCGGCCCCAGATGCCTTCTAGGCTCGCCGTTATATGGTGTTAGCGTACTTGCTCCTGGAAGAGAGGGTGTCTTCGACAGACTGTCCTGCAGGGAAGTATGCCAGCGGCTGGATTGACAGCCAGCTCCTTGAACATAACACTAGCATCTTGGGGCCATGGCAGCGAAGGCGATGTCCTCATTTGTGAACAGATGGAAACCCCCCCGCCTCCCAATCCACCTGGCTGGCGTGACAGCTGCCTAGACACTCACAGCTCCGGGTGGCAAGTCGCCCCGGCTACCATTGAAGATGTGCGTGTGCTGTGAGAGCAGAGTATTCAGACGCGAGCACTCTGAGAAGGTAAATTGGGCCGTCCGCACGTATTGCTTGAGCACGCTTTCCAGGAACACAATTAACTGTGAAGGAAGAGAGGACACAACGGAGGCTGCGGACGCATGAGAGAGTCTAATATCGGCTCGATCCCAGCTGGGCATTGGTAGGCCGGTTTTCGTTCCATTCGGGAAAGACGATAAAGGCATGCTTACGGTTTACATGAAGTATCCGTATGCTCAGACTTTCCAAAGTCTCGCCGAGTCTGTTGCTCGTATGGACAGATTCCTGGGTTCCGCACGGGTCATTGACGCCTTAGTAAGAGAACCAGGTAGACCGTAATACTTGAAAGACTGTCTTACTGTCTACACGATGTTATCAAAAGAGCTCATCTCAAGGCAGAGTATACCACTGTTCAGAATACACCCGGATATCTAGGAATTATATGAGCCATACTGCAGATTCTCATGGAGGACTGGACAGGAGAGGTCAGGCGGCTTGAAGCCATGGCCTGGTCATCCACACCTCCTCCATCGTGTCCAGTGAGCCTCTTGGATCGCGATACGATCAGTACGCAAGCGGTGGTAACGTCTTGTCACCCCTTCGATGGTCACAACAGCCTTCACGCCTGCAGTCGTGCAGGAACAAGCGCACAGCGCAGTCTACGCGAGTGACGTGCCACCGTTCGGCACAAATTCCCTATGCCCCGCCGGCGAGAGTGCACCTCATCGCCCCTGCCCCATTTCGAGAAGAGGCCAATCCAGACCACGTAGCGGGCGCCCTGGAGAGCCGCCAGTGACGGCGTGATGGGAACCCGGAGCCAACGGGGGCGGACAGACCGTGTGTCGGAGTGTCCCACAGCACCGGGATCAGAAATCTACGGAAGGCTAAGGAATTCCCTAGCGCTGATGCCATTTTAGGGCGACCAAGACCCCGGGAGGCGGGAGGCGGGAGGGCGAGAAGCCCAGGGGTTTGGCTTCGAGAAAGAAAGTGTGCCGCATCCAGTTACCGGCAGATGGCTGGCTGATTTGAGGCCATGATCGTCCCTTTGCCAAGCCAAGTTGGGAAGGTCAGCCACATTGCCCGCCGGCCGGACCAGTGGTCTTTGTTCGACCCCTCTACCCCTTTGACGTCTGTCGCCCGTGGATGGTGCGCTGGCGCAGGCGCCGACGTTCAACAAGATTCACGTGCCCCGTGCTGATCCCGCGATGGTGGTCCCGGACCGCGGGGCTTGAAAGGGGAGGGTGCCTATGGCCGGAAGTGGTTTTAGTCGTCGATGGCGGGCACAGAACAGTGTCAGTGGGCATGCGGGCAACGGCAATCGAAGCAAGGGAAGCCTCGTGCGCCGTGGCCGCCGTGGCTCCCTGGGCTCTCAGGCGAAGATCCTGCAGCTTGGGCCAGACATTTGTCATTGCTGTCATCAAGTGTCCCGGCTTGCGAAAGGCCGTGCCAGCGCTGTACGTACGCTGTATGCACGCTGTGCTGCATGTAGCACTGCTGTTTTGATGGCAAAAGGGGGGTGCAGTATATTGCTGCTTGCTTGTTCATATCACCGGCGTTAATGCGAGCGCGACGGCAATCTGCGCGCGGGACCAGGGCGCGCGACAGGACGGCAAGAAAAAAAGTTGGATGGATTATGTCTGGGGTTTTATTGCTCTGGCGTGCTACCAGAGGACGCAATTGGGACACAGGCGGCAGGGGTGGAAAGATTGGGTGGGTAAGGGCTTCATGCGAGGCCCCACCTGCTGCCACATGTGTACCGAGAAACAACATTTGATTGTTTCAAGTCTGGGAAGACCCCCAGAGAAAAGAGGAGCCGCGGAAGGGGACAAAAGCATACCGGCTCCCTCCGCGAGGACGAGGCCCCGTTGCCAAATTGGCCCGCTTTGGCATTTGCGGGCGGGAACGTCAATCTTTCGCGCCCAAAAGGAATGACCCTTCGACCCTCGGCGCTCGAAAAAGAATGGTCCTCGCCCTCGTAATCAGGCATGCACGTGCCGTTTCCTTGGTGGGCTCGGAGATACAGGGAGCCAAGGGTCCAGGTGAGCCAGATTCAGCAGTGGGCGATCGTCGAGGGCACAGACGAGGACTCGGAAGCAGGTTGCAGCAGGTCTGAGACCAGATCAACAGTAACACCAAGCAGCGGGCCACTCACTGGCACTCACTCACTGCCTGAAGGGTTGCTTGCAGAGCCCTGTGTGTCACAGCCGTACAGCCCGTAATATGACCGAGGCCGGTCGGTTTGTGCCTCTGCCAGACACTTCTTCAGCTCCAGCTCAGCTCCAGCTCAGACCTGTGGCCCTGAGCAGCTGTTGTTGAAGCAGATACCTGGTAGTTAGCAGAGTATCTAGATGCTGTGTGTTCTTTGTTTGCCTACTCCTGCTCGCATCGTGACGCACGTGCCCCGAGTGGCCCTCTTCCAAGCTCCCACACATGCCTAGGTAACTCTCGTACCTGCGTGTCTATGTACCTGCACTCACACAGGATGGATAGTGGGCCTTGCTGCAGGTCGAATTGGCCCTGACCCACGGCCACGGGCATCCCCATCCACATCCACATCGCCCCCGATCAGCTGCAAGCAGGGCTCCAGCGGCCCTCCGTCGTCATCATAGTTGCGCGACCGAGTCCCAGTCCTGGTGCAGAAATCCCAGCCTTAGGTAGCCCGGTCCCGCGTCACTCGCTGTGAGGGTCGAGATCAGACCCTTGGGGGAGACGGTCGAGGAACAATAACCCGTGGTCGAGACCACACTTCGTTCGCTCTTCTGTCTTTTTGTTTTTGTCCTGTCAATCGAGGCTATAGTCGACGGCCGGCGCTGCGACGGCCAAATTCTAGCCTGGAGCCGAGAACGTTGGATCTCCAGCCCCAAACCCGCCAATCGACCACTCCTGGCCTCCGTCCCGTCTCTGTCACGCAAGCCTGGCTTTCCAGCCCAGTCTCAGCGCTCCGCAGCCCGCCCAACATAAACCCCTGAGCCTTGTTCCATGTCCTCCCGCCCCTTGTCCAGCCAGCGCCCGCCAGCACCAGCAGCAGCAATACCACCACCACCAACACAAGCATCAGGATCCAGGATCAGCATCAGCAGCCCACGCTGAGAAGCACTACCAACCAAGTGAACTAGGCTGAAATCTGGGACGTCTGGCTGTCTGGTCTTGTCTCTGCCTTGCTGTCGGCCCGCACATCAGTCACATCAATTAACTGATCCTTCTCCCAATCCATCCATCAACTCGTCAATCCGTCAATCAATCAGTTACAATCTCTTGGTTGATTCAGCCACCCCCGGCAATCATAACAATACGATCGTCGGACGCATTGCAGTCTCCATACCGCCTGCGCTGTTAATGCTGTCGCTGTCGCTGTCGCGGCAGATCCTACCCGTTCAATATGACAAGACCCGAAATTATTCGTGCTGGTATGTGGCATGTGCTTTGCGCGAGCATGACTCTCTCAGCCTCCCAAGCCTCCCCATCCCTCCCATCGCCTCTGCCACACTGCCGCTGCTTGGGCCATCTGGGGAGTTTGCCCGTCTCAAGGAGCCCACACCCTGTCAACAACAGTGCCCACGCCCCCTGCGCACCTCCCGACCAAAACAATGCTGACTCTCTCGCTTCAACCTCCCTTCAGACTCGATTGATCTCCAAGATCGCGAAGCACCCTCCGCAAAGAACCATACTGCCCGACCCAGTCCCCTCAACACCTCCCAGTCTGCCTCCAGCGGAACTGGCACCGCGCCGCACCAGGCCGAGACCCTGCGAGAGGTCGCAGCAGGACAAGCAGAGGAGGAACTTCGAAGCCCCCGAGTCTCCTGGACCAACGGCGGCGAAGCTGGCGACCTACAACAATACGCCGAAGACTTGGCCGCCGGAGTCACCAGTTCCCTCACCGGCCAGAACGCCGCCAACATGGCCGCACGCCAGCAAGATGACCTCGCTGTCGCACAAAACGGTGGCTTGGAAACAGAGGACGCCGACTTGGACGGCGACGATGGCGACCTGGATGACGACGACATGATGGACAAGATCTCGAGTTCGCCCTCTATCGATGATGGTGGGTCTCCAACCTGTCACCTTCCACCTCTCCAATCTTTACACCATTGCGCGTCGCCGTGTAGTTCTCCGGCTTCGGCATGCTTCAGCGAGGCGAGGCCTTCCTCCCCATACCTCGACCAACCTGACTACTTACCTCTCCAGCTTGCGCATCCGGAGGCAGACAAGTCGTCTGCTGCGCTTCCCCGCCGTCGTCATCATCATCTTCCTGGTTCATCCCCTGGGCACCCTGACGCACAGGCTGGCGATGCGGATACAGCGCCAGAGGACAATGGACAAGAGAGCCTCAGGAGCAGTGGTCTCCCAGTTGGCCCACATGGAATCGGCCGCAGTCTACCAGATACAGACGATGGTATCCGAAATGCCCTGGACGACCTGCTCGACGGAATACAAGCATTGCAGAAAGACTTTGAGGCCGAGCAGGCGGGTGTTGACGAGGCCATTGGAATGGAAGATGAGGTCTCCAGCACCGACGATTTGATTGTCACATACGAGGGCTCCACCGACGAAGATGATGATGACGACAATTTCCTTGAGTCCAATGATCCCCGGTTCATCGATTCTGGTTGGGGCGGTGAGTGCTTACACGATACAGAGGACATCGATTTCGAGCTCGTCTATGCCCTACACACATTCATAGCGACCGTCGAAGGACAAGCGAACGCGACCAAGGGAGATGCCATGGTTTTGTTAGACGACAGCAACAGTTATTGGTGGCTGGTTCGCGTGGTCAAGGATAGCAGTATTGGTATGCTAAGCCCCGGAGGCGTTTTGCTCACTCGCCGGGGCTGAACATGGCTGACGCGCTCAATCAAGGTTACCTACCGGCTGAGCATATCGAGACACCGACCGAGAGGCTTGCACGTTTGAATAAGCACCGGAACATCGATGTAGGTTGGAAAAGCACAGCACCCCTGAAATCCGAACTAACGTGTGTAGTTGTCGGCAACCATGCTGGGTGATCAATCCGACAAGACCAAAAATCCAATCAAGACGGCGATGCGCCGGAGGAAGAAGAACGTTTCTTTCGCTGCTCCGACATACGTAGACTACTCCGACTTCGATTACGACACAGAAGAGGAGGAGGAAGCCGAGGCCGAATTCTATGCCCAACAGCAGCAGCAGCAACAACAGGCACAGCAGCAGTCCCAACAACAAACGGCTGCTACCAAGCAGACTACTGCGGACGAAACCGCCGCCAGTCAAGAGGCGGCACAAGTAGCGCCGCTTAGGCCGCGGGCGCAAAAGTCTGTACAGATCGTGGACCCTGCCAACTCAGACTCGAAAGAGGAATCACCCACTTCGGGCAAGGGCAATCGAACCAGCGAGGAGATATTCGAGACGAATGGCGTGGAAGGTCCGAAGAGGAAGGCCGACGGCACGGTCAGGGATTCTTTCTTCAAGGACGACACGGTGGAGACTAAGAAGATCACACTCACGCCTAATTTACTGCGAGACGACGGAACTGTCAGAGCATCAACGGACTCAGACAAGGGTGTAAATAAGCGCCCGAGCTTCGACAAACTTGACAAGGAGATCAGGGAAGAGAAGAAGGGCAAAGACAAGAAAGAGAAGGAGAAGAAGGGCGGTTTCCGGAGCTTATTCTCGCGTAAGGATAAGAAGCAGAAGGGTGGTGACGATGACGATTCTCTCGGGAAACGATCCATGGACGCGGTTTCGGAGGCGCCGGAGAGAGAATCTGAGGACTTCAATGACGACCAGGACAAGGCAGGTGCCTCACCACAGCGCAACCCGAGCAAATTGCACAAGCAACAACCGCGGGTGGAACCTTCGCTAGCGAACAAGTCCGGTACTGTTCAGAGGGACGCTAATGGTATGGATCTTTCAACGTTCCTGAATGAAGGGAAGTTGAAGAATGTCGCCAACGTGCCACCCGCGTCCATGCGACTGGTCGAGCCAGAAACCCAGGACGCGCAGGACAATGCGCAGGATCAGCGGGGATCCGAAGCTGTGCGGTCGAGCCAGGTGGACGACTCCAAGCCGGCCGCGTCTAGATCAGCGGCTAGCCGGTCGGAGAGTGTTGATGACAGTCCACCTCAGGCTACGACAGCGAAGTCACGCATGCAGATCGAGGACTCGGATTCGGGCGAAGATGATTACAACGAGACACTCAGGCAGATGTCAGCCTCGGGCAAGAAGACTCAAGAAAAGCCGCAGCAAGAGTCCCCCCAGCAGGACAGGACCCAGCAGGAGAAGCCGCAGCAGGAGAGCACACAGCAGGAAGAGCCCCAGCAGCAGAAGCCGTTCCGGCCCACGCTGCCGGGGGCCTTCCCAGACAGCTACATGAGTACGCAGTCTGCTCAGTCCAACTCGACCATCACGCCAGAACGAGCCGCGGAGGCTACTCAGCGACAGGACCGGTTGTCAGAATCGCCAATCGAGGTGTCACCGATCACTCCGAGTGGGGACAAGCCCCCAGCCCTGGTCGGCGACACGTCAAGCCAAGAAGATCACTCGTCACCGGTGTCGTCGCCGTCACCCGAACTGATCGACAGAGAAGAGGCGGGTGGGACACACCGGAACCAGGATTCTATTACCACGTCCACCTCGACAACGACTGTATCAAACTGGAATGACACGAGCCTGCGGGAATTCTTCGACTCAGGCACTGACATCCGGGATCTCCTTGTTGTGGTCTATGACAAGACCGACGTTGAGCCAGTGGGGCCCGAACACCCAGTCGCCGGCACGCTGTTCAAAGAACAGAACGCCAAGCTGGCGGAGATCACAACTGTAAGTCTAGGCTCAAAATGTTTGGAGCAAGCGAACCTTTCCACTGACCATGGGTGAACAGCAACTTGACCACATGCTTGGCGACTGGCTTGCGCGAAAGCAGCGGCTGCGAGGAACCGTGTAGTGGTCCAGATACCCCTTCTTTTCAGCATTTAACGAACCACTACCATCCTGACCATCTGAACTGCGTTGACGAATTACCCCTCCGCCTGTACAATTTTTTTTGTTCACTCTATGATGCATCTATGACTGTCTCAAAAAGCTTCAGGTTGCAGGGGCCCCTGCTTCCAATGGCCTTTGCTACATAATTCAAAGGTCCGGCGTTCTTGGTGAGGGCTCGAAAGAAGAGCAGGAAGGCTTCACGAAAACTGTAATACCAACGGAGACTGGGCATATACCTCTATTGTTTTCTTTTCATTTGTACAACGTTGCACGGCAGATGGAGGACGACGAAAGGCAGCCTGACAGTACTGTACGTTCCTCACTCGAAGCCTGCGCGTCAATTTGGAAGTTAGGACTCGCATTCCCTGTGGAGTGAGCTGGGGGAGGGGGAGAAGAGGAGGTTTTGTGATGTGGCGCGCCGATGACAGGCCCTTATGGCCGGAAATCGAAGGCCCATTGACTGTTAATTCTTTATGACTGAATGACCCATGACGGCCCTGGTTCTTGATCTGACTTGATTGCCGCCGTGTACAAAATTCCTTGTGGCTCTCTGGGGAAACCCTGCAGCGTCGAAAGAAACCCATCAAAAGGGAAGGAAAAACCGGCCGGGCACAGAGGCTGTGGAGACGTTGCCCGAAGCCGAGCTCCAGGCTTCCAGAATTCCAGAATTGCATCCAGCCTTGCGTTGTTGCTGAGGCGCGTTTTGACTCTGCTCCCTTCATGACGACATTCCGCATTCACTCCCTCGTCGACTTACTCGCCAATCTCTTTGAAGACTGTCTCTCCTGACACCAAGTGCGCCTGTACCAATTCATCCAATCAAGGAAGCGACAGCTCTCGTATGCTTTGTCTCGCCCTTTCCCGACTACTGCATCTTCTCAGGGAGCAGCAGGACCAGCCGCAACAGCAGCAGGACAAGCCTCTGTCTGGCAACCGGTTAACGAGCAAGCCAGCTTGCAGGCGGTGGGCCGCGCCTGAGCGACAGGTATAACACCGGCCAGAGTGCAGCACGGCACACACGGGGTACCAGGCAGAACGGAGCAAACGGAACAAAACACCATCCATTGCTGCAAGAGCACAGCAGTCCTGACGAGCGGCGCGCAACCTGGAGACGAGTTGGAGAAAGCTCCTGCCTGTCTGCATCTCCAGCACCTGCTGCCCTTGGACGCGCTAGCCACGAGCTACCCTGGAGCTTTGTGCCCGCCGCCGTCGCACCCATTCTCACCCGCGCGGGCGTCCGTCTGTTGCGGCAGGAACCACCTCCCCTCGCACACCTTAAAAAAGGCCAGCCCAGCGCCGTGCTCCCCTCCCTGCACACCCATCACGGCTGCCCAGCTCGCCTACTATGTCACAAAACTCCCTGCGACCACCACCCACTAAACTCAAGATACCGAGGGCGGCAGCTACATACACACCAGCCACAATGGATCCCGATCTGCGCTCCCAGCTCAACATGCTGCTGATCAATGGCGGCCACGACAAGAAGTGAGTGTGCGCCTCCTTGCCCATCTGCCTGTCTATCAGGGCCTGCGTCTTGGCCGGCCGGACCAGACCAGCAACTAGACCAGACCACCCATCCCACAAGGCACTCACTAACCACTCCGGCTCTTCCCCCGCGACCAGGCTCCAAGAACAACTCCTCTACACCCTCAACGCACACTCGAACAACTGGCCAACACAAGTACAAAATCGCGCCCTCGCCCTCCTCCGCAGCGGCGAGGTGACCACGTTCCCCGTCCTCCTGAAACAGATCCTCGACGAGGTGCGCAAGGAAACAGCCGCAGGACCCGCCCCCAAGACATCTTCGTCATCATCAGCAAACGGCAACGGCCCAGCAGAGTCAGGCGCAGGCGGCAGCAGCACCAACAACGGCGCGGGGGCCACGGTGCAGGTGAACGGCTCCAAGAAGCACGCAGGGCCCGGGCCCGGCGAGGCGTCGAACCTCAACAGGGAGACGACAACATCACTAGCCGTGCCTGCCACCGTCGTCGAGGAGGCCCTCAAGGTCACGAGAGACGTGCTGAAGGAGGTCGCCGAGTTCGAGGAGGAGTCCAACGGTGCCACCTGAAGGCGCACGGCTGGCTGGCCGGGGCCGGTTTCCTCAGCGTCGTCTTTTGGTTGCGAGCTCGCTCTTCCGCTACGGCGAGCTTTAAAGAAGAGAAGAAAGAGAGGGGAAGAGAGAGAAAAGAAGACACACACTACACACATGCGCAAAAACCCCGTGCTGCTTGCGGTGCCGTTGCCCCGGAGTTCTGCGGTTATGTGCTCCTGCAGAGTGGCCACGAGGGGCAGAAGTCGAGGGGCTTTGGGGAATATAGGACTTAGGGCGTGCTGAGCGCCTGCCTTGTCGAGAGCAGCCACGCACGAGATGACGAGCCCGACCGGCGAGCTGGGCCTCGACAAGCAGTCGCCAAATTGCTGATTGCTACAAATAATGCTGCCCACGGTGGTGCGGTTTCGAGCAGGGGCTGGCTGGACGACGCGGCCAGATCCCATTCCTGAGCAATTCTCATCCACCATGTCGTCCCTCCACAACGGGCAACGAGGTGTGTTCTGGTACCGTACATACTGGGCCATCGCTGCATAAACCATACGTACATACATGGCCGATGTCAGGACAGGCCCAGGGGCGCATCATCATGATTATCATCGTCACCACCACCATCATCATCCAAGAAAAGGGCCGGGCAAGAGGCGTTGCTAGATGTTAAAAGAACTTTAATGCACTTGACCCTGTTTCTGGGCTCCAAGCAGGACCACCACCACACTTTCTTCCGTCCCTCCTTTTTTCCCCCTCGTGATCGCTCGCGAGTACTTCCAGGGGATGAGCGGCAGCCCAAAGAGCTTCTTTTGGTGCCCATCCCCCCAAAGGTAGACACGGCCGCTCGTCCACCCACCCACCTACCTACTAGCCCGCCCGATTCCTTGTCGTCACCCGCAAGACCAACAAGCTTTGGACCCGGCGCCACCAGAGGCCGTCCAGTCCATCTGGTATCTCTGCCCTAGAATCCCTCTCTGCTCCTAGCACCTGTGTGAAAGGGCCTTCCCGTGACCTTTCCTAACCGCCGTTCCGACTGAGTTCTCTATTTCAATCTCGGGGTAGACATCGCCCTCGTTTCCGTCTAATCTCGCCAAATGCCTCACAGCTAAACGCAGGGGCGGTAACAGGACTCAGTTGTCCTCGCTTGTTGGTCCGTCTTCGTGGCAGCGCCCACCACCCATGTACCCACTCAACAGCCACAAACTCAGGACTGGCATTCATCTGCATGCAGTCCGGTCCCTGACTCTACGTAGAACGGAGTTCTTCAGGGAACGGGAAAGAGGAAGGTGTGCCCTCCGGCGCAGCCAGCAGCGTTCCGCATGCATGAAGTCGTGCCTGCACTGATGATGGCCCGTGTCCCAGCCGTGGAGATACTTCACGAGGCTGTTGATGAGATGCCTTGTCTGCTCACCTTCCTTGTCATAAAAGTTTTCTAGCGAGCGCCCGTGAAGAGAGAAGCTGCCGGAACAAGAGCAGGGAGGCGTGCAGGGACACTCACCAAGTTCACCGTGCGGCAGACCGTTGCGGATGATGTACGAGAGATGGACCGCGACAGGGGTGTTGAGGCAATCACGGGTCAGAAGGCGTGTCTAGAGTCCAAATTCATTCATAAAAGCTAGTTTCTCATTAAGGAAATCTATCATAATCCAGATCGCCTGTGCCAAGGCAGCCAGAAAACTCCAAGATCGCAGTCTATGTGTGGAGCCATCGGCTTCACAGCAGTGGCCGCTATCAACGAAGATGTCGTGTCCACCCCCATGTAGCTTGCCTGACCCAGATGATCCTGCAAAGAGGATGATTCTCCATCTAACCGCTTGTATCGACCTGCCAGACGGACGACTCGTCTTGAGTGCCTTGAACCAAGCAGTAGCCCCAAAGCTCATCTGCGACTGCACCAACCAAAGAAACTAAAGTACAGACGGTGAAGATGCCATACTCTGCATTTAGTCATACAGACCATCATCGTTGCCAGCATCGCCGAAGGAATCCGCCGCGTTGTTGGCGGCGGAGTCGGCCTCAGGGAACTTGAAGTACGCACCAGGGCCGGCGTTCTTCATCTGCTGAGCAAAAGCCTCGTACCGGCGGATCTCGACGTCTGTGACGGAACGGCGGGCCATCTGCATAGCCTCCTCGAAGTGACGCTTCTCGAGCTCAGGGACGGGATCCTCGGCATCATCCTCCATCTCAACATCCTCGCCAGCAGCCTCACGGGCCTTGGTGCGCTCGATATCGAGAGCGATGGACTCCTTGATGGCCAACTTGACGGCACGCTGCGTGATGAAGCCCAGATCGGCACCGGAGAAGCCGTGAGTCTTGGAGGCGATGAAAGCAATGTCGATGTTGGATGACACTGGTGTCTTCCGGAGCTGAGCCTGAAGAATACCAAGACGACCGGCCTCATCGGGGAGAGGCACGTAGATGAGGGAGTCCAGACGGCCAGGACGGCACAGGGCAGGGTCGAGCTGCTCTGGTCGGTTGGTGGCACCAATGACGAAAACGTTCTTCTTTGAAGTCATGCCATCCATCTCAGTCAGAAGTTGGTTGACAACTCGGTCCGAGGCACCACCGGCGTCACCCACTGACCCACCACGAGCCTTGGCGATGGAGTCCAGCTCATCCAAGAAGACAATGCACGGCGCGGCGGCACGAGCCTTGTCAAAGATGTCTCGGATGTTGCTCTCGGACTCACCGAACCACATACTTAGCAGCTCGGGGCCCTTGACGGAAATAAAGTTGGCCGAGCACTCGTTGGCGACGGCCTTGGCCAACATAGTCTTACCCGTACCTGGGGGACCATAGAAGAGCACACCGCGAGAAGGAGACATGCCAAACTTGAGGAATTTCTCGGGGTGGTCCACAGGGTATTGCACCTGCTCCTTGAGCTCCTGCTTGACGCCCTCCAAGCCACCAATGTCTTCCCAGCGGACGTTGGGCACCTCGACAACGGCGACCTCGCGCAGGGCAGATGGGTTGGATACACCAAGAGCAAATCGGAAGTTCTCCATGGTGACTCCAAGAGAGTCAAGAACTTCAGCATCGATGGTGTCCTCGTCGAGGTCAATCAGATCCATCTTCTCACGGATCTGCTGCATAGCGGCTTCCGAGCAGAGGGCAGCAACATCAGACCCGACGTAACCGTGGGTCTCAGCAGCGATTTGCTCCAAGTCCACGTCGTCTCCGAGCTTCATGTTCTTGGTGTGGATCTGCAGGATCTCGAGACGGCCAGTTGGGTCGGGGATACCGATGTCGACCTCACGGTCGAAACGACCGAAACGACGGAGAGCTGGGTCGATGGAGTTGGGTCGGTTGGTGGCCGCCATGACAACGACGTTGGACCGAGCCTTCATGCCGTCCATGAGGGTCAAAAGCTGGGAAACAACACGACGCTCGACTTCGCCGTTTGTCTTCTCACGCTTGGGAGCGATCGAGTCGATCTCGTCGATAAAGATGATAGCCGGCGAGTTCTTCTCAGCCTCCTCGAAGGCCTTTCGCAGGTTCGACTCTGATTCACCGGCCATCTTTGACATGATTTCAGGGCCGTTGATCAGGAAGAAGAAAGCTCCAGTTTCGTTGGCGACAGCTCGAGCCATCAGTGTCTTACCGGTACCCGGGGGGCCGAATAAAAGCACACCACGAGGGGGCTTGATGCCGATGGACTTGAACAGCTGTGGGTGTCGCAAGGGAAGCTCAACCATCTCACGAATCTGTGCCATCTGCTTTCGGCATCCACCGATGTCATCGTAGCCCACTTCGTTGAGGTTGTTCTCCTCCTCATCCCGCTGGATGGGCTCGCCCTCACAGTGAATAACTGTGTCCTGGGCAACAATACCGTACTCTGGGGGATCGACCTCGACGACCTTGAACTCGACCTGTCTCATGCCTCCACGGGCAATGAAAAGATCACCTTGACGGACTGGCCGGTAAGCCTCTCGGAAATATGGGGCAAGGAAAACGTCGAACAGAGAACCGGTGAGACCCTCGACGGTGTCGGCGATCGGCAGGACGGCGATTCTCTTGGCCTAATTTGAGGTGTAGATACCAACCTAGTATGGATGCTGGACCATAGACTCACGTATTTGATGTCGGGGCAGGCGTGGATGGTGATAATGTCACCGTGCTTCACACGCAGGTTGTGTCGCACCACACGGTTCAGACGACAGCTGCCATCATCGAGGTCATCATCACCAAGGACAACAAGTACGGTGTCCTTTCTCTTCTTGCCCCGGACGAGGACGGTGTCGCCACGGAACAGCTGGAGAGTGTCCATGGTGTTGTTCGAGAGGGCGATGATGGAGTTGTCATCGTTGACGGCATCAGTAACCCTGTATGTTGTCAGAATGTCCTTCTACAAAGAAGAAACTCATTGGGAGGTCATACATCAGCTGGTTGGGCTTCTTCTTCTTCTTGAGGATGGCGGTCGCCGTGTCATCCTCGTCCTTGCGCTCCGCGCCAGAAGCGTCCCTGCGAGAGTTAGTCAGTTGGCAGTCACGGAAGCGGGGACGGCCGGGACGGTGGGGTGTCTTGTGCCTACATCAGATGGGTCTTCTTCTCTGTGTGATCTGGGTTAGGTTCGGGAGCCATTTTGACTGTTTGCTTCGCAGAGAGATGCAGGTGTGCAAACGAGAGTGCGGTTTGTTAGGTGCTCGGAGGATGTGCTGGCCCTTTGCTGGAAGACGTCGGGAGCTGAAGGTCAAACGACAGTCCTGGAGGAGATGGAGATGTGTTGAGGAGATCAAAGATGCAAGATCTCGTTGATCTGGGAGGATGGAATATGGGAGAGGGTAGATGGAGATGAAAGGAAACCTGAGGGCCGTGTTGCAGTCCAGAGGTTTGGAGTTGTGTGTAGGTGTGTTGTCTTGACGTTAAGGCGATGGCTGCGAAAGCTAGGTTGGACAGGCCCCGGCCGCCCTGCCCACTAGGCAGCTTCATGACGACAATTGCCAGCCGGGGTGGCTAGACCCACCTGAGCACAGAGAGGCCCGAGCTTGAGTCTCAATAGACCCTGAGCAGTTGGAACCTTCTAGTTTTGAGCCCTTGCTGACTGTAACAGGATGGCAATCTGCACTCACAGCCAGAAAAGCCTTTTGCCTTTAGGCCTACCGTAGCATTGTAGCTCACCATGCTCTGGAGGCGAATTTGTCCATGTCGATTTCTCAGCAGGCACAGTTTGCTAGCCAGGGGCGAACCGAACAATGCTGCCTTGGCAATTCCAAACACCACTGGCGACTTCTACAACCGACCCGACGTCCACGCAAAAGGGACATGAGAAACGGATGATCTTCTGCGACTCCCCTCAGGTTCTCCTGGTGGATTGCAGCTCCTAGAGATCCCAAACGCCACGGGTGTAACTGGGATCGCCTCCAGCTGGATAGGTAGCTAACCGCAGGATGCTCACCTGGACAGGATTAGCTTCATCGCCTCGTAGGATAATCCGCCCGTGCCTGGTCTACTCTTGGGATCCCTGCGAGTTACAGCACCGAAAGCTGCAAGGCAATGGGCTATCTTTTGAACAGTTTCCTGCATCTGCAGAGATGATTCACCGGTCTTGTGCCTATGCCGAAGCGGTCAGGTTCCGGAACGAGCTCTTGCTCAGTGCTAAACACTCAAACGCTGGGTTCAAACTCGCATGGCCTGGCAAGGTCATAATCGAATGCACACGGTGGCACGAATATTGATTCTTTCCCGGTTTACTTGAGCGCATCTCACAAGTCCCATATCTCCGAATGCCAGCCATATCCAATTGCGAGTCCCCTGGTCCAGTCTGCCGAGTTACCGATTCCAGCTGTCTCCATGCAACGCTAGCGATTCCGTCGAAAGCCTCAATTATCCGCCGATCACGCATTGAAGTCCTTGACCTTCAGCGCATCCTTCTTTGACAACGGCCACGTCGCGACCTTGACCCTGTATCCGAGGTGGTGGCCGGCCCCGTCACGGACAGGCGCGAAGTCTGCGACGCCAGTGACGTTCGGGGAAAGGTTGATATGGTGGTCTAGGAGGCTCTGCCCGATCACCCCGACACCCAACCTGGGACTCGCCGTCGCGATGCGCTCGTAGGGAACAGACTTGGACAGCCAGTGCTGTGTCAGCCAGGTAATCGGTGGGAAACGCTTCCCTGGAGGTTCGCGGCAGACACGTTTCGGGGGTGGGCCTCTGGGTGAATCATCAGCACAAGCTTTGTCTTTTTCAAGATTGCTGACTTACTGGTCGTGAGACACAGAAGAGCTCGCTTCGGAGGAGGATACGTCAGGAGCCAATGATGAAGAGGTATTGACCATATTGCCCTTGTAGATGAGCTGCTTGTGTACTGGAGGCGGCTTTCGACGAGATCCAAGTGTTTGTGTTCGCTGTGCGTTCTTGAGCTACTTCGCGGTTGGTATCGCAAAGTCCGCCTGAGATGCGCGCTGCATGATTAGCCTCGCCAGAAGCTACGGGACCTATATACTTTTCGTCTGTTGCGAAACCCCGCGGCTGCCTCTTCCTTCGAAGCGCGGCAGTCACAACTCGAGCAGCATGATCTCATAGCTGTTGAAGCAAAATGAACATTATCGGGTCCGCAGCATCGACAAGCCATAATCACGTCGAGAGTTGGGGTCGAACTTGACACCTTGGGTGGCTATGGGGTTGGGTGTAAGCAATAGCGCAGCTGCTCCGCCCCTCGCTTGACGAGAGTGGTGGTCTGCGTTTGGTCATGACAGGTCGGTCTGGACGACGACTTTTGGCATGACTTCCGTATAACCAACCCACCGCGTCAATGACGAGATAATCCATTTGCTGGGCTTCAGCAAAGCTCGGTCGGAATGGTGGGCCTCTCGACCTCATTGGCTTCTGACACGCCTGGTTGCTTGATGCGGACAGTCAAGTGTGACACCGAGCATTGGCACATGGTTGTACAAGCCCTGGGGAGACAGTGCTACCCGGCATCCAACTTCATGGCCATTCCTTTGTTGAGGTTGCCCTCACAGGCGAGCCTGTGGGCGCTTCATGGTCCTGTGGGTTTGACCAAAAGAAATCGGACACACGAGAACGCAACGCAGGTCAATTTAGAAACCGTCCGCGTTGACAGGCACGGTAACACAAGCGACTTATTTCCACGTGTGTAGGCAATGCTGTGCGCAGCACTTGACCTGCTCATCGCGCTCGATAGGCCTTGCATGTTGTCCGCTCTGCTTTCGCGCATCTTGGAATCTGCCAGTATTCCCGGGTCGACCACGGGTCGACGGCAGCTGGTGCACATCCACCTTCCTGGCCTCATCCGAGATTCTGTGTGTGCCTCGGGGGCCCGCTCGGGGGCCGCTCGCTGCATAGCCAACGTCGACCTGCAGTGTAATTCATGCACGCCTGGGGCCGACGGCTGATCTCACACGGCATCTGTGGCCCGACGACGTTATAGCTGCCTTGTGTGCAAAGCTGTGGAACTGCATCAAGGTGACTGCGTAGCATTGACAGCCGTGGACCAGAACCTATCTCTGCGGTGCTACGCCGTGGGTTTGCCGATGATTTAGCTCCGGCGTCATTCATGTCCGGATTGTCTCTGGACAAATTGCAGATACGAAAGCCGATCAAGCCTCGTGCTGTCGACCGCGTCTTGGACCCTCAAGTTTGGCCAGGACAAGAATCACACCCTCGTCGTCGATCCTGTGCAAGCCCTCCACACAAGCTGGCCCATCCTGCGAGCTTGACAAGCGACCCGGGCCCCATGTCACCACAAGTTCAGAGGTGCCAGCTCTGAAGATGCCGAAACGTTCCAACCCAATGGCGACGAGCAGACCGACCACGACAGTGACCAAGACGTGCATGGTCGTGAGACACGCAAGAAGACAAGCGACGACCGAGGATTCCCCTCAGGCATGTGGCAGGCCAGCAGCACGCATGGCGGTGATCCTCCAGTTGAGCCGTTGGTGAGCCCGGCCTGCTTCCGCCGCCTGCCACGGCGTACGAGGAACAGCTGCGCGGGGCAGCTACAGTACTGTTCGTACCGGAGTACTTGGTACAACTGGGGAAGATCCACGCTCGAGATCAACGGCATTGGGGGTCCTCTTCACGGGCAGCCCCACGATCCGGCAACGCTTGATCCACTCTGGCGCACATGGCAAGCCGCCTGAAGGAGCGACTGCATGGCAGCCTGTCTGCTCGGACACCCGTGGTACGTCAACGTCTCATCCAACCCGTCCCACGATGGGGTATAGGATGGTTGGCTGGCTTGGGTGGGTGACATATGACGAGGCTGCGCTCGTTTCCCTGGGCGGGCGAGAGGGAAAACTTGCTTTGGGCCTCACTGGCCGTCACCGCAGCCGATTGGAGGCCGCGGAGGTGACCTCGCAGATGCTAAAAATGGAGCATGCGGGAAGGCACCCATTGGCAGACCGGAGATCTGGGACAACCATCAAGCATGGCCAGTGGCCGACCACGCATTAACTCACCTGGCGCTGCGAATGGCTGACCCAGCATTCCCAAAGACATGCCCAGCAGGGTGAGACGATGAGGGGGGGCACGAGAGTTCGCGTAGGATCTCACGAGCCCTGTTCGCGTCTCTCCCAGCGAAACGCTCTGGGCCGCACAACCCTCACTAATCAGCCCAGTCCCTTTGCTTGGGCCGCCAGAGCGGCAGCCTGTCTGCCTTGCTTAGATGGGATGCTGCCCAGACGATGCAAGATCCAGACGGATGGGCCCTCGCGAGAAGGGGGCCGCTGACGGCTGGTTTGGGGCTGCCGCCTTTGGCTTTGACAGGAGACTCGTCTTTTGCCGGATGCAGCATTGTGCGTCATTGGCGGTCTCGACTTTCCTCTGGGCCCGTGGATGGATCCATATCCACAAGTCAATCAATTGACATGGACGGGCTAGCGAGCGAACAAACCCTTGGGACAGAATGTGACTGCACAGTAACGGTACCCAAGACAGCAAAGCTTGGAATAGTTCCCGGGACGATCCCACGTTATTGGGCTTTGTGGCGCGGCACTGCGGCAAGCTATCCCAGGTATCGTCGCCTACCAAGATGCCTCAATTTCCCCATCTGCCCACTAGTAGATAAAGGGATCTGGGACCACTGCAAAAAGCAATCACGATTCGTGGTCAGCATGTCCCCGCGGGGTCATGGAAGCGCTCACGATCGTATGATTCCGGGCTGGTCGGGCTGGCTGGCAGGCAGGGCTGGGCCATGGCACAATGCGCTTCATTCAGCAGCAGTGCGCTTCGACGGTTTCGACGGCATCGGCCGCTGTCGTCATGCCGTAATGGCAACAAATGCGGAGGGTTTTGGCCGGGGGCTTCATGCTGGAGCGCACGAGGCTCGGCCTTGCACCCTGCTCGAGTATCACTGCATCGACATGTCCCAGGGGTGAGATGGAATCTGGACCTCTTCCAACGTTCTAGGGCTAGGAGAGAAGTGGAAATAAAAACCGTCGATCTCCCCTACTGTTGGCGTGTTGTTGCTGAGGTTTTCCATCTCATCTCGCAAATCGCCATTTCATATAGCTAGCTACCCTTGGGCTCCGAGGGACGCGTCGGCCGTCGCTTGGCAACGGAATGAGGAAAGAGTCTTCCTGTTGGATGGCACGCCACAAGGTCTCGAGATACACGCTGCGCTCTGTGGTAGAATCACAAGCTCACACGCAGATTACACTGCAATGTTAGAAGAGGTGATATCCCACAGGAGGCCATCATACAGAATGTATGCTGGCTGTCAAGTCACACAATTAAATACTATGATTTGCCAGAACCCTTGTGAACTATACGGGCAGCAATTTTCAAGAGCGGTGGCTGACGAGTTTGTTCTGACGATGGACCTGTACGTAGATGGGCCTAGCTATTTAACCTAATTTTTAAGCAGCGATCCCTTGGGGACAAATGCTGGGGATCGGCAACAACGCCGTCACTGCATGCTGACAGACACTTGTAGGGGGAGAAATTAACGATGCGACAGCGCCTCGTCAGCCAGTAGTCGAGCTGGACCTCGAGCTCGAGTGAAGATTCGAGAGCCTCGAGAGCCTGGAGAACCTCGATGCTTTGCTCTCCTTTCGCCTGACAGTTACAGCCACCGCGATTCCTAAACGCTAGTGCAGGTACCTGGACGTCAAAGAAAGAACGGAAGGCCGGCAGAGGTTGTCTGTTGTTCCCTAGGACCCGTCCGGCAGGACGAGGGAGCTGCACTCGTCCTGCGAACAGAAACTCACCCTAGCAGAGGCTGGCTGTCTTTTGACCGGCCCGGGCAGAGGAGAGGCCATCGTCTCATGGGAGGTTGCAAGAGGATCCCAAGGTGGTCAAGTTGTGTGCTAACTTTCGAGGTCCCTGCGTCGTGCATGTGCATGTGTGTGTGTGTGTGTGCGCGCACACGATGCAGTGCGAGAGACTGAAGAGGCTTAGCCGGGGTGGCATTCTAATAAAAGAGAAAGCAGGGAACAGACCTCTCCAGGGCAATCCTTGGCCGGGCAGAGTCCAGACAGAGAGGATGTGCCCCATCTCGGAGTTGTACTGTATGTGTGTGTATGTGCGTATGTGTGGAAGGCTGTGCTGTCCTGTGCTGTGCTGTATTATCCTGCTTGAGTCAACTGCAGGTACATAGCTGCTGTCGTTGTTTGGGTTTGCAAACTTGCTTTCAGAGCCCTCCCCCGTCGGAAAAGGCCAGGGCCAAGCTGTGATTTCATACCTGCAGTACCAACCTCACTGCTTGAGGACGTCAAGTGTAGGTGCCAACTCGGGCAGGTAGGGGACCGGATCACCCTGTGCAGTATGCACAATGTACCTTTCTAGGCATACTGCCGAATGTACTATGGTACCCGGTAGCCACGGTACAGCACCTGTGGAGCCCCTGTGGGCCCCATCCACCAGCCCTCTGGCCTTGGTGCTTGGTGCTTGGTGCTTGGTGCTTGGTGCTTGGTGCTTGCTGGTCATCCGGACAGTCCCAGTCTCCCAGTCTGCCAGCCAGCCAGCCCGCTCCTCCCCTTCAGCGCCGGCCTGGTCTGGTCTGGTCTGGTCTGCGCCTAGCCCACCTGGCAGTTGGGCGGCCCAGAAAAACACAGGGGTATCCAAGTACCCCAGGCCCAGAGCACCCATGGACGTCACTCATCACTGCTCCAGCCTCCAGCCTGCCTGGGTCCTCCCAAGCCCAGCAAGCAGCACCAGCAAGCAACGGCGAAGCGAAGCGCAGCAGAGCACAGCAAAGCCCAGCCCAGCCCGGCAGTCTCCCAGTCCAACTGAACTAAACGTCGTTTCGCCCATTTCCCTCCACAACACGACTTGCACTTGCACTCGGTCGCTCATCTTTCGTGACCACAATCCACTCCTTTCAGCCCAGCCCGCTGCTTGCACCCCACGCTACCAGATCCAAAGCTTTCGTCCTGACTGCACACACCACATCGAGAACCTGCCTCTGATTCAATCCTGGCTTCAACGCTGCGACCGGCTTGCCTGTGTCCCTGTGCTGATCTACAGCGCTGTCAGCACGGTCGTCCTTGCGCGCCGTCACCTTCACGATGACGTCCGCCGCAAACCCTCCAAACCCCCCCAATATTCACCCTCCGACCGCTGCAGCTACTGCAAACCACGGCGGAGGGCCAACAACCCAGCCCCCCACAACTGCCTCTCACGCGTCGCCTCCCAGCAAACGAGATCTCAAGTCGTGGTGGAAAAATTTCAAGCTCTCCAAGCATGACGAGTCACATGGTGAAGATCCCTCCACTCCTTGCGCTGCTCTTCTAGAACAATGGGTTTCTCTTCCGGGGGCCTGGCACAGCGACGGCTCTGATCAAGTGCTGTCCCTGGAACATGTCTCGCAGCAACGCGCTCATCCAGGCGGCCCTGTCGCACCTCTGCTGCTCAGGCCCGCCCGCAGCTTCATCTCCAGCCCTGGCTGGCTGGGCAGGGCCTCCCAGAGGCGCAAGACGCGAGCGCGCACCTCCCTCAGCGCCTGCTCGGACGAGAGCTTACGGGCTTGCCCTTCTCTTGATCTTTGCACCATTGCTCCTCCGGATACGGCCCCGCTGACTTATGCAGAAACGAAAGCACCCGGTATCTTCGGCGTGCCGTTGCGACAGAGCATCGTCTACGCGAACGTCGCCATATCGCTAGTCGACGACCATGGCAAAAGTTACATCTACGGATACGTCCCGATCGTGGTCGCGAAGTGTGGGGTTTTCCTGAAAGAGAAGGGTACGTACATGTGAAGTCGCCTTCCAAAACTACGGGACACCGTACTGATGCGGAATTACAGCAACAAACGTCGAGGGAATTTTCCGGCTGAATGGGTCCGAGAAGCGCATCAAGGAGCTCAAACAGGTCTTTGACTCCCCGGACCGCTACGGTAAGGGCCTCAGTTGGGATGGTTACACGGTCCACGACGCAGCAAACGTGCTTCGGCGGTACCTCAACGATCTCCCAGAGCCGGTCGTGCCACTTGAGCTGTATGAGAACTTCCGGGGCCCGCTAAAAGGCGCGACCAAGTCGGCTGTTGGCGATGCCGACGGGCCCCAGTTCATCGACGAGTTCGACGTCGAGGCCGCCATTATCAAGTACCAGCGTCTCATCACACAGCTCCCTCCTCTGAACCGACAGCTTCTGCTCTACATCCTCGATCTCCTGGCGGTCTTTGCAGCCAAGGCAGACGAGAACCGCATGAACTCGCAGAACCTAGCAGCCATCTTCCAGCCTGGCATGCTCTCGCACCCCAGGCACGCCATGGCCCCGGAGGAGTATCGCCTTAATCAATGTGTCCTCATATTCCTGATCGAGAACCAGGACCATTTCCTGATCGGGATGCAAGGCACTGCTGCAGATGAGAAGACGGTCCAGGAGGTCCAGAAAGGCACCCCGGTCATCAACGCACCTGCGACGCCCAGCTCATCTCGCAAGTCCGGTGTCCATAGATCTGCGTCAAACGCCAGCGCGGCTGCAGAAAGCATATCTCGGGAAGGCATGATTCGACGTAACAAATCAACCAGCTCGAGACACTCGCGCGCCTCCAACGGCGCCCCAAGCCCTGGCAGTCCTGCCCTTGCATCAACACCGTCTAGCGGGCTCGGCAGGAGCAACACGGTTCCGTCCAAGAGATCACCGGCAATACAGTCTGGGAGGTTTGCGCACATGAGGAACGAGGGTGCCGCAGCGCCTGTGTCACCATTGACGCCTGTGGTTCCATCGTCCGGGAACATACCAGCTCCTCCCACAGTCGAAGAGGTGGCAACGCCAGAAGCCAGCGAGCACGCAGATCCACTAGCCGGCAGGAAAGGTGGCTTGACACCTGGATACGCGCCGGAACGAAGCCAGGAGCGCCTGCTGGAGCCCAAGCCAGCTCCCGAGGCCGCGACCACCCCGACCAAGGAGCGGAACCTGAGCAGCCTGTTCCAGCGCTCACCGACGGAAAACAGCGAGAAGAAGCCACCCAACAAGCTTCGGAAAAAGCGCGTGCCGAGCACAAACCCCAGTGCAGCAAGCTCTGCCGCCTCTCTTGCTCATTCCAGCGCGGTGTCGCCAACTGCCGAGACGTTCAATCCGATCGAGAAAATGACAGAGTACCCGCGCCAAGAAGCCGAAGAGGCAGCGCAGGACTTGTCGAGGCCGGAGGCTATAGATACGCCCTCTGAACCGACACCACGAGCCTCGCAGATGCCGTCAAGCGGGAACCTACCCACCGAAAATGCAGAACACGGGCTGAGAACCCATCAGTCGCCACCAACATCACTGCACAGCTCGTTTAATGAGGGTTCTGATGTCGATCGCGTGGAAGAGCCAATACCGTCCATCGAGCAGGTCGAGCATGGCGAACAGCAGGACAGGAAGCGACGATGGCGACTGTCTCGCAAGAAGGAAGACTTGGCCGAGGCCCATGAGCCTTCCGTGACATCACCTCGCAGGATTGGGTTTAACAGGACAGCCGAGACCAGCAATAGCTCAGTTGGTACCGATCTGAACAAGCCTCGGCACAGTTTTACGGGTGAGTCCTCCGAGCCGACCTTGGAGGCTCACTCCAGCCTCGACTCGGGCAGCCGAGACGCGAGGGATAACAGGGAGGAACCGAGAGGCTTCTCGGGGTGGATCAAGAACAAGATGCGGGAGGCCAAAGAGAACGCCGGACGGACCAAGTCGCCACCTGGTGATCGCGGATCCATCAGCTCGGCCCTTCCCGTGCGTGGAAAGAGCCTCGACATCAAGCGGCCGACCGAGGCAGAAAAGGATGCCCCTCAGAAGGCGCAAGAAGCCAATGCATCTCAGCACTGACGCTCGGGCTCCTTGTCACACACACCAATCTGGCCATGAACAGGATATGAGCGTCAGCTGTGGATGTACAACTACGATGTACGATTTTAATGCCCCTCTTTGGTTCCCAACTACACCCGGAATTACAATCATGGACCCGATTTTATTAATGTTTTCAATCTTCACTTTACGGCGGTTGGTTCGGGAATCGCCAGGCCAAGGCAGGGAATTATGCAAGAGATCAAGACAGCCATTTTGAAAGAGCAAAAGACCACAGCAAGAGGTACCAGGAAAAGGGCGGCTAGCTTATCGCTGGAGTGACGGAACACGCAGAGATGAGGAGAGGGATCAACTTTTGTTCGAACCATTTGGCCCAAGCTTTCACAATGTCATCCGGTCAGGAAGGCTTTTTGAGAGAAAGCGAGGGTGTTGCCACTATGCTGGCGACGGCACATGTTGATATTACCTGTTACTACTGCTGCTGCTGCTGCTGTTTGAGGATACCCTGGTTTAGTTACCTGCCCCATACGCAGTTTGGGAATGAGAAGGACGAGTTTTACGGACCACAACCGCCGGGTGATGCTTTTTTTCCCACTGCTCCCATTTTTACTGAACCTCAACTTGCTGCTGCTGCTGCTGCTGCTGATGATGATGATGACTGACTGGCTGGCTGGCTGGTCCGAATCGCCCAGCTGCAGCCATTCTCGGACAGCCACGTGTGCATCCATTCCCTGCGAGAGACGGGGTGCCACGCGAGTTCCTGGCCATCAGCAGCCGCGTGGCCGGGTCGGGGCATGATGGGACGCAATCTCGCCCGCGTCGCACAGAATCCTGGAACCGGGAAGAGGAGAAAAAGAAACGTCTCAGAGATTAATTGTTCCTGCGGCCTTGATTACGGTGGCCGTGTGACGGCCGGAACTTCTGCTGGCGTTTTTTTCCTCTCTTATTATTTTTCTTCGTGTTCTTGACCTCTTGGGATTCCCGGCCATTGTCGACGATGACAGCTATTACCATCTCCAATGCGGTTGTAAGTAAAGTCACGCGTGGCCACGTGTGAATGCTCATCTGTCACATCTGGAGGATGTGATGATCTCCCGTTGACGACGGCCAGATGGGGCAGAGATTTGCTGTCTCGATCGATGCTGCCACAGACATCACATCTATATGATGACCCAGGCAATTGTTGCCCCGTGGGCGAAGTACCGGGCTCGCCTCGGACCACTAGGAGCCTGGGGGGGTCTCTGGGGTTCAAGGTGCAGTAGCGCGGCCGCTTCCCCACAGGGGCTAAGGCTGTTTAAGGTTGAACCTATGGGGAATTTCCCCAGGTCCCTGGCATATCTGGGAGCGAACTCGGCGTGTTCTTCTCCCTGTGTTTTTTCAATCTTGTTACAAATGTGGGAGGGCATGCCGGTCCTGACTGTGCCTCGGTTATGAGGGCGAAAGGAGTCCTTCCAGAATGAGTCAAAGTGTCTCTCCCTTCTCAAATATGGAATCAGAACCAATGGGCGAGAGGGGGCCCACGGACATGGAATCATAGCGTGGCGGCCGCCCCAGGGCAACGTTGACATCACCCATCATAGTACAAGCACAGATAACTAGGACAAAACGAGCCCCTCCCAGCAGTGGCTGCTGAACCCCGCCGGCAACCATCATCCAGCCAGATTACTGTGTAGAACTAACCCCTCGGGGGACGCAAGTGAGATTTTAGACCGCCATGCCCAGGCGAGTCGCCGGCCCACGGCAACACGAAGCAGTGGCCCGGGATGATCTGGACGAGTGGGTAGGAAGGTATGTCTTCTTCTATCACCGACGGGCAGGGCAGGGCAGGGCAGGGCAGGGCAGGGCAGGGCAGGGCAGGGCAGGGCAGGGCAGGGACGGCAGCCGCTGCTGTCTCACTTTGAGAAATATGTGTGCCACGGAATCCCGATGTTCTAGCGGTGTTCCCTCGTCCCGCCCACCACACGGTGGCACAGCGGCGCACGAGGCGGAGACATACCACGAGATGGAGCTGCACCCGCCCGTCTTGGCTCGGACGGGGGACGGGATGGGCGGAATTTTTTTCTTCTTTTTTTGCCTGGTGGGCGAGGTCATTAACTCGACTGGTGCCAGCGGGACGGCCGAGGAAACCCTGGGAAATGTGCGCGTTCCTTGGTGATGTTAAGAGCGCAAATACCAGGGAAACTGCAATTCAATGTTGAGAGTATTCATCGTGAACGCTTCTGAAATATTTCACCAGATATTACAACATACCCAGAGGTAAGTGACATCGTAGCTGTGGGGAGGGCCAAACTCGATTTGGCATGGCGCTGGGGTAAGTAGGAGCGCGGGCTGGGCGAGTGACTCCGAGGACGGGGTCGCCTCTCACTGCGTGTGGACCAGGCTGACCAGGAAGTGAAGCAAGGTAGGTCGATTCGAAGGGACCTACATGCAAGGTACCTCTTCTAAGCTACCTAACCTAGGTATTTATTTGCTTCTGCCATCCTCCCCGTCGCACACCTCTTCCTCCATCATCTCTCCCGCCCCTTCCGTAGCAGCGAGTATTGTGAGCCTCGCCTGAGCCTTCTTGACCTCGACGTCGCACCTGAAGCCAAGGCCCTGCGACCATGTTCACCAAGAAGTCCCGTAAGTGCCGAGCTCACCTTCTCTGGTTTTGGTGCGATCATGACGATGCGGGATGGGGAAAGCTGCGAATGGCCCAACACTGCCTGGCGATATATTTCGATTTGTCGACTTACACTCGTTCTGAGGGATAACCTCCTGGGATACATAGCCCAACGCAGACAAACCTGCATTGAACACGGCTGACCAAGAGTCACAGCTCCAGCCCCGGCCGAGGACGGCGGCATCGACGTCCGCAGCGATGGGGTCGGGGCCAAGGAGGGCGGATCCCCCACCGGCCTCTACGCCGGGGACAGGGAGGCCGGCTACTCGGACGACTACGACGAGCTGGGCGTCGCCTGCCCGCCTCACACGACCGAGAGGAAGCTCATGGCCCGCATCGACCTGCGCCTCCTCCCCTTCATCAGCATCCTGTACCTGCTCGCCTTCCTGGACCGCGTCAACATCGCCAACGCCCGCTCCTTCCACCTGGCCGAGGACCTGCACCTCGGCGGCACAGAGTACAACACCGTCCTCGTCATCTTCTTCGTCCCCTATGTCTTCTTTGAGATCCCCTCCAACATCCTGCTCAAGAAGCTCTCCCCGAGGGTCTGGCTTTCGTTTTGCGGGATAGCGTTTGGCTTGGTCACCGTATTCCAGGGCCTGACGCAGAACTACTCCGGAATTCTCGCCACGAGGTTCTTCTTGGGCATCTTTGAATGCGGCATGTTCCCGTGAGCAAAATCCCATGTCCCTTCTGACCGTACTGAAATTTGATCTCACATTTTACCAGCGGCTGCTTTTATCTGCTGGGGATGTGGTATAAGAGAAGCGAAGCACAGAAGCGCTTCACCTTTTTCTTTGCCTCGACCAGCCTCGCTGGTGCGTTCGGCGGGTTGTTGGCCTCCGCGATTGGCAAGAGTGAGTTGACCCGATCCATGAAGTACGTCCTTATTTAGCAAAACTACTAAACACATGTCCTCGCTTCAGTGGACGGCCTCAGAGGCTACCATGGCTGGCGCTGGATCTTCATCATCGAGGGCGCCATCACAGTGCTCGTGTGCATAGTCTTCCTCTTCACCTTCCCGGCCTTCCCGGAGCAGGCCAAGTGGCTCACCGAGCCGGAGCGCGACTACGTCAAGGCTCGCCTGCAGGCTGATCTGGGCCACAACGCCGCCGAGCGCAAGGTCACCCTCAGCGACGTGCTCACCGTACTGCGGGACCCCAAGGTCATCGTCGGCGGTTTCATGTACTTCGGTCTGATCGTCCCGGCGTACGGATATGCCTACTTCGCGCCGTCAATCATTCAGGCCTACGGCTACAGCCCCATCCAGACGCAGCTGCACAGTGTTCCGCCCTGGGCTGTCGCCTTCGGCTTCAGCATGCTCGTCGCCTTCGCCTCGGACCTCGCCCGCCACCGGTTCCTCTTCACCGTCATACCCATCCTCATCGCCATCAGTGGCTTCGCCATCCTGCTGACAGTCCACGACCGCACCAGCGTCAAGTACGGCGCGCTGTTTCTCGTCGTCATGGGTACCTATTCGGCCATGCCGGTCATCGTGTGCTGGTTCAACATGAACCTCGGCGGCCACCACCGCCGCGCCATCGGTTCCGCGTGGCAGATCGGGTTCGGCAACATCGGCGGCATCATCTCCACGTACGCCTTCCTCGCCAAGGACGCGCCCTTCTACAAACCGGGTTACAGCATCTGCATCGGCTTCATCTGCCTGAGCTTCGTGAGCTGCTGCGTCTACGCCGCGCTCATCACGTGGGAGAACCGCAAGAGGGAGAGGACGGTGCGCGCGAACCTGACTGACTATGAGAAGACGGAGCTGGGCGATTTGAACCCCGAGTTCAGATATATGCTCTGATTCAGCGGGTGGAGGGGATGTGTTCTCGACTTGCCGCCATTTCGTCCTTGGTATACTAGATTTGCGTTTATAGTATGCAGACAAATGCTCTCAGTATATGAGATGTATGCCGTTTGAAAGGAGGCAAATGCTCGGCTGACTGAGAGCTATATAAACATACTGTCCTTACACAACTTGATTACTCACAAGTGAATGTTAGACTATTGACTAGCACATTAGGATGACTCTCATTGATCTCATACATGATGAGTCTGCGGCATCACGATAGAATCGCTCCACGAAAGACCTAGACTAGTCTCTATATACTCCGGTATCCCAGACAGCCAGATACCCTTCTTTTCTGTCATCATCGCTGAATAGTCCGTTCCATCCTCGCCAGACCCGCTTCAAATTCACCCCCATGTCTGCGCTGTCGAAAAAGCCCGTCAAGGCCATCTCCATGCTCTCAAACCCAACGATGTACCGCGGCACCTCGCCAACGCGATTTACAACTCCAGCTTGGGCCTCGCTACGTTCCAGCGGCCACATCTCCCCCGCCAGGAAGTCGACACCCCATAGATCGCTGGAATCGAACCCGTGAAAGAACCTCTTGGTCTCGTCCATGTAGGTCTCACGCTCCACGCTGCCTGGCGCAGTGTGCAGAGGAGGCTCACACGTCAACGCGCGCGCGCGGAGAGACGGGTACACGAGGTGTGAGCGCCAGGGCGTGGCGTGGCACGGGGTCAGGAACAGAGCGAAGAGTTCGTCGGTCTCGTTGCCGAAGTTTGGTGCTGCTGATTGCGCAAGGCTATGATAGTGGCTGAGGACGGGTTGCTCAGGGTGAAGGCCGAGACGGTCGGGATGAACCCGTTCGTACTCGTGTCGAAGGAAGTGCATGACGGATATGGGCGCTGCGACGTGGAAGAGGGAGAGGTACGTTGCTATGACCAGATTGACGGAGATGAGGCCGGCGAGGAGGGCGGTCCTGCTCTGGGAAGGCTGCTGGCCTGGAGCGGCCGAGAAGAAGGAGGCGAAGGACGGGGCTGCGAGAATATGCAGAGTTGGCAGAAGGGGAAAAATGAAGCGGACCTCCTTATGCGAGACCACAGAAAGCACCGCAATGGTGCTGATGACCGTGTAGGCCAGCGTTCTGAGGGTATTCGATTGCGTCGCCGTGGCACCCGGAGTCGACGATACCGCAAACGTATACAAGCCCACGAGCGCAAACGGCAGGAAGGTCATGGTGAGCTGGGTGATGCCCTGAGATAGGTAATAATGCCATACCATCTCTCCATAGAAGACAGCGAGGTCTTGTGTCAGGTTGAAGTGAAGCCAATGGTACGGTGGGAACGTCCATTCGCCAAAGTAAAGACGGTCAGACACAGCGGACAAGGCCAGGCCAGCACTCCCACACAGGACAGCCTCCCTGAAGAGGACTAGGGCGACCCTCAAAGTGATGGGGCTTTTCCCACGGAGCGTCAAGCGTGTGAACGCTACCATGACTACAGTGCCCCAGATGAAGACGTTGGTCGGCCTTAGGAGAACCGCAATCGCGGCAAGAAAAAGAGACGCCCGGAGGCTGGCAAGACGCTCCCTTCTCGCTGGGGAGCCACCATGAGTCTCTGAGGCGTCGCCCAGTAAGTCCCAGGGCCAGTAGTTCAAGGCTGCTATGGTAAGAGTCATCTCGAGGGAATTCGAGAAGGTCCTCGCGGAGCAGTACCATTGCCACGGGTTGAGCACGGTCACGCACAAGGCGGACCAGGCGGACCTGCTGCCCTGGCCATAGACCTTCTCGGCGAGCTTCCAGGTGTACAGGTCAGCCAGCACAGCGAGGCACGCCTGAACCAGCTTGGGCAATACGACCAGCACTGAGGCCTTGAAGGCAGGCAGGCATGGCAGCACGTGCATGGCCTTGTCTGCGGCCGCATACGCAAGAGCGAACAGGGCTGGGTGGAGTGAGGACCGCAGGTGATATTCCCATTCCTACAACTATCATCAGTCACGGAGTTCAAATACGGCCTTAAGCCCTGAGCAATACGTATGAGTAGACGCACCCACGTCAACCAGGCGCCGCTATGGGGCCCAAAGGCGAGGTTCCATGCCGGCTCGAGGGCTTGGAAGTATTCATCTGGTTGGAAAAAGGTGCGCCCAGTACACAATGCGTTCAGGGTGCGCAACAGGGTCAGGCCTGTCACGACGAAGAGTGGCGGTATGGAAAGCCCATGGTGAGAATGAAGCTGGCGGGCCTCATGAGTGGACATCATCAAGGGGCTTGGTAGATCATGGACGCTTACTCCTGGCTGTGTGCACTCAGATAGTCTAGTTCAATGTTGAGGAAGACATGCAGCCCCTTTCCTAACCCTGAATCCGAGGGTTTGAGGGGGGTGCTGCCGGTTGTTGTCAAATTGACCGACGTTGATTGGCAGCGACATGTTCAGTCGCACTTGCACCTGTCCCTGCAGCCGGAGCCGCAGCCCAGCGTGGGGGAGATTGCGACCCCTCCATCCCGCTATCGGGCCCAGCAGCGCCGTCCAGATTAGCCTGCTGCATCATTTGCCCGGGGTCTGTCCATCTATACTGTGCAGGCTGGCCAAAAAAAAAAGGGCATCAATTGGGAGGACGAAGGGCATTTCTGGACGAGGCTGGTGGTCAATTGATCAATTGAGAAACGCAGACGTCTGACCCGGCTTGAATCATTTGGCAGCACATGCAAGCGCATCTCATTATTCATAGCGGCGGCTTGTCTCGGCTCCTCCGCAGTGCGCTGCCTATCTTGTGACCGCAGAATGACAAGTCGTGTGTAATACCAAAACCAACCTCGCGGTTATACTTGCACTTAGGGGTCTAGTGTGCCACTCTTCAACAATCCTGTCACCGCACAGTCAACAGGATCTGGGACGGGGCTGCCAGGCCTGCTGGGAAACCTGGCCTCATCAGTCTTGCGACTATTTTAGTCCTGCCGCCCCCTCGGCCCCCTTCCTCGACCATCTCGTCTGCTTTGTTCTTCTCTTCTCAACTTACACTTCTTAGCACCACCACGATAACCCCCGAGATCGAAGGGGACAAACAGCCTTACTGACACTGCACACCGCCCGGTCACACACACGTTCGATCCCAATCTCTCGTCGTGCCGTCCCAAAACCCACGGCAGGAACACACAAACCTCGAACCCAAGTCAATATGGCGCCCCACGCAGACAAGGACGTCTCTGCCACCAACGGCGCAAGCAACGGCGCCTCGGGCTACCATGCCACCTCCACCAAGTCCGCCATTGCTGCCGAGAACCAGTTCGCCGCGCACAACTACCACCCCCTGCCCGTCGTCTTTGCGAAGGCCCAGGGCGTCAACGTCTGGGACCCCGAGGGCAAGCACTACCTCGACTTCCTGTCGGCCTACAGCGCCGTCAACCAGGGTCACTGCCACCCAGAGCTGATCAAGGCGCTGACTGAGCAGGCCGGCCGGCTCACCCTGAGCTCTCGCGCCTTCCACAACGACGTCTTCCCCGTCTGGGCCGAGAAGGTGCGCTCCGTCTTCGGCTATGACATGGTGCTGCCCATGAACACGGGCGCCGAGGCTGTGGAGACGGCCATCAAGATCGCGAGGAAGTGGGCGTACAAGGTCAAGGGAGTTCCTGAGAACAAGGCCCTGGTGTTTTCCGCCACCGAGAACTTTCACGGACGGACGGTGAGTGCTGCTTGCGGCTGGGCAGCGTGGCTACAGTCTTATGTATATGAAAATGGAGGCACCGGGATCTAATCACACCACCTATAGATGACGGCAATCTCGCTGTCTGTTGACCCAGAGTCACGGGACAACTACGGCCCCTTCGTGCCCAACATTGGAGCTTTCTGTCCTACCACCGGCGACCCCATCCGCTTCAACAATGTGGCGGACCTGGAGGCCGTCCTCGAGCGACACGGCAAGGAGACCGCAGCCTTCATCGTCGAGCCCATCCAGGGTGAGGCTGGTGTCGTGGTGCCGGACGACGACTACCTCAGCAACGTTTCCGCCCTGTGCAAGAAGCACAACGTCCTCTTCATCTGCGACGAGATCCAGACGGGCATCGGCCGCACCGGCAAGATGCTCTGCCACCAGTGGGCCGACATCAAGCCCGACCTGGTCACCCTCGGCAAGGCCATCTCCGGCGGCATGTACCCGGTGTCGTGTGTTCTTGGAGACAAGGACGTCATGCTCGTGGTCGAGCCGGGTACCCACGGCTCCACTTACGGTGGAAACCCGCTGGGCTGCGCCGTCTCCGTGCGCGCTCTGGAGCTCATCGAGGAGGAGGACATGGTCGGCAAGGCCGAGAAGCTTGGCAACATCTTCCGTGAGGGTGTGGCCGCCTTCAAGTCGCCGCTTGTCTCCAAGGTGCGCGGCAAGGGTCTGCTCAACGCCGTTGTCATCGACGAGTCTGCCACCAATGGACGATCTGCGTAAGTTGAACCCCTAGATCCACAGGAGAGGAGTATTTGCCGGGTATTGGACCCTCCAGAGTTTCAAGATGCGCGCATCTGGTTCTCCCTACGTTCCCATCTCTGTAAGGAGACGGCTAACGGTGAACAGCTGGGATCTTTGCATTCTCCTGAAATCCAAGGGTGTTCTGGTAAGTCATTTCCCAATGTCCACCGATGGTCCAGCTGTCGTGTGCTCTCATGACCGCCTGTCTCCCTCACCGCCTATCCCGCATGGGCCGCTGCAACGTACAAAGCAGACTGCAAAAAGCAGCAGAGGGCTAACGCGACGCAGGCCAAACCGACTCACGGTAACATTATCCGGTTCGCTCCTCCGCTCGTAATTAGCGAAGCGGAGCTGCGCAAGGCCCTTGACATAATTGGCGAGGCCCTGAAGGAGCTCCCTAACGCACAGAAGGCCGAGCATTGAGTGGAGACAGCTGGAATCCGGGGGATGCGATGGAGCCTTGGTCCGTGTGACACTGGACCCCGGCTCAGTTGGCCAGACGACGGACGTCATCCAGCCAACACACAAGACATCAATCCCTACGGGCACCGTTTACCGCCCTGCTAGCTGATGGGAAGGACTTGTTAAGAGGAGGGAATTTACCGGGCGAAAAGAACGTCTTTCTCAGCGGTGGGGTTCAGGAAACGGTATGGCGTCGTCAGCACCTGCGGCTCTGCCTGGGGTTCTCCACAGACCCCCTGGTACAGCTCAGCAGGCAGCCGGCGGCTCCCTTGAGCATGATGACGCGGGTTCGATCGGACTCGTGGTTGTTATAGGCAACTGGAACAGGGAGGCTGGTGCGTGGTACACCAGGACGGTTTTGGAACGGACCAGAGTGTAGCATGCGCCGTCTTCGTTACTAGTGGTGGTGAGCCCCTAGGGCAGGACAGATAGACTTCGGAAGAATTCTAGATGACCATCTCACCGAAGCATATGGTTCAGCATGGTGACATCGTAACTGAATGAGCAGCCACGCTTGGGTCTCTCCCCAACTCAATAGGAGTGAGAGATCCGCTCTGATTGGTGTGAGACTCAGATACACGACGATGCGATTCCCATAAGGTTGATCTGAGCGCCTGGGTCGCTTGAAAGGCCTCTCACAGAGCCATGGATTTTTTTCACGAAGTGAAAGGCGGCTCATCTGATTGCCCTTCAGTATGCGGCGCCCAATAGTCGAATTTCAACAAGTGTCGATAGGGACTTGCTTAAGTCGAATCACCCCTGCTGGACAATCCCTGGCGCACGACTTCAATTATGGAGGTGTGGTACCTAGAGAATGACTGCGACTGCGTTCGGGGAATTTGCTATTCTTTTATGGAGCAATACCTATTTATGCATTCCCCCTGCCTCGCGCATAACGTCAACAAGATACTGCTCCCAGGATTCTGTTGCACGCACATCCCTAACCCTGGTTTATAACTACTTTCTAGAATGCTTAAATAGCCAGATTTCTTTTATTTCCTCCTTTTAAACTACTTTTAAGAAATAAACGCTTTTATAATTATGCTTTTAAACCCCTTACAATACTTATAGCCTTTTATAATTATAAGCTTAGTTTACATAAAATAATCTTTCCTTTTTATAAGCTATAAATAAGTTATATAAAGCATATCTTAATTACATTTATTTTATATTATTTATTTCCTTTTATTTTTAAGTATGTATTTATATAATAGTTATAAATGCTTTTTTAAACCTTATTAATTAAGTAATTTATTTAAATACCTATTCCTTTCTTACTTAGTTTGCTATATTATAATTTTATTATTAAATTAAGAGGTGCTAAAAATTTATAAACCCTAATCCATTAAACGCAGCCCTTATTAAGCTATTAAATATAATCTTAAAATTAAATTCTTAATTTATATAGTATAAAAAGAAAAGAAAAGATATTTAAAAGGCTTTATATAATAAGTATTAAGAGCGTTTAAGCAATAATAAGCTTTTAAAAAACGAAATAATACTTACTTTATTTTCTCCCTTATTCTTTAGCAAATTAAAAAAGGAATATAATTAATATCTTTAATAATAAGTTGCTTTAGCTCTTAATAAGGCAATTAAATTTAGCAAAAGATAAAAAATTTAAAAATAAATATAAAAAACGGTATTAGCTTAATTCTTTCCCTATATTTAATTAAAATAATAAATATAAAATAATTCTCCATTTAATAAGTAATTTAAAATATTAAAAATAATCTTATACTTTTTAAGTTAAGCATAATAAATACCTTTTAAACTTAATATTAATAATACTTAAAAAAAGCAAAGAAATTAAGTATTAAACCATAATAATAATACTAAAACTTTATAAACTTATATTTATAGGCTTGCATTTATAAATTACCTAAAATTAAGGAATTTACTAATTTAAATAACTTCTTATAAGTAATTACAATATATATTACCCTTAATTAAGTAATTCCTAAGCGTTAAAAACTTATTAAATAAAATGCATTAAGAAAACCCATTTATTTCTTAAAAATCTTATTTAAAGAATTAGCGGCATTTTTATATTATAATAAGCTTATATTAGCCTTTAAAAATATCATAATATTTATTATATTAAAATTAAAAGTACCTTTTAAAATAAAAAGTAATTAAATAAGGACGCAATTAAGGAATGAAAATACGTTATTTTAATTGCATTAATAAAATAAAATATATAAGTACTTTTACCGGAAAACTAATTAATAAAAGGAATATACTTAACCTTTTGCTAATTACCGCTGCTTTTATTTCACGCTTTTAAGGAAATAAATCTTAAAGTTAAAAATATTTTTAAAGAAACCTAAATATAATAAGATTAAAATATAATTATAAGAAAATCATTATAAAAACTTAATTTAAAAGCTTACTTAAAAAAACTTTTTACTTAAAGATTAAACATAAAGCTTATTAAGAATATTAAAAACCCTCTTAAGTGCATTTTTAGGAGCTATTAAGGGATAATATCTTAATTTCTTCCTTTTATTTTATTTTTCCTTATAAAGCAAACTTATGCTTTTTTAAACCTTAATTTTAAAAAATTAATTAATTAATAATACCTTTATTATATTTTTATTAATTCTTTATTAATTTATTTATATTTTAATTAATTTATTATAACTATTAATTATAATTAATTCCCTAAGAATATATATAACCTTAAATTCTATATTATATCCTTTATTTTTAAGCATAATCTTAAATAATTACAGCGCTATTTACCTTATTAACTTTATTAATTATTTAATTTTAAGCATTTTTAAAAAAGCTATTAAGATGAATATTATTAAAGCAAGGACTTTATTTTTAAAGGTTTTAGGCTATAGGATAAGGCGCTTTAAAAATATATTATATAAAGTTAATAGAAAAAGGATTAAGGATTTAATCTTGGAAAATATAATAATTATAAATAAATTTTATATTAATATAATATTAAAAGCACTTTTATAAAAATTAGGCATTTAGTATTATAGAATTAATTTAATATTATGCTTTAAATTACTTAAATAAAGCATTATTCTTCTTAAATTTATTTAATAATATAATTTAATCTTTTTTAAATATATATTATTATAATTTCCTTATTTTTATTTTTTATTATAAATACTTATAAGCGTTATAGGTATATATAAGCTTGCAATTTTTTAATAAACTTAATAAAACCTTTTAAACTTTTTTAGCACTTAAATAAGGATTAAGAGGACTTAATAACCCTTTGGCATTTTTAATTTAAATACTTAAGGGCTAACGCTCTTAAATTGCTAGTTTAATATACCTAAAGCGTAAAATTTAAGGAAATTAAATAAATTAATTATAAGAATTATTTTAAAGCCTTTGCTAAAAAGATAGTTTAATATAGGCTATTAAAAAGCAAGAACTTAAGACCCTTTTTCTAAATTTTATAAAACCTCTTTTATTATTTATAAGCATTAAATAAGTTAAATTATAAGCTTATAATAATAAATAAGTTCTTAAGATTTATTTATATCTTCCCTTTTATATTAAAGACTTAAAAATAAGTATTTAGCATTTTTTAAGCTTATAAGAGCTAAATAAAATAATAATATAATTTAAATATTTATAAAATTAAATAAGATGCTAAGGCTATAATAATTAACTAATTTATAAATATTAAATATATTAAATAAGCAAAATAAAAGGGTATTAATTTAAAACTTACTCCCCTTTAAACCTTAAAAGCAAACGGCGCTGTAAAAAGGGCTGGCAAAGCAATAATTAAATATGCTTTAGCTATATTATTAAGGGCTAATTTACTTTTTAACCTTTAGCTAGAGGCAATATAAGCTATAGCTTAATTGCATAATATATTACTTGCTTTAAGGAAAAAGAAACGCATTCTAAATACTCTTTTATATGCATAGTTTTCTTATTATTTTTAATGATTTAAACCGGCATAAATTTACTATTTTATAGCTTATTTATTGCCCTATTGAAGTAGTATTTATGCTTATAAATATAAAGCATATATGCTTAAAAAGGAACGCAAAAATAATATAAAGAAATGCTTTATAAAGGGGGAATTAAGGGCTTATATTAAGTATTTAATTAATTATATAGCGTTTAATATCTTTTAAATTTAAATTCCTTTACTTAAGTAAATAATTTTTATAAGGAATGTATAATTTAATAAGGATATGTTTTATAAATTAGTAATAAATAAAGTAAAAAACGGCCTTTTAACTTTTAAAGTAAAATTGCTAAATATTAAGATTATTAATGCTAAGGAGATTTAAGACTGCATTTATATTAAACCCTTAATACCCTATGCAAAAGATAACTTAATTAATTTAAATAATAAATTTAACACCTATTTTATATTAAGAAAGAATAAAACTAATACTTTTAATTAAAATTTAAGGGTAAGGACTTTTAAATTTAAAAGGTAAAGTTTGCTATATACTACTTTTTTAAAAAACTTAGAAAATTAAAAATAAAAACTTTTAATCCTTAAGAAAACCCTAAATATATTAAAATAAGGCTTTTATAAAAGGAAATATACTTTTATTAATAAAGCAAGGGTTAATAAACCTAAACCTTCCTTTTAAGAATTATATATACTTAAAGCTATAAGAAATTAAGAATCCTTTTAATTAATATAAATAAGGAAAATATAAGAATAAATTTAAGGGTTTAAACTTATAAAAAGATCTTTTTAAATATATAATTAAGATAAATGCCCTTAGGAATCTTTTAATTAACCATTATATTTAATAAACGTAATTATGTTTTACCTTAATATAACCTTTTAAAATAACTTTATAATTATTTTTTTACTTAATTAGCTTAAAAGATAAAAATAAAAAATACTTAAGAACTTATATTTTTTAACCTTAAATAATGTAATAATAGCTATTATTTAAGCCTTTAAGATTAAGTTTAAGCCTTACTTATAATAGCGATATTATAAAAATCTCCCT